CCGAGTCGGAAAACATATGAACAGGGTTATAAACACTTTTTTTACTATAGCTATATGAACGTAGCTTTTTTTTAAGCAATTTAGAAATATTTAGAAGTAGTTGAAATAATCCACGGGGATTTCCGGCACTTCGCCGGCAAGCTCTATCCCCACCTTTCGTACTCAAGCCTGCATTATACAATTTATAAACATAAACATGATGTCAGAGATAATATGTTAGCTCTGTAGGTAGAACACCAAGCTTTCATTTTACCGATTAGGGTTCGATCCCAGTTATAGCCAATTTTTTTTTTTCATTAAAATTTTATATAAATACAATAATTGGTTGTTTATATAAGTTCAAAATCAATTCCTATTGTCTTTTAAAGACAACACTTTCGAAAAAAGAGAATTCATAGTAACTCGTTCCTCACCCTCAGCTTATTTTCAGAAAAACAAGTTGTTTTCCGTAATTAATTGGAAGAATAATTTAATCAAATATATGAATTAATTTATGAGTATTTAAAGTCACTTAAGCAAAAAACAGAAAAAAAAATTGCCTATGACTGGGATCGAACCCTGCCCAGCAAAATAAAAGGTCGGGGCTCTAACCATTGAGCTATTATAGTTCCAATTATATAAACGATGCTTGAAAATTATAAGCTACAGGCTTGGGCACAGAGAGTGAGGGTAGAGCTTGCCGGTGAAGTGTCGGAACTCGCCGCGGATTGTTTAAACTATTTTTTATTGTTAATAAGTTGTTAAAAAAGGCTATTATCAATGTATTTGTACAAAAAAAGGTTAATGGCCCTGTTCAAATATTTTCTCATTTGTCATTGATTAATTGAAAAAAAAATTTTACATAAAAATTGAAATTTAAAACTCATGTTTGGCATGATAAAATTGCAATTACATGCAATTTAAATAAAAAAACAATTTTGCCGCAATTGGAATCGAACACCGTTCGGTAAAATAACTGGCGAACCTTCTGACTACAGAGCCAACATATTTTCATTTGCTTTGTTTACGTTTAGATATCATAAGCTTCAGGCTTGGTAACAGAGGGTGGGGAATGTGCTTGCTCGTCAACTGTTCGAACTCGCAGTCTTCTCTGAAAAATAAGACGGAGATAGATACATATATTCTGTGCTCTGTCTTGCTCGAAACAGATTATTCAAAAATTTGTAAATTTCTTGGTGCCCTAAGGCTCCTTTTTTGTAGTGCATCCCTGAAAATTATCATTTTTCAAACGATTTCTCTGTTACCTACTCAATTTCAATTGATGTCAAGCTTCGGCCTTTTGCCGCACAACACGAGGGCGTAAAGTCAACTCCGGGAAACTTTCTGACTTCAGCCCAGCCTTAATGTTTATCATTTCATTGAACAGTCAATTTAAGAATTTAGGACGGGTAAATTATCTTGCGTCGGTATAGTAGAAAAAAATTCACTAGTGTCACTGTTTTCTGATAGATGACAGTAATTGCACTGTTTTCAATCAAAAATTCGAAATGCTTATACAAAAAAAAGTCTTCTTTCTGGCTCATGTAATTCCTACTACATGAATAAGGATGTTTAGGCTAATAATCTAATGATAATAATAAATGATAATTTAAAATAGCCATGTAATTTCAATGAAGATTATACGTGAAGTTACATAAAAGAAACCAAGTCATCCAGTTATTATAGGAGAAAATCCTGAAGTTAATAAAAAAGTTATCAGTAATAAAGAAGGAGCATTTTTTTATATAATCGAACAAAAATATCATCTATATTAGATAAATTTAACAAAGAATGCATAAATGAAAAATATCCTGCATTATGAAGCATAGATAACATTGGTTTGGATACATTAAATTTAGAAGTAAGTTATAAATTGTACAAGAAAGCTCGTTAAAAAATAATATTGATAAAGTATTCATCATTATTCTTATCATTAACGTAGGAAGAGTGGTAATTTATTTATAATTTTATTTTTGGATATCCAATGATTGTATCAAACTCAATAGAGTTCAAACTTCATCACGAATTATGTTTACAAGTAATATCTGTCACACAGTTACAAGTAAGTTCATTTCTGTCACACTTAAGTGAAAAAATTCAGTATTTATTATCGTTGATATCGTATTTCAATGGTACGATAAAATAAGATATAACTCATATATACAATTCTCCATAAAAAATAATATCATCCAACAGGAAGGATGTACTCATTTACTACCAACATTAATGGCCACAATTTATTTACTCAAAGCTCTTCAAATTCTTTATAATAATTCTCTTGATATTAAATATTAATTTAATATGAAGAATGGAATGTAAAAATATAAAGATAAATAATTTTTTTTTTAATGACTTTGAATTTTGAACTGTTTAATAGCAATTTTACTTACCAAAAATAAATTTTATATTGATCTTCTTGAAATGGAGCATAATTTTCTTTAAAACCAATTACTTATATCGATATCTTCCATCGTTAGAGATATACCACATCAAGTTATATTGAGTTAATTTCTTTACAATTTCAATTACACAATTCAAAATAATAAAAAAATACTTTACTTTTAAATTGAATTTTCCTTCAATATATTTCCTTTTTTCGTTTCATCAATCATTCAAGTAACTGAATTACTTGCTATTTCTTTAGTTAGTTTGTGTTTTAATTGACTATCAGTAAGACAGTCTTCTAGTGTTATCGTAATTATAAATAAAATATATTATTTGTATTATTAATTTACGATTAGTTTAACTTTTCTAATAAAGTTAGTTTCTTCCATCGTGTAATTAAATTTTTTTACAGGTTTTTTTTTAATATAAATTTTATTTCAAACTCTTTTTTCAATAATAACATATTTTTAAAAAACACAATAAATTTTCACACAAATAAATTATATATTAAAGAGAAATAAAATTAAAATTCTATTAAATTTTTATCATTACTTAATTTAGTTCACACGACAATTAGTTTTAACACAAAAACGTAATTTTTCCATTAAGTATTTTTAATTACTCAAATAAAAATATATTATACGTGTATATAAGTTACATAATAATAAGTATTTTTTTAAAAAAAATAACTTAATTTGTTTTCTCTATTCTACAGAAGTGTAGCACAGATGAGGTTGAAGAAAATAAATTTCTGTCTAATAAATAGTATTATTGATCAATATGTAACGAGTAACATACTGCTTTAGAAAAATTAAGAAAGGTTTTTAGACTGTAAATGTAGATTTTTTTACTCGTCCATTGAACATAATAATTAGCTCGTAATTTTAATCTTAATAATTATAATTTACTTTTCTTAAGACTTGCTATTCTTTCATTTGTTTATTATTTTAGAGAGTAATGAAAGTAATTTATAAGAATATTTTTTACTAAAAACTGAGATTAAATTCAAATCAATTGGATAGAATAAACTATGACAATTAAAGTCTATCCCTAAATAGAAATAATAATTAGAAAATGACTCGAACAATTGCCAGTAACTTTTGTCTGCAAATTATGCATTTATACTTTACGCTCAAGTTACGTCGCCTATATGCAGCTGCACAGTGTTCAATAATATATGTGCATTTAAGGCACAAGCATATATGACGACCCATAGAAAATTTGGCTTTTGCCTTATTTATTAAACAAATAGCGCAGATTTCTTTATCATTGTCTTCTTCCATTTCTATGTTTTCAAAGTGGAGACTATCAATACTTCTCCACAGCCCTGATCCATTAGAGTTGTTCTCTCTTGCTGGAACATTAATTCAAAAAATTTATTATCAAATCAGTATAGAGTCATAGAGTATACATATATTAAATTCAGGAAAAATCAATTTTTATTACCTATTTGCATCATTACAACATCATTTTCAGCACCTGGGAGAGCTTCAGAATTATTATTTTCAACTCCTGGAAGAGCTTCAGAATTATTATTTTCAACTCCTGGGAGAGCTTCAGTATCATCCTCTTCAACACTTAAAACAGCATCATCATTCTCAGCTTCAGAAACAGCTTCAGCATCATGATCTTCAGCTTCAGAAACAACTTCAGCATCATGATGTTCAGCTTCAGAAACAGCTTTAGCTTAGTGATTATGATTTGAATTTATTCAATCATTTTATATTAAATTTAAATAATTGGCTATAATATTAATTTACATATAGGATGACATTGTCAGAATATTTGTGGGCAGTAGTTAAACGCACAAATATTCGACGGGAGCTGAGACAACGTGGCTCATAATTTGGAAGTGTAGAAAACCAAAGTTAGAGAGATACAAGCAAATGTAAATTTTCTCAAATATAAATAAAAGTTAGACTTATAACTTCAGGAATGATTTTTGAATTCTTTAATTGACCCTGATTATTTTATTTTAAAATAATTGAATTGACTAGTGATTTATATTGAAATTCATTAATAAATTTATATTCATATTATATTTATATTTAAATTCAGGTAAATTGAGGTATTCATTGCAAATACTGATTTATTTTTATAAAAACTTAAGTAATAAAACTTTTTTTTTTCGTTGCACAAAAATTGTTTATGTTTATTAAAAAAGAGAATAATACTGACAGACATTATTTTCGAAGTTTTTCAACTTTTTAATAATTCAGTTTTCAAATTGTTTTCACTTGGATTACGTTATTACGTTAACCTTAAGATAAAAATGTTATTATCATTAGATTATTAGCCTAAACATCCTTATTCATGTAGTAGGAATTACATGAGCCAGAAAGAAGACTTTTTTTTGTATAAGCATTTCGAATTTTTGATTGAAAACAGTGCAATTACTGTCATCTATCAGAAAACAGTGACACTAGTGAATTTTTTTCTACTATACCGACGCAAGATAATTTACCCGTCCTAAATTCTTAAATTGACTGTTCAATGAAATGATAAACATTAAAGATTTAAATTTAAAAGATTGTAAAAATGCCTTTGACTGACATCTTATTGGGGACGGATGTCACGCTCCCAAGCCGAGTGTACTGCTAGCGCCATTTATTACGAAAATAAACAATTGTTGTCTGCCTTGTTGTTTTCGTGTTTTTCTTATGATTCGAACAAAAGTGTAAACAATTTTGAAAATGTGCATAGAATAATCGTGTATTTTATGATTACTTATTAATAAATACAGAAATATTTATTATTTAAGAATGTCGGATTCACGATCTTCATCTTCTCAAAATCCTCCGGATCATCAAATATTTAAAATTCTAATTGCAAGTGATATCCACTTGGGTTATGAAGAAAGCCTGTCTAAAAAGTGTACGTTAATAATTATCTACTAAATTCTCTATATATTTAATGCTACTAAGTCATTTAATTTGTCTTATTTTCTTCAAAATCATGTTTTTCTTTTATTTTTTAGCTATCAGAAACGATAGTTTCACAACTTTTGAGGAAATTCTACAACTTGCAGTAAGAAATGAGGTTGATTTTATGCTTCTTGGAGGAGATTTATTCCACGATAGTAAACCATCCCAACCTGTAGTTTTACAATGCATAAATTTACTAAAAAAATACTGTATGGGAAATCGGTACTTTTTTCTATTCGATATTTTTTGTTTAATCATTAATATTGAAAATTTTCTAAAAATATCACTGACATTTTTTTGTTAACAGATCAATCACATTTTCATTTTTATCGAATCCTGCTGATGTTCTCTCGAGTTCAAATAGTACTTTAAATTTTGAAAATGAAAATTTGAGCGTGTCACTACCAATTTTTACTATTCATGGAAATCATGATAATCCTAGTAAGATAATCAAAAACAAATTATTTATATTCAAAACAATTATTTAAAGTTTCTACAAAAAAATGTTCATAAATATTAACTTCGTATTTATTAAGGTTTCCATTATACTGGTACTCTGGATATATTAGAAGCATCAGGATTCGTTAATTATTTTTCAAAAATATCCGATCTAAGTAAAATTACCATAACACCGATAGTTCTAGAGAAAGGTGGAACATACATCGCTATTTATGGTATAAGTTATGTTGGAGAACGACATTTATCTAGACTATTTAATTCTGATATGGTATTTATTTTAATTATTTGCTTCAATATTTTTGTGATTCTTTTTACTGAGAAAATTTCTTTATTACAGGTTACATTCTTACGACCCAACATACCACAAAAATGTTTCAATATTCTCGTTCTTCATCAAAACAGAGCTCAACATACTAAAGGGGCTTTTATAGCTGAAGATAAATTACCAGAATTCATTGATTTAGTTTTTTGGGGTCATGAACATGAATGTAGAATTGTTCCAGAAGAAATTAAGTTACCCAATGATAATTTTTATTATATTACACAACCAGGTACATTTATGGAACCGACAGAACATTTACTCTATTGATTGAATATAAAGTTATTACATGAATTTCAATACGTATTACATTCAACAGGTAGTTCTGTGGCAACTTCTCTAAGTATAGGTGAATCTAAACCAAAACATGTGGGGTTACTGAAAATCCATAGAACTAAATTTATATTGGAACCATTAAAACTAAAAACAATAAGACCTTTCGTATATGATAGTATTTCTTTAAAAGAAATTATCAGAAAAGAGTATTGTGATCCTACTCCGGATGGGCTTATTGAATATGTTGATGATTACATTGAACACACTGTCTTTGAGGCAGTGAAACCATTATTGACTGGTATATCAAACATTCACTTTTTCAATAGAGATCCATGTACTCTGTATATCAACATACATTCTATATACATATTAGTTTTTTATGAACTTTTATTATACAGGTCACCCTGAGCAGCCTACACTTCCACTGATTCGGTTAAAGTTACTTTATTCAGACGATATTCATAAATTTGATATAATGAAGTAAATTGATTGTTTTAATCATTTTATAAACTAAACACAATATTTTTTTACAAGTTTTCTAATTTTTTTTCTACAGAATTACAAGAAAATATTGTGATCGAGTAGCCAATGCCACTGATCTAGTCATATTTTCTAAAGAAAGATCAGGAAATCAAGGACGAACTGTTGTAGATGGTCTGGATGATGATGCAGCTCAGGCTTTAGCAGAATGTTTCAGTCATAGAGAAGTAAAACTAATTGAACTATTCTAAACAATTCATTAGTATTTATCAGTAAAACCATATTTTTCATTTTCAGGATGATAGAGATTGGTCGTTTTCTGTTAGAAATGGAGTGAAAGCATATTTTGAAAAAACAAATTATAAACTCAAAATTTTGTCACTGATAGGAATGAATGAAGCCTTAGAAAGATGCGTTAAAGTTAATGATGACGATGCACTTCCTAGTATAATCCAGTAATTATAGCTAAAACTATCATATAATAAATTTTTACAATATCTTTACTAAAAAATAATTTATTTACAGACATCAAATCAACAAAACATTGGATTTTCTAGAAGGTCGAAAAACGAATCTAACTAAAGACTCTTATGATGAAGAAATCGAAAAGTATCATCGAATAAGAGCTAAAATAAACGATACAGATGAAGCAAAAGAGGTTGATTTATATTTATTTAATGATTAATTATTGTTTAGAATAGAATTCAACTGAACTTTATAAATGTTTTGCAGTATCAAAAATTACTGGATGATCTTGAAGCAAGAGAATTGTTAAAATCTACTAGTACAATTGATTTTGCTCTTTCTGATGATGATGATATGGCAGCACCATCATCTCTAGTGCCAAAAACCCGTGTTCGAGGACGGGGATCGAGAGGTCCTCGAGGATCTAGAGGATCAAGAGTACGTAGTACAAGTAGAGGACGAGCAGCAAAAGCACCATTAGATGTTAGTACAAGCTCCCCCGTAGTTGGATTAAGAACACCTTCACGTGAACGTGTTGCTCAAACTCTCAGCCAAGTTAAGAGTACTGCTAACTCAGCAAAATCCGTATTCGATTCTATGTCTGAGTATGAAAATATTGTGTTAAGTGATTCTGATTAATTTTATATTAATTATTTTTACACAATTAAATGTTACAAAGTTTTCAAAAGTTACTTTAAAAAAACCTGCATTTTATTAATTTATAACTGTAAAATAGTTGAAAGCATACATCATAAATTTATATTTTATAAAAATGTATTTATTTCATACAGATGTCAATGTATTATAATAAAAATTTCAGTGATATCGATAAAACTTTCAAAAAGAATTTGGAATTTATCGTATTCAGATGGCGTTAGAGCACAATTTCGAAATTTCTAACCTACAAATATTGGTTTCCGGTTGCCAAAGTCGAGTGTACGAGATATCGATTGTAATCATATGACCCAGCTGGGCGTAACAATTTATTGGAGTAGTTATTAGTTTAATAAAAAATATTTTTACTGAAAATCCGTTGGTTTATTTTACGGATTTATAGTTTTCTTAAATCAAAATGAAAGTTTGTGGTCCAAAATATGCCCTGTGTGGCCTCATTTTATCTACTTGGGGAATAATTCAGCTGGTAAACTATTATATTTACATTTATTTGAAGTTTTAATTCGACCGAAAAAGTGTCTCTTGTTATTTTTAGACTAATCTGTTTCATGATCTTGATTACAGCTCCTCATGGGAATATTTTTCTATATAAAAAGTGTAGCTTTAATCGAAGATATCTCTCTAGAAGGACTGGAAATTTCAACTCCAGAAGAGTTTTATACTCACGTTGATTCAGGATATACTCAAAATGCCTACAATTGTTGGATAGCTGCCTGTCTCTACGTTTTTACCTTCCTATTTTCTGGTCATCAATTTTATGTTAATTCAAGAACATCATTAAGTGTTTAAAATTTCATCATTTAGCTTCTTTGTAATTATCAAATCCTCCTAATTACCATGAAAATATAAATTCTTCGTCTAGTGATACTATTGAGGTAAAACTAATTTTAACGCATCAATTTTAGATTATATTTTTTTGAAAATTTGAAAATATTAATCAGAATAATTATTTGTTAGCAAAAAGAAAATGAGAAAGTAAAAAGCTGAGTGAGCAAGTTATTTTATCATGTATAAAAAGTGTTTTTATCTATGTAAATGGTTATCATTCTATTTGAAGAGTCTATCCAATTATTATTTATATATTTTAACTTGAAATAATTTTTATGAATTCACTATAATTATTTATTTGCCAATTGATCTGTTAAGTAAAATGTTATGCGTTTTAAATACGAAAATGCAAATAAAAATCATAAAGATTTCTTTGAAGCATTCCATATTATTTGTAAATTTTAAAAATAGACCATGTAAGTAATTATTTCAAAATTTCAGTTGTCCATAGATTTGTTTTTAAAACTTGTATAAACTATATAATATATGTAATTGTAATTCAACATAATGTTCTCAATAGTTGCTTTTGTTGCATAGGATTAAAAAAAACTATAATTAAGTATAATGTAATTTATATTAGTATTATGAAATTAAACAAAAATAATGTTAAAGACAAAAATGATACATTTAAATAAACAATCAATCGATTATATTATTGGTTTCAAATATATCCTGTAGATTTATTACAGCTTATATATATATATATATATTTTTTACAAAGAATCATATAAGTCATGAATCAAATGGAAATTCTTATCACCTTAAAATTACCGCCGGTATCAATCAGTTAAAATTATTGACGCTAGAGCTCAATTCTCTATTTTTGGAATATTCTTCTTTCAGGTTTATTACAATTTTTTGTGTGATATTTGCAAAACATCTGTCGAATCTTGGTTTTATCAAACTGAAATTTATCAATTTTCATGAGGTACATTAGTATTTTAATTATTTAATTTACTTATAATAAAATGAAATAAACTAGTGACTTGGCATGATCATAAGGTTAGAGTAATAAATTCACTGAATAATCTAATATTTCTTATTCGTTGAAGCCGCATCTTTGAGATTTTTTCTAATTCTATTTCACTTTGATAAATTATTTTGATTATTATTAATTATACTATATTATTAAATTATTTCTAATCTGTAAGGTATGATAACATGAATATTTATATAAACCTGTCAAATAATATACAAGATGTTTGCTTTTAAATCACATGGTTAATTTATTTTTCTTCATTAGGTTTATGAGATGATATAATAACATTTTTATTAATAAAAAAATATGGCAAGCGAATTAGCTGGGAATATCCTCTCCTATCTTGAAAAATATAGTGATGTGAATTCACTAGATTTAGTTAATATCTTCAATGAAGATCATCAGAAAATAATTGGAGCTATTAAAAGTCTTCAGACTCTTGATAACGTAATTATGCTTGACATTATTTATTACATATATAATAATAAATTACTAATAATTCTATTCAACTTCAATTTGTCAAAGAGTTCATTAATTTTTCAAGGTGATTGAAGTTGAGCAAATAAGTCACAAAAAGTGGGAACCAACAACGGAAGGTCAACATGTTATTGAAAATGGGAGTCATGAAGCTGCGGTATTTTATGCTGTTCCAGAACAAGGAATTTTACAATCAGAAATTATGAATTCTGTTCCATATGCTAAAGTTGGTTTTTCTAAAGCATTAGTCGCTGGATGGATTAAACTCGATAAAAGTACTGGCAAACCTATGGTAACTAAGAATGTATCATCAATAGAAGATAGTACTCAACAAAATTTAAAAAATATTGGCAATCTTAGTGATAGTATTAAAGTTGAGTATAAAAAGAGAAAGTTGCTTCAGGAAATGTAAGTAATTTTTTTGACTACATGATGCTTTTAAGATTAACTGATATCTTCAATCATAAAAATTAATTACGTAAACATTTTAGAATTATAAAAAGTATGGTAGTAAAAAAAGGATCAAATTTTTCAACCAACATTGAAAAATTAGAGGCTGACTTAACATCTGATCTTCTGGTAAATGATGCATGGAAAGAGAAAAAATTCAAACCTTATAATTTCGATGCAATGGGATCGGCATTGGATATTGGACATCTACATCCTTTGCTCAAAGTTCGGACTGAGTTTAGAAAGATTTTCCTTGAAATGGGATTCACTGAGATGTCCACAAATAATTTCGTTGAAAGCTCATTTTGGAATTTTGATGCTTTATTCCAGCCTCAGCAACATCCAGCTCGAGATGCTCATGACACCTTCTTTATTTCTGGTAATTAAATAGTTTATTGATTAATTGAATTTAAATCTATAAGTTTAGTCATTATAATAATAATGATAATTTATAAAAAAAAACTTCTTTTTGATTTCAGAGCCAAAGTATTCAACAAAATTTCCAAAAGATTATTTAGAAAAAGTCAAACAAGTTCACAGCAAAGGAGGATATGGATCCAAAGGTTATCTTTACGATTGGAAGATAGAGGAAGCGCAAAAGAATCTTTTGCGGACACATACAACAGCTGTGAGCGCTCGTATGTTGTATAAACTGATGCAAGAGGTATAATTATTTTTAAAGCCTTAATGCAATTTATAAAAATATATTGAAGTACTTATATTAAATGAACCATCGACAAATTCAATTTTAGGGCAAATTTAGGCCAGTAAAGTACTTTAGCATTGATCGAGTCTTTCGAAATGAAACTCTAGATGCTACTCACCTTGCGGAATTCCATCAAGTTGAAGGTTTTATAGCGGATTATAATCTTACGTTAGGAGATTTGATAGGCACCCTATATGAGTTCTTCAAAAAGCTTGGAATTGAAAAATTGAAATTCAAACCAGCATATAATCCCTATACAGAACCAAGTATGGAAGTATTTTGTTTTCACGAAGGTCTAGGAAAGTGGATTGAGATAGGTAATAGTGGAGTATTTAGACCGGAAATGTTATTACCGATGGGATTACCGGAGAATGTAAATGTTATAGCTTGGGGATTATCTTTAGAAAGGTAAATATTATTATTAGAAATCAATCGATTCCTATTCAAGTATGAATTAATTGAACAATTTTTTAAAGGCCAACAATGATTAAATACAAACTAGATAATATTAGAGATTTAGTAGGACCAAGAGTGGATTTGCAAATGGTTTACAACAATCCCATTTGTCGCTTAGAAAAGTAAATATCCATTAAATTTTTTTTGAGGTATTTATTAATTGATTTCTATAAGTGTTCAACACTATAAACAATAATATCAATTTTTTTTCTTGTTTGTTTTATTTTTTTTTAGTTAATCGACAAATAATTGTCAAAAGCTTATTTTAAAACCTTTTGTTTTCAGAATACATAAAAAATCTTCTTTCAAAGATAACTTGGGAGCTGATTGCTTGAATGCATCAAAGCCAACGGCAAATCAAAAAAAACTTGAGCCACAAAGCTTTGTTATTTTTTGTGATCCTAAACATCCAATAATATGGCTTGAATCACTTCTTTTATTAGCCGAAAATTGTTTTACAATATCAGTATCAGTTCATGTGCACTCAACAGTTTTAAATATTACAGAAGATCTAAAAAATTTCTGTGGCAAATTTCGCACTCCAAAAAAGACTGATGTATCAATAGTTTTTATTTGGAAAACTTTAGGTGTTGATTCAGTAATGAAATTTGAAGCATCACGGGAAATCTGTGGCGTAATTAATATTGCACGCTATTTGAATCGTTTAATTGAGTCAATTAATCCTTCATTGTTGAAATATGAAACTAATGGAGCAAAATATGCTTGTAAAATCGATGTAGCGTTAGAAAAGATTCATACTTCTCTTCACAAAGAAAATAAATATCAAATAAATGATTTACGAAGTAAATCAAAAACACGCTACGTCTTTGAAGAACTTTCCATTATAGACATAATGCTTGAAGCTCAACGATAATAATCTAATAAAATAATAATAAGTCAATCATTTTGATAAGACAGTACTCTATTTTTTTTAGTGTTCGCAATCTTGAAGATTATTTCAAAAATATTGCGATTAATGAAATATTAATTCTTACAATAAAATTTTCCATTTGTATTTAATCTAATAATGCATAACAAATGTAAAAATATTTTTAAACAACAATGTGATCAAGTAGTTGAACGGATTGTTCAAATAAAGATATTTTTAATCTTCATCTAAACTGTTTTTATTATAAATAGAATTGAATAGTCTTTTTCCGGATGATTACCATTAGTTGTATTAACAGTGCGTGTACTATAAAAATTTAATGTGATAAATGAAATAATTTAATGCATAAACATTTTATTAAATAACAGATCAACGTAAACAAGTCGTTTAATCATTACGATAATACTGTAATTTGAAAGTTATTGTTTTTAGGTAAAAATTCTGATTAATCAAGTCGAACAAAGCGAATTAATAAGAAATAAATCACTAGTTAATCAGTGAATCTCATACGTCGGATTCCCGTTAAATTGTGACTCTTCCCGCCCTCGTAGAATTTTCGAGAATTTTATGAAAATATACATGAATAAATCTTCAATAAAGTATAAAAAATGTTTATGTCCTAATTTTGCGACGTCACGTTCTCTCAAAGTAAAGAATAATGTAAATATATGTATTAAATGCGTATTTTTACTCTTATAAAGTAGACTTTACAGTGTGTAAGTATTTAACCGACACAGAGCGTGTGATTGGAAGACGAAGCATCAAGAAGCAGCTGTATTTTCAAGGTACGTGTCAATGTGTAAGTGTTGTCTACCAATGCGAAAGACAGAAAGAAACGAATCAGAGCGAGTACAGTGCACTCTCGTTTCTTGTTACAATTATTCATATAGTGAGTGTATGTATAGCTTTTCGTTGTTACTTTAATCTTTAATAATTACTAGTGAGTAAATAATCTACGAAAAGAATTTTTTTAAGCATTTGAATAATTAAGAAATTCTGACAAGAATAATTTGGGATATTTATAAGTAAAATATATAAAATTATTAAGTATCCTAACGAATCCTCAAAAAAACGAGTATCGTGCGAGTGGTGGCAGTGTGGCACTTCTAAAATGGCGTCGATCGGTGGTCAGCCTGGCGGTGAACGGTAGAGAGGAAGTGCTTGAGAGTCAAAAGACAGTGTTTTGGTTCGCGTAAACGACAAACAACGGGCCATTAAATCAATTTATAGCCTTTGATAATATCGTTCAATTATTATTTCCATTGTCACTGGTTTTATAGAGGTTAGAAATAATAATAAATCGTCGAATAAACGTATTAACGTGTGAATACGACGAGTGCATAAGCAGCACCACCGGTGGTGGTGAAAATTCCATCCGTGCCGTGACGGCCGCGATGCCCGTTTCGCGTGGCGGCTATATTCTTCACAAATTCATTGGGACTATTGCAAAGAAAAAAGCAACTACTGGACCAGGAAAAAGAATTTGTTTTAGCAGTATCGAGGTCGACGTCACGATAAATTCTCGTGACCCTCGACCTAGGAGTCGTTAGGTAAGCATTGCCAGGAGTTCCCCAGATCGTATTTGCGCATCGTGGACCTTCTGTCTCCCTCACTCTTCAATCTTTCAGCTCAGAGCTTCGGCTTTCTCTTCGATTCTTTGAAAAGTTGATATTATTCACGGTCTTAAAATCTTTTAATCACGTTTTAACACGTTTATTATCATTCCCTTGAAAGAAATTAAAAAAATGAAAGCGAAATCAGTCGTTAAGTGAATGATAATTGTTCTAGAGCCTTTGTCCTTGGTTAGTACTCATTAATCTAACATAAACTTAACGAAATTTATTTTTATTTTTTTTTCCTGTAAGAGGTTAGACTTTATCAATGACTGTGCAATTTAAACTTATCCAAATATGTTCATGTGTTAAGTATCTTTGTCTGAAATGATTTTCTAATAATATCAGTGATAAAGTCAAATATTAATAAATATGATGCAACTGAAGTCATTGTTAATTAGTCGAGTCAAATTTTATATTAAATGGATAAAAATATGTAGCCATCATAGATTCATAATTAATTCATAATTAATTAGAATTAATTAGATAAATATCAAATAATAAAATAAATGTCAAATGATCATTTTAAACTCAATATCATGACAAACTTCATTCATTTTCATATTTAATCCAATTTTTGACTAATTTATCATTCTTTCCTCCTGCCAGATTGTCGTAAGAACATAACCAAACTTCAAAATGAAAATCGATAGAAGCAGATTGAAAAAAGGCACTTCTGAAGTGGTAAGTAGGCGATTATCATGATAAATTTATATTCTTTGTTAATTATTGATAATTGAGATGAGTTTAATTAAATTATTTTCAGCCTGCTGAGTGTCAAGAACTCATAAGTAAGCTTCGAGGATGCTCCCATAGTGAACTACTTGAAGAATTAAAGCAAATAGACGCATGGACCTTTGGAAAATGTGAATTATTTCATTGGATTGATGTGTTGGACCTAAGTGATAGCATATTGGAAGAAGCCACTGCTCGAAGTCCTGATAATCCTTGGGAATTAGCATGTGATCTTCCCCAAAATAGAGAGGTATAATTTTTAATCAATAATTTATGTAAAAATATAATATATAACAGATTGTTTTAAGTGATTATATTTTTTTCAGGCAAAAGAGTTGCTTCTTTGGGTCCTCCACTTTACGACACTACTCATTGAACATTCATTTTCTCGACATCTTTACAACAGTATGGAGCATCTTATAACACTTCTGTCAAGTTGTGATATGCATGTTGTTCTTGGTGTCCTGAGTCTTCTATATATGTTTAGTAAACGTAGTAATTTTATCACTCGTTTGAATACCGATAAACGTCAAGCTCTCCTGAGTCGACTGAACCATTTGGCAGAGAGTTGGGGTGGTAAAGAGAATGGTTTTGGTGTAGCTGATTGTTGTAAAGAACATCCAGACAAGCCATTCCCCTCTAGTGCTACTACACTTCATTTTGAGTATTATGCTGAGCATCCTACGACTTCTGATGCATCTAATAACTCAATCGGAAGTGCAAAAAAATCTGGACAAACTAATCTTGTAAATTATATACACATTGAAAATGTAGATAAACTTGGCAAAACACCAGCACAAATTATGAACGACTTGCTAAAATTTTACAACGTGCCACAGGACAGACAGATGGCTCTTTTAACACACATTAGATTAGCACACAACTTTTCTGATTATCAACGGCGTCTGCAATGTGTTCAAGCACGACTTCAAGCTCTCTCTGTCTTGGTATATAGTAATTCTTTACAAGAAAATGCACATAGCCTTCTTCATGCTGGATTACTCGAAGAGTTGGTTGAATTATTGGAATTACCTCATCCTCATCTTGTTGAAATTCGAGCTGCAGCGTTACGCACATTGACTAGCATTATTCATCTTGATCGAAATCCTCACTTTCCTAAGAAGCCAGGCTCTCGTTTGAATATGATAATCGATGTTACTGGCGCAAATTCTTATCATGGATTTCTGCCAGTCCTAGTGCGTACGTGTATCACAACACTGACATCACCGCAACCAGATGGCCAACCGTTTCCTCTGCCATTAGCAACTGCTTTATTCAGTTTCTTATACCATCTTGGTAGTTATGAAGCCGGAGGAGAAGCTCTTGTTAGTTGTGGAATGATGGAAAGCCTTTTAAAAGTCATCAATTGGCCTGGAAGTGAACTGGAGCACATTACGGTAAATTTTAATTAACATTTTCCTTAAAATAGTAATGAATTCACTTGAATTTATTAATAAATTATTTGTTTCTTTTGTTTTCAGTTTGTAACGAGAGCTGTGAGAGTGATTGATCTCATCACCAACATTGATATGCAAGGATTTCAAGCGCATGGTGGCTTGAGTAGTTTTATAAATAGACTGGACATGGAGGTCAATGTCTGCAGGAAGGAACAGCCTTTCGAAATTGATCCAAGTATGTATAATGAAGAACCATCAGCACCTACTCGAGATAAACCAGCAGAAACAGGATCTACTGATGAAGCTGGACCTTCGAAATCATCAAATGAAGTGTTTGAGGAAACATCAAACCCTATGGAGTTTTCTGAAGATGAAAATACCAATTCAAAAATTGAAACAAAGATCGAAAATTCTTCTGGTGGTATTATTATAAGATCTGGCAGAACATGTTTACCACAAAGAGCTGCACTTTTAAAGTCGATGCTTAATTTCCTGAAAAAAGCAATTCAAGATCCTGCTTTCTCTGATAGTATCAGACATGTTATGGAAGGTGAATTACCTTCCTCGTTAAAGCATATAATTAGTAACTCGGAATACTATGGACCGTCCTTGTTTTTACTTGCAATTGATGTTGTGACGGTTTATGTTTTTCAAGAGCCATCTCTTCTATCTTCTCTTCAAGATAATGGATTAACGGATGTAGTACTTCATGCTCTACTTACTAAAGATATTCCAGCTACTAGAGAAGTTTTAGGGTCTTTACCTAATGTGTTCAGCGCTTTGTGTTTGAATCAACGTGGTCTTGAATCTTTTGTAAAACGACGTCCCTTTGAAAAACTTTTTAAAGTATTGATATCTCCAACATATTTGTCAGCAATGCGTCGACGACGTGGAGCTGACCCTCTAGGTGATACTGCATCAAATCTAGGTAATGCAATGGATGAATTAATGCGACATCAACCTAGTTTGAAGACTGATGCAACTGCTGCGATAATTAAATTACTTGAAGAGCTTTGTGTATTAGGCTGTGATCCAAGATACATTTGTTGGCGTGCAGCAAATAAATCTGACAATTCCCCATCGAGTTCCAACGCTAGTAATCGACAATCTTCTGGCCAATCAGTTGGAGTTGGTGGTGGTAGTAATGGCGCAGGAAGTGGTGGTGCCGGTGGAAGTAGTAGTGATGAAGAAGAGGAAGATGAAGAGGAAGCAAGTACAAGTTCTCATCCTCAACGTGAAGAACAGCCTTCTCCTTCGCCCGTACAACCTGGACCACCACCACGACAACCACCTGAGAAAACTCCTATAGCCCTTGTTGATTACATACACAATGTAATGAAGTTTGTTGATGCAATATTGAGTAATAATTCAACTGATGATCATTGTCGTGAATTTGTTGCTCAAAAAGGACTGGTACCATTGTTATCTATACTTGGTTTACCTAATTTACCTGTTGATTATCCAGTGGCTCAAGCAGCTACGTCTGTTGCATCAGTTTGTAAAAGCATTTTAAATCTTGCTCACGAACCTCTTGTATTGAAAACTGGATTATTACAATTGAATGAAGTTCTTAGTCTTCTTAAACCTCTGCACAGCCATATGGAATCTCCGGGAGGCTCAGTTCTTCTTCATGAGCTTGCTTCTGCACCAAATTTGGAAGCTGCTTTTGCCAGTGATACAGCAACGCCTTTACTTCACGCAATGAATGCCGCTCATGGATATGTAGTGATGTTTGTTCATGTTTGTCGAACAAGTCAAAGTGAAATTAGAAATCTCTCAATGAATCACTGGGGTTCAGATCTAGGACTAACTGTTCTTCAAGGTTTATCTGAGCTTTACATGTCACTAGTATGGGAAAGTACCCTTCTTCTAGCTCTCTGCAGTGATGATAGTATTCCAGCTGGCTGTGATTTTGGCAAAGAAGACATGGATAAATTAATCCCGGCAGAATTAAAAAATGATAACGATCCTTCAACATGGCCCAGTACTTCTACAGCTGCTGATATGAGTAGTAATGGAATGACAACTGCGATGGAAGCTTTAAGTACTGATCCTCCACCAGTAGCAATGGAAGTTGATGATAAGCCAAGTACTAGTACTGGTAGAGCATCTCCAAGTGCTCATCAATTGAAATATATCAAACCTCTTCTTGGAGCATCATCACGACTTGGTCGTGCTTTAGCAGAATTATTCGGATTATTAGTTAAACTCTGTATGGGTTCACCAGTACGTCAAAGACGTAGTCAGCAACTTCCGATAATTTCATCGATTCCTAATCCAGCAGCAAGAGGTGTAGCTTGCGCTCTGAATATTCTATTAACTCGTGGCCTATCTTGGGATAAACTGCCACCATCACCAATTCCAAAATTTAAACTAACATTTCTTATATGCTCAGTTGGATTTACATCTCCAATGCTATTTGATGAAAAAAGACACCCTTATCATTTAATGTTACAAAAATTTGTCCAGTTAGGGGGTGAAAAAGCTTTCTTTTCTACTTTTCGTTGGGTTTTGTCAGGAGGAAATCAATTTCCTCTTTCAGAAGGTTTAGAGCATCCAGATCTTCCAGATGGAACTGGAGAATTCCTCGACGCTTGGCTAATGCTTTTAGAGAAAATGGTTAATCCAAAAGCTATTTTAGATTCTCCACATCTTGGTGTAAGTAAATGCACGAGTTATAACACTTATCGTGCACAAGATCCAATTATAAAATACCTTCAAGACATTCATAAGAAAGCTTTTGAAGCAGTCATGTTAATGTGGGGCAAGAAACCTTTGAAAAACTATGGCGCAAGAATGACTGAATCAATCTTATCAATTCTTCGTCACATTCTTCGAGGAGAAAAAATAATCAAAGAACGAACAGAAGATGAATCTAATGAGGACGCAGCTAGTGGCTCAACTAGAACAAATAATACTGATAGAAGAGAAGACGCAGAAGCAGATGTGAATCCAGAACATCTTAGACAATTAATGGATATGGGATTCAGTCGTGCACACTGTATAGAAGCTTTATTACATACTTTATCTGTTGAACAAGCTACAGATTACCTTTTAAGCAATCCAGCAACACAACGACGCCCTGAAACCGGTCTTGGCGATACTACCCAGGGACCGATAATGGATTTAGATTTGACAGATGATCAAGTAATGTATGCTATTGCAATGTCACTCGGTGATGCAGAGCCTAAAAAATCTTTTGATGAACCAAAAGAAACGCCAATCACTCAAACTATTGATGAATTCACCAACACTGCTTTAGAACAATGTCTCAGCCTTCTAGACTTGATGCCTGATACAGTTTACAGAATTTGTGACCTTCTTGTAACGATCACTAAACGAAATGGCGATGAATGGCGGCATAAAATGCTACGTCATCTAATACTAGAAATTGAAGAACTTGTTGATTACCTCATTGGAATTGTAGAGTCTCAAGATGAAGATGCTGGAACACGCTTAGTTGAGTGTGAACAAGCAACTAAAGTCGCTGCAAGAATATATTTATATACATTATTCTTTGAAAATACCTTCCAAGAGATGAGAGTACCTTGTGCACAAGTAGTTGAAGAATGTGCAACTCTCGATAAGCTTGTACGTCTTTTAGTAATTAGTGAGGGTCCTTTAACGACAAATAAGAATAAATTATCTAAAGAAAGTAAAGAAGGACTAACACCTGTTGCAAAAACTCCCAAGTGGCTTGCACCACTTTTGTTACTAATTGATAGATTAGAAAAGATAGCTGTGTTGACACAGCGCAAACAATTGATGCATAAAGTAACGAATCGAGTATGGAAATGGTTTGATTTGAATTCTGGTAAATGGACTCCCTACTCTTCATTAAATAATCGATTAATAAATGATGCTTATTGGGCTGGAGAACCAAATGTACGAATAAACTGTTCTAGAAGACGGTATCTTATTACTTTTTCATGCATGACTCAAGTTAATGAAGATAGTGATAATAGGAGACCAATTGCAATGGGCTTTAAATTCCATAATTCAAATAATGATGATAGCTCTGGATCTGACTCTAATATGGATACTGAAGAAAGTCTAACTGAAGAAAAACGATCTACCGTTGTTCAAGGTTTAGATCCAAGTATTGCTCCGAGCATTGTGCGTGCTTGTGTTAAATTATTAGCTATTCCAGTTGATCGTGATACTCTCCATGCATTAATGAAAGTTTGCTTACGATTAACAAGAGATTATAAGAATGCAGAAGTATTTGCACGAGAAGGTGGAGTTCAATTATTATTGGATATGACACAAGCTAGCAGTTTCCTTGGATGTATCAACCTTAGTACTCTTTTAATTAGACATACTCTAGAAGAACCAAGAACTCTTCGTCTTGCGATGGAAAAGGTTGTACGAAGTCGTACGCAAGTAAATATTCCACCATCATATAAAGAAATTCTCTTCATGACCCGACAAATCAGCAGTGCTGTTTGTAGAAATCCTGAAGTATATCGGGAAGTATGTGAAAGCATTCTTAGGGTTGATATTAATGTTTTAAAAAGAGACGACGTTGATAATAGACTTGTAGTGAAAGCTTTACCACCAAGTCATTCTTCTGCAATGCCAATGGCTGAAGAGGTAGCTGTAAATGTCATTCATGACCTTTTAAATGCTTTAATTAAGCCTGTTCCTGTATTCCCTGAAGATACCTCAACTCCAGCAACAAACACGCCTGAAAAAAAAGCTACGACACTCACTCATAGTACATCTGCATCTCTAGTCGCCGCATCATCCACCCCATCTAGAAGAGGAGATGGAGTTAGAAATAACGCAGCAACTAGCAATGGTCCCCTCGATGATGATGATCAAATTGTGCCTCTAAAGATGTGTACTGATTACATGAATAATGCAAAAATTGAACCCGAAGAAGCAAAAAAACCTTTGCTGCCAAAGTCTGCAATCTTAAAAATGTTAGCAGAAGCTGTACGCTCTTATGGTGCTGTAGCTAATTTAATTGCTGAACACACATACAGAGCAGGACAAAGTGAAATGGTTACTGAAGATACTACAGCTTTGGCTTTCCTTCTAGATAAATTATTACCAGTTTCTCCAGAAAATTCAGGTGATCGACAATGTTGCAGCATGGCAAGAATGTTAATTGCTGCTATAGCTTCTTGTAATCATTCTCCTGATGCTCAAACAACTTTAGTTACTGAAGTAAAAGCAGCATTGATACGAACATTGACTCTACCAGAGAGCTCTGAAAAACATGCTCAACTACAACTACTCATTGGACTAATTTCTACGATGATTGATAGCTGTCCACCCACCTCACACACTCAAGTACGAGTTCCGCTTAAGGTCCATCAATATAATAATGTTAATTATATTGTGAGAATCATGTTGAAGAAGGGAATTATTACGGATTTAGCAAAAATTCCTCATAGTCTTGATTTATCGAGTCCAAATATGGCTGGAACTATCAATGCAGCCTTGAAACCTCTGGAAACATTATCTAGAATTATTAATCAACCCATGCCGGGAGCTGTAAACAATAAATTCTCTAAGCCCAAAAATAGAACCGTTCAAGAAGAACCGATGGGTGATCAAACTGGCACTACAACTTCAGAAGCAACTCATGCAGTTGGGGAAGAAGTTAACGAAGATGCTGAAAATACCGAACATGACATTTCCTTGACCGCTGAAAGTCTTGAACCTACTTCGGAGGGTCAAGTACATGAGGAAGGAGATGAAGCTGCTTTAGATGATATCATGGATCAGCTTTTAGAACGGTATGATTTTTTTTTATTATAATGTTTATATTTATTAAAAATTAATTGTAAAAAAAGAACTTCAGTGTTTATAATCCAACAGTGCTCTGTTTTCCAGAGACGGCTCCGCCGAGGTGTTGGTGCCTGAAGAACCAACATCTCGATCTCATAGACCAATGGACATCGATGACGAAAGTTTAGCCATGCGGAATGCTGATGGAGATTTCGATCCTGCTCGCGACACCACCGTAAGAGTAACGTCTCATTTATTTTTCTCCACATTTTCATCTCATTTTTACTATAGAAAATAAATCAAATACTAATTAATGCATTCTTTAAATTTTTCAGGAGGACTTAATGAGTTCTGATTCAGACTCAGATAGTAATCCATCAGATGACAATGAAGATGATGTTCAAGATGATGATGAAGAAGAAGAAGAGGAGGAGGAAGATGACGGAGAAGAGAACGAGGAAGAAGAAGATGAGGAAGAGGAAGGTTCATCTAACTTTGGTGAAGAAGATCACATGGCATATATTGAAGGCATTAGTGATGCTGTGCGCATGATGTCTTCATCAGACAGAGACGTGAACAATGTTGTGATGATTCCTCACAATTTTGAAAACCATGAAAATAATTCTTCACTGCCTAGTTCAACAAGACCTAATCATTCTTGGAGTACAAACTTTCCTTTGCCAGTGTCTCTATTTGAAGATCTACCATCAGTTTCTGATAGCAATGCAATAAGTTCTCATCCTCTTTTAATGGCTCAAGGAGGTCTTGATGCCGCTAATACGCGTGCTCAACGAACCTGGCGTCATCGTCGATATCAATATGTTCAAATTAATCCAAGGAGCTCCAATCCTCCAGTTATTTTACAAAGACTTTTAGTTCCAGCTGCTCAAACACTTCCTGTGAGTACAAGTCAAGTTTTAGCAACAGGATTCCGTGATGCACGTGTTGTTCTTATGGACAATAGTCTTGGAATTTTTGCTAATCAAGAAGAAGAACCTATAGATTTTGTTGATCAATCAGGATATTTATTCGGACCAAGCCTAGCTGCAACATTAAATAATATTCCAACTGCTTTGCATTGGTGGATAGAAGAAAGTAAATTACTCGATGGTGATTCACAACCCGACTGTTGTGTTGGTGTTGTTCATAAACTGATACCTGGATTAGAAAAACAGAGAAATGCTGAATTAGCAGAAAGAAAAGATAAACGAAAGAAACAACATGCTGAAAAAGACTCAGAAAAAGATGCCAAAGATTCAAAGGAAAATACTAAGTCTCAGGAATCTAGCTCAAGCACATCTGCAGAACCAGCTCGGACATCAACACCTGTCATAGCGGGTGTAGTAGCAAGACCTCAGGTACGATTATTCTCCAATGAATCTCAAATGTCTAATGAGCCTGATGCAAGATCCACTTCTGAGTGTCCGTTGTCTGTTGAAGCATCTGTAGAAGCAGGTAGACAAGATAATGCACAAGCTGAATCATCTGAATCTCTTATGGCAAGGCCTCAATTAGTACCATACCAACCGGAACCATTTTTATTGAGTGACTCTGACATTAGACCAATATCTGAATGTCTATTGTCTGTTGAAGCAGGAACAGAAGCAGGAAGACAAAGTAGTACACAAAATCGTGATGAAAATGTAATTGAAATAACCGGAGAAATGGAAGTTACTGTACAAGATGAAGAAGAAAGAACACCTCCGCTACCTCCATTACCTCCAGAAGAACAAGCTCCTGAGTCTAGAAATCCTCTGACGATTTTGAACGCTCCACTTGAATTAGCAGAAAGTCTGATTGATTCTGTACTTCAACCAAGTGCTGAAGAAGCTACGAGATTACGAAGATTATCGACTCCTAATCGTGATTCATTTAATTTTACATTAACCTTCGGATGTCGTAATCCAATGAATGAACAAAGAGATTCAAATGCATGGGTTCATAGGTTTTTGGCATTAGAACAATCTAGAAGAGAAAATAATGCAAATGATTCAAACTTGGATCCTTCATCGTCATCTACCGCTGATGCTAACGTGAGCACATTTGCAGAACAATCTTCTCAACAAACCCCAGAACAACAACAACCGCAACCGTTGGAATTAGCAGACACAGCTTCACAACAAACTCAACAGTCAGAAACTTCTTCTCAACAACCAGAACCTCAAGAAGCATCTGCACAAGCTTCGCAACAAGTGGAGCAGGCTCAAGCAACACCTCCACAACAATCTGCTCCAGAATTACAAGTACCTGATGGAGTAGATCCATCTTTCCTTGCTGCATTACCAGATGAAATGCGGGATGAGGTAATTGCAGAACAATTAAGGCTTCAAAGAATTAGACAACGAGCACAGGCAACTGTTGTTGAAGAAGTAACAGGGCCAGTAGAAGTAAATCCAGAATTTTTAGCAGCATTGCCACCAGCTATCCAAGAAGAAGTACTTGCTCAACAAAGATTAGAGCAACAAAGACATGCTGCAGCGTCTGCGAATCCATCTGATCCAGTTGATGCTGCTGCATTCTTTCAAAATCTTCAACCTTCATTACGTCAAGCTATTCTCACAGATATGGAAGAATCACAAATGTCTGTTCTTCCACCAGATTTAGCAGAAGAAGCGCAAACATTACGCAGACAGTGGGAAGCAAGAAATAGACATATAATGCAAGCAAGATTCTTGAGCCATGTTAATCATGGTAGTACAGCACTATCGAGTATTTTAAGAAATTCTGGACGAGGACGTGGAGGCGCTGCTCGATATACTATTCATTCAATGGGAGCTCATAGAAATCAATGGAATTCATGGAATTCACGAGGAGAGAGTAGTATCGCCCACCAAAGTGCCGGGTTACGATTACGAGGGCGACAATTATTAGATCATGAATCGATGGCTTGTCTTTTGGTTCTTCTTTTTGTTGATGAACCTAAAATTAATACCTTAAGGCTTCACCGAGTAATAAGAAATCTATGCTATCATGCTAGCACTCGAGAATGGGTAGTGAAAGCTCTTCTGAATATTATGGAGCGAAGTAATGACGAAAATAAGGAGATCATTACAGATTTTACTGGAAAATTCAAGAGGAAAGTTATACATCCTGCTATTGATTATTGTGCAACTAAACTCGCTGAACCGAGAAATAACTTGCAATCCTGGTTGAATATAAGTATCGATGCCGCTCTTGGATGTCGTGCCAATGTTTTCCACGTTGTAAGACATAGTGGAAAGAAATCAGACCGACAAGGAAATATGATTGCTATTCATCCTCAAGCAGCTCCTACAGTTTGTAGGCATACTTTAGAACTTCTAATATCATTAGCAAAGAGCTTTCCAGGATACTTTGTGCCAACTAAATTTAAAGATTCAGAGGAGAAAAATAAAGACAGAGAGGGTAATAAAGAAGAAACTGGAGCAAAACCCAAGTCTACGTCAAAGTCTACGAAGTCTGAAGTTCCAGATTTCTGGGATATGTTGTTAAAATTAGATTCTTGCGCTTCAAAAAAAGGCAAATCAGTTTCTCGAACGCATTTTACATCTGGATTTGGTTCAGAGCCTGAGCAAAGTTTAACCTCTTTTGAATCTTCAGCATTCGGACAACTGATATCGATGCTTCATTGGTCTGTAGTACGAAGGAGTAGTCAATTGACAGATAAATTGCTTCGATTATTATCGCTCATTTCCATTGGTTTAACGGAAGTTAATTCATATCGACGTCAAGATGTTAAAAATAAAAAAATAGAACCAAGCAAAGAACTAAGTGTTGCAGCGCCTGAAGGACATCTAAGACTTGCTGTACAAGTTTTGACTAGCAAGAGTTGCTCGGAAGAAGGACTTGAAGATGCTACTGCATTATTGCTTAATTTATCTCATTGTCCAGATCCAACTAGACAACTAATTTTAAAACTTTTATTGGAAGGAGCCATGGAGCTAGCCAATATGGTTTGCGAGCATATCAGTGAACTCATGAAGGAACTTAAAGTATTAAATCGAGAGATTCGTAGGAGAAACTCATTAGAAGATCAGCCATCAACCAGTAGCAGTGGAACAAGTCGTGGAATATTGACAGATCGTTTCACTCAAGACAGTGTTGTAGTAACTGCACCATCAAAAGTAAAGGCAGGTACTGATCTTCAACTGCCATCAATGAGTGCATTAGTCAGCAAGACATCTAGTCAAGCATTCTTCCTACGGATACTTAAAGTCATTGTACAGATTAGAGAAGCCGTTCATTTAGCAAATAAGAAGAAAAATGAGGCTGCACAACATGCAGAAACTGCAATGGATACTACCGCAATATCTTCTCAGTCTCAAGAGGCAACTGTTGATGATAGCACTACATCTGAGAATGCCATGGATACTGCTCAAACTAATCCAACATCCTCGCAGCCTGATATTTTAAAGCCTTCATTTTCGAAAAAAGATGAAGAAAAATCAGTGCTTCCACTCCTGAGCGAGAGTCTTGTCTTAGATAATCTTTGGGAAACATTAAGTGCTTGTTTGTTGGAACTAGAACACACTCCCGATCATCATGCCGTCCTTGTTCTCCAACCTGCAGTTGAAGCTTTCTTCTTAGTTCACTCATCATCAAGTACATCAACGAAAGATCGTAATAATGAAACGAATAATGAGGCCAGAGAAGTTGTAGCTGATATGGCACCAGTCTCACCAATCTATTCCGACAATGAAGGACCATCGCATTCAGAAAATGTCAGCAATATTTCATCTTGGGATATGACACCAACTCCACATAAATCACTGCCGTCCGATCAGTTGAAGTTCCTTAAGTTCGCTGAAACGCACAGAACTGTTTTAAACCAAATCCTTCGGCAGACAACAACTCATTTAGCTGACGGTCCATTCTCCGTTCTCGTTGACCATACACGAGTTTTAGACTTTGACGTCAAAAGAAGATACTTTAGAACAGAACTAGAGCGTATGGACGAAGGAATTAGACGAGAAGAATTAGCAGTTCATGTTAGAAGAAGTCATGTGTTCGAAGATTCATTCAGAGAACTTCATCGTAGGAATGCTGACGAATGGAAAAATCGATTTTACATTGTATTTGAAGGTGAAGAAGGTCAAGATGCTGGAGGTTTACTTAGGGAATGGTATGTGATCATTTCAAGAGAAATCTTTAATCCTATGTACGCTCTCTTCACCGTCAGTCCTGGAGATAGGGTTACGTATATGATCAATTCATCATCTCATTGTAATCCTAACCATTTGTGTTACTACAAATTCGTTGGGCGCGTTATAGGTAAGTTAATCATTTAAATTAATATTCAGTAAATAAATCTATTTATCTATCCAGCATTTAAAATAATTACTATTTGTTTTTTTTTCTCTTTTACAGCTAAAGCAATTTATGATAACAAATTACTGGAGTGTTACTTCACTCGTAGCTTTTATAAACATATTCTTGGTATTCTTGTTAAACATACTGACATGGAGAGTGAAGACTATAGCTTCTACAAGGGCCTCGTGTACCTAACTGAGCATAATATTTCTGACCTTGGATATGAGTTGACGTTCTCAGCAGAGGTAATTACTTGTGTGCTAAATTAGATCATAGTTAGTTGCTTTTAACAAAATGGTTTATTTTTAATTTTATATTTTATTGATTATTTTTATTTATAATAATTTAATTTAATTAATTTTAGGTCAATGAGTTTGGAGTCAATGATGTTCGAGATTTGATACCAAATGGACGTAATATTGTTGTTACAGAAGAAACAAAGTTAGAATACATTAGATTAGTTTGTCAGATGAAAATGACAGGAGCTATTCGTAAACAGTGAGTATTATAATTTTTTTTTTACATGAAATAATTATTTTACTTATTGTTAAACATAATAAAATAAATTTTTTTCAGATTAAATTCATTTTTAGAAGGCTTCTATGATATCATACCTAAACGATTAATATCTATTTTCAATGAACAAGAACTTGAATTACTTATTAGCGGTTTGCCAAATGTTGACATCGAAGATCTGCGAGCAAATACAGAATACCACAAATACAGTCCTACCTCGTTACAGGTAATTTATTTAAATAAAAACAATTTAAAAATGAATGTAGTTTATTTTTGTAGAAAAATATTACGTATAAATTTGGTATTAATTTTTAATCTTTTTTGAATAGATTCAATGGTTTTGGCGTGCTCTTAGAGGTTTTGATCAAGCAGACAGAGCGAAATTTTTACAATTTGTGACAGGAACATCTAAAGTACCATTACAGGGTTTTGGTGCGTTGGAAGGAATGAATGGTGTACAGAAATTCCAAATTCATCGAGATGATCGTTCAACAGATCGATTGCCTTCCGCACATACATGGTAAATATTTATTTATTAATCATATTTTCTAAAGTTTTATCGGTTTGATATTTAATTATTTAATAATAATTTATTTATTATTAAATTAATTGATGAATAAAAAATTTATTACAGCTTCAACCAACTCGATTTGCCTGTATACGAAACATATGACAAGCTTCGAAGCAATCTACTTAAAGCGATACACGAATGTAGCGAAGGATTTGGATTTGCATAAATTGATTAATAGGTAATTAAACGTATGTGAAAATCTAACTTATTATTTCGTTTGGTTTACGTTATTAAAACATATACGTAATATAAAAACTATCATGTACTCGCTCCGATTGCAATCATCAAGAAATAATGATGATAATAAATAAAAAAATGTCATAGCAAGTAAATAATTAATGATCGATTGTCATCTTCAGGTACTGTTTTTTCATAATTGTCGCCGAAACTAAAATTACCAATCGGATTCAATCATTTATGTAATTACTAAGCGAACATATGTATATACATATTACCATTGGAAATGTAATTATTGAAAATCATCCTACAACGCTTCCTAAAAATGTCAGAGTTTATTTTATTGAAAATTGCACAGTTGCAGAGCTTAATGAATTTTTGAATAACCATAATAATATTAAATAGCAAAAGTTTAATTAAAAAACGAACATAAGAAACATAACCATATAAGTTGATTATAAGCATAATGCTAGGCATCTTTTAGTACGTTATTATCAAAAATATTTAGAAACAAGAGTTGTAAGATATTTCCCTTGATTGAGAATATAATTAAAATGAAGCATGATAGGTAAGATGAGAAAAGTAAAAGATTATCATCAGTGATGTATTGTATCCGGTTCGATAGCTTCGGTAGCTTTTAAAAACAAGGTAAAAAAAACCTTGAATTTTTTTTGAAAATATTTGAATACTAATGCAAATAATTAAATGAGTTACATATAAGCGAAAGACAAATATAAATCGTCAGATTTGAAGTGTGTGAGTGAACGATTGTTGTGTATGAATGAGAAACAACAATTATTAAGATAATCCAAGAGCCTAATGGAAAGACATAATAAAAAAAAATGAATAAATAAAATGAGAATTAAAAATTACTTTGCAACAAATGTGTCCTATTTCCGACAGATGTATGGTTGTAAACTATTAGTATTAATAATTATAATTAATTTTTAAATAACTAGTAGTACTTTTAAGTAATATCATTTTAATATTAATTATTCAATTGAAATGTGATTCTATTAAAAAAGTGTAATTTTTTTTCAATTCTAACTAAATAAAGTTTAAACGTTGAACTTGATTACAATTAGTTAACAATAAAGAAGATAAATTTCTATAAATTTTCAAGTAATAAACTGTATTAAGATTGAAATAAATAAATTATGTTGATTTAAAAAATAGCTAAGTGAGTATATAATGAAAAAAAAAATAATATCAAATCATTAAATAATTTAAAACATTAAATTTGTAACAGAAAAATATATATTTCATATTTACACATACATTTACATACGTGGTATTAAGAATATAGTTTTTTATAGCCAAATTCGTTGACATTGTGAACAACGATGTGGAAATGAGAGTGAGAATCAACGAGAGTCTTCGGAAATATGAATCGAAGTTTAATGTATTGTTATTGACTGTAAAGACCCATCCATAAATGAAAACAGCAAGCATTAACGAAGCCTTCAATTAAACTGTGGATCTCGCTAACACTAAATGGAGTACTTGTTATTTCGCCAGACTTTCGGTAAACCGCATACAATTCCTAGGAGAAAAAAAAATATTAATTAAGTTATTAAAAATGGAAATAACCAATATTCTAAGAAATCAAGTTATAATTTTTTTAAATCGTATAATTACTTGAGTAGATGAAATTTTTCTAGATTCAGTTTTCTTTTTTTAAATTTCTGATGATAAATCTTTTATTTCATTTTAAAAGTGAATGATAATTATAAAAATTTTAAATAATAGTTTTGAGTAAATAATTAATTGTTTTCATAATATAAGTAAAATTGTATAAAGCGATCATTATTTATAATCTTGAACAATTAATAAATAAAGTAATTGTGTTAATACTTTTTAGCAGTATTATTAAAAGTTCAAATTCATCAATTAATAGTAACAATTAAAATTTTTTATCTTTTTATAAAAAAATCATTTTTAATATTCATGAATACACTTACCCCTCTAGATGTGTGAAGATCTATGGTAAGCATCATGAATGCCTGAAGATAACTGGGATGAAGAATAAGATGATGGGTAACATTTCCATCAGCTGTACTGAACTGTTTATGATGTTCTTGATATTTATTTTGCAAAACTTTAGCAAGAGTTTGATACCAAGCAAGTGGTTGATTTCCAAAAGGGCTCAGTCTTGGATCTAAACTAGATAACGGATCAACTCTTGCCAATGATCTTAGTTCCATAAATTCAGTGTAAGTCATCGTCGATTTACTTTCTAGCAACTTATTCCACAATAAATGAGTCCGACAATGAAGCATTCCTCTATCTATCATGCTACTGATATGCTGCCTAGCTGCACGAGCTTGGGAGATGATTTGTTGCTGCATCAGTTGCTCATGTGATGAATAATAACCCAAATAATTTACCGATTCTTGTCTTATTTGAAACAGATGTGGAGAAGTTATTTCTGATGATGTAATGCCTCTAGTAGTGCTTGGCATCAGAGGGGAATCAGGTACTGGTGGTGGTGTTGGAGCTAATACAGGACCAACAACATCTTTATCTTCATCAATTTTACTATCTCGTCTTGTCTGTACTGTTGAAGTAGAATTACTTTCAGAAAATTCATAATCAACATTTGTCTCATCTCTAGAGCTCCGATCAGATGATGGAGTTGAGGTCGTTGGAGTTGATTCAAGAAAATTCTCTACGTGAGATCCACTTGTGGTTCTTGCTACACTGTAAACCGTCCTAAATTTACCTAATTTACTATTTTCCAGTTCCTTCTTAGGATACAGTTCTCTTTTACTTGTGAGGATTAAATAGTACTTGAGCATTATCTCAGACTTCTCGATTTGAGGAGATAAATCCTGCTTGGATACAATTAAAATAACTGTAAAGTCATCAGTGTACTTCGTATCTTGAGCATCAGTATAGCTTACAAGAGGAGTACTTTGTAATCGGACTAGAACATATTCACTATCTCTGGCATCTAAGGAATCATTTGCCATTCCAAATACTTGCATTCCATACGTCTTTTCATGAGATAATAAATAGGAATACAGAGTATGAGCTGGAGTGGTTAAATTATTTACTGTAATCACATCACTGTATACTAAATTCCTGGCAAAATTGGGAGCTTTACTATAATATTTTATAAAATCATCTAGAAAATGTGTCAAATGATAACCCTGCTCCAATGTCCACTGACCACTTCCTGAGATATATGAGTGGATACACCGTAAATGGAAATCATACATAAACGAATGTAAGTGCATATTTATTTTTATCTTTTCACATGCATCAACAAAACTAAGCATAAATTGATTCACTAAACTGGATTTTGATTGTAGACGATTGCATTCAATCACATGAAGTTTTGCAGTAAAAAAAGGTTCCACGAATTTTAATTCAAACAGCAAAATGCCTCCAAGCATTGATTTTTTGAGATAACAAATTTTTTGAGATTGATCTTCATTAGGATTTTTTTGATTTGTAACTCCTGAATCTATTTGAACTTCACAAAAACCATTTTCCACAACTTGAAGATACTGTTTATACTCTGACATCATCAAAGCACAAAGTTCTTGATGCCAAACAGTATCAGAGTTTTCTTTAACAGTTCCTATCTTTTTAAAACTAGTATCTGATGTTTGTTGAGGAGGTTGAGAGCTTGTTGGAGACATTGATGACGGCGGAGTAAGCGAATGATCTCTAGTAGCTGCTGACTGAAGTCTCCACTGTGGTAGGAAAAGAATTGGTGTATGACAGAAATGAATAAGTCTAGAATACTGTTTAAAAGTATTTAAATTTGCTAGTGAAATAGGAACTACACTATTCGGAACTGCACTTCTACTCTGCCACATCGTATATAATCTCGTAAGATCTTCTTTGCTTTTTCTTTCTCTTTGATGCAAATCTTGAAGATCATAGACCGCTTTTACCACTGGGTCAGTTGTGTTGGGTGGATAATGACCACTCGGCCGAGAATCTCGCATTACTTGACCTGTCATGCGATCCCACGAATAATGAACATTTCGACCACTAGCCAGTCTATTACCAGATCTTGCCCATTCATTCATTTCCAAATTAGACACTGGAAATTTTATTACAGTCTCGATATCTGTTATTTGACAGTACTGAAGACCATGTTCATCTCTTCCACGATACGAATCTATAGGCCTATGATGGAATATTCCTAATTTTTGCATGAAAACATTAGAGTATAGAAGTGACCTTGAAGATAGCCAAGCTCCTAAATTCGTCGCTTGTTTTATTAATTTTTCTGATCGTTCCTTAGACCAATTATACATATATAAAATAAACTGATCTCCTTGCACTTTAGCTAGTAATATTCTCTGTCTTGGAATAAAGTTTGATTCCTGAATCAAAGGATTAAATTTTTGAAATAATTTTTGATCTTTTGGCATCAACAGCTCTGGTTCTGGATTTTCATTGAATGAAGCTTTCCATTGACTAAAATTTCTAGCTACTATGAAAGCTTTGGAATAAGTTTTTGGATCATCAGTATTAAATTCACATGGCACATAAATAATTTCTTCATCGTCATCATGATCGTACTTGAAAACATTGTTATCTTTACTATCATGTTTTGTTTTTTTGGTAGAAAAGTCATTCGAACTATTTTCCGAGTTATCATAATTACTATCTAATTGTTTAAAAGGTAATAAAATTTCTGAGGCAATTGTGTCGTTGATAAGGAATGGCTGACGTTGACGAAGAACAAACGCACGTGTAGTTGTATCCGGCGCATTAACTCGAATTAAATTTTGTAGTTCTCTTACTGTTGTAGAAATTGGATGTCTATGATGAATATTAACAACATATTTTTTCACAGAAGAAACTCCCATATCTAAAGCAAATTGAAACCAACACGGAAGAGTTTTATGATAAATTTCATGAAGTTTACCTTCTTCACCGAGTTCAAAAGAATTTAATTTGTTGCCCTCTGAAATTTTTGGATGAACTTGAGGCTTTAGAGATTCTATTTTTTCTTCAGAATTTTGTCTGTTTACTTCAGATTTTTTTTCACCAAAAGGTACTGTTAAAGGAATCCTAAAAAGATAATATTCTGTTACTAAATCCCAGATGGAATGCTTTATGGCCGCTCTGAGTTTCTCTTTCAATGTATCTACATTTACTCTTCCTTGTTTCCAAATTCTAAACTCAATAGGCACATCAGGTAGCGAATCAGATCGAGTTTTGCCTTCATAATCAGTCGTAGATACTACATTCGCAAAGTCTTTTATTCTTAATAACGCTGGAAATTCAGTATGATTTTCTAAAGAAATTTCTCTATCAACCGCCATTGCAATGCAAGCAATTCCTTTATTTCCACTGGATTGGTTTTGATTAGCTTGATTATTCAAAAAGATATCTGTTTCAGGAACTCTTTTCTTTGATCCTTCTGGCTGGGAATAATCTTGAAGATGATAGTAAGCTCTTGGATCGGTATACTTTGGAATGTATAAAAACTGCAAAATATTCTGACGTAAATAATATGCTAAAGCATCGATATGTTTAAGATAGTAAGGCTGGGTGGAAAATTGTACATAACTCTCAGGTGATCTGTACGGCTTCTGAATGAAATGGACATCTGCTGGTGTTAACTTACACATTGGATTTCTAGCTAACATCACAGATAATACTTCAAGTACTGCATCGTCTAATCTATTGTGTAATGCTTGAACAAGATCACGTCTTATTTCCAACCCTGGTTCAGAAATTCCATGTACCATTAAGACAATGGAATCATCAGATTTATTCATATAATCTGAATCTTTTTCTCCAAATGATCGAACTCTTGGTCTAGTGTCATCGATTTTACTTTGATCTAACGGATGACTCATTCTTGTTTGAGATAAAGAAGCTACACTGTTACTTCTTGATACCATTAATCGTTCATCGCTCTCCGATAATTTATTCTGCAAAGACTTGCCATCACTTGTTTGTTCATGAAGACGAAGATAAAAAACATTTGAAGTACTTTCTCTATAAACAAACATATTATTTCTATTGTTAACAGATAGATGATTTAAAACTACTTGAAGAGCTTTGATTCCTCGAGACAATACAGATCGTCCCTGTCCTGTTTTTAGTCTAGGATGTAGACAAAATGTTTCTTCCCATACTACAGAACATCTAAACATACCTGGAACCATGTTGATGCCTGATTCATTATGTTTAGTTATAGCGCTTGATCCATTCGAATCAGCTCTCCAAACGTGATCTTCATGAGACTCAGGTTCCAGTAGTGGATCACAGTTTCTAGTATTATTTAAACTCTCCAGAAGTAAATATTGATTTACTCGACGACATATTGATGCTATTTGACTTACAACCAATTTTTGAACTTGTCTATATCGATCGACTTCAGAGGAAGCGATTTCTAAAAATCTACAATGAAAATAAACATCAACATGATTTTTTCTGACTTGAAGAATAAGCCAAAAATTAGGCAAAGATTCTCTTCGTTTGTCTAAATCAGTTAACCAGTAACAATCATCAGAATTACTACTGTCTCCTTCATATCCATCATCATAACCATCTGTTCCAGGTCGTTCACCAATACTGGAAATTTCTGATTGACACCCAGGATTTTCGCCTGAATCCTGTCGACTGGTTCTACTATTAGCATCCTGTAAACCATCAGAATCATCTAGATCTGGAATAGCTGATGATTTTTCAGTCTTTTCTTCATCATCTCTTTCATTTAATTCACAATTATCTGTTCTTCCAGCGTGTTCATGCATTATTTTATCATCTTTAACAAAGTATAAAAATTCTTCTAATCTTCTAATTGTATACCTATCGATTTGCATCTTTATTAGTTCTTCCATAAATTTAGGAGTATTGCCAGGTGATGATAAGACAAAATGAAGAGGAACTTTATCAAAATGACAGCTTGTTTTACCACTAGATTCAGCTACATGTCGAGCTACAAAATTTAAAGTCTCTTCAGTTGGAGGACTGAAATCTAAAAGCGCTGTTGCTATTTCATCTCTTAGTAACCATTCAATTTCAGCAGTTAAAGTGGAAATAGCATGATGTTGATAAGAAGGAAGATGTGCTATTCTTTCTCTAGCTGGTTGTTTATCAAGTAATGCATTATCATTGTCTGGACTGCTTTCGCTGTCTGTTCCAACACTTCCAGTTGATGAAGAACTACAGTATGATGATGCTCTTAAATCAGGATCATTCTCTAAACATACATCTAATACATCTTTAGGTAAATTTAAACAAATTATATCTAAAGTAATTTTTAAATTTTTTACATTTGAATCTTCATATTCGTCTAATCTTTGTCTAATTTCTGCAAAACATGTTGGAAGTAATTTGACAGGAATACTTGAAAAACTTGAGCCAGAATGAACAGAACAATTTAATTGTAAAAATAATGGTTGTTCTTTTAGACTACTTTCATCTTCCCTTAAGTCACTAATTAAAGACTCTGTTGAATCATATGCAGTATTTTTTGTATTTTTTTTTTTTGTATTTGGCCAAGTAGCTGTTGAGGTAACATTATTTTTCCCCATAGTATTATCTAGTTTACAATCTATAGCCTCCGAATGAAAAATGAAATTTGAATCATCATCACTATCTGATCTATGAAATTCCATTGGATCCAATCTTTCAGAAGTATATTGGGGAGAGTAATAATAAAATTCTGGATGTGCTGGTACTGGTTTGAAAGCTATAGTAATGATTTTACGAAATTTTTCTGTAATTAAATTATGAAGAGGTTGAACTTCAGTACACGTTGTATTGTTTGTGTAATCTAATTCTTTTGATTCATCTGAGTTTTCAGATTTAAATGAATTATTAAGATGTTTACAGACTGTTCGAAGGTAAGTGGTGATGTTTATTTCAATAAGAGACTCTTCACATTGCTCCACTGCAGCTTCCATATCCTCGTAGGAGAGCTGAAGTTGTAGAGCCAATGATTTATATACTGCGACAACATAGCAGTGACAGTGAGCAAGGCTTAAAAGTTTGCAATGCTCTAATAAACTCCGTTGATCTAAAAAGATAAAAAAAAGCTATTTATCTTGCTAATTATAGAACTAATAAAAACAATCATTAAAAAAGTTTTAATAAATACGGCTATTAATTTGATGTAATTTTTTATGAAAAAAATTAAAAACTGATTAAAAATCTTTGTACGATAATTTCTTATAGATTAACTAAAAAAATAAAATGATTAATAATAAGATAAGATAATTATACCATTAGATAAATTATCAGAATCCTCACTCTTCGGTTCTGGAGATGTTGATTTACAATCATTTGGTGGTTTTAGATTAATAAAATCTTCATGCATTTGTTGACCAATTGTAAACGTATTATTCTGATAAATATCTTTCGAGCGTGGTGCCTTCAATTTACCTACTAATACTTCAATTAGAAAAGCTAATGAGCAATCATAAACGTAAATGGGCAAAATTAATCCAGGTTTTATTCCTGAAGATGATATACGTCTTCGTCGTTCGACTTTTGGTGTACTTTCTGCTGTTGTTGTTCGACTAGATAGATTTGATTCAAACTCAATCATTCTTACACTTGGATTTAAATCCAGCCTTTTCGGACTTTCAGTCCAAGATGAAGTTAAAAGCTCTTCATTTATTGTTGGATTTGCTGAACTACATTGGGACATTGAATCTATCCTTTCTGCTGACCTTTCTCGTGAATATTTTCGAGTTCTTGAAATTGGATTCATCAAGTTCCGTACGTCTTTGTCAGATGCGGGCAAAATAGTTATTATTATGTGGGTCGAATTTATACCTTTGATAAAACATCGCCAGCGCATGTTGTTCTTCAATTTTTCTCCTAAAAATATTTCTTCGTAAATACATTTATACTTTAAAAAATCACTATTGAAGTAAATATACAACAAAAACTAATTTATTGCAAGAACTAATGTTAGAAAATTATTTGTTGTAAGTTTCGAAGAATACCTGAATCTAAAGAAAAAGGAAGTGGTTTTCCATCTTCTCTTGGTCTATAAAAAAGCATTTCAGTAAATTTTTGTGACTCCGAAATAGTCAAAATTAATTCTTTATCATTCAGTCTCTTTATTTCATCAATTAAACATTCCATTAAAATATTATTAGTATCTTCTCTATTTTCATCAGTGTGACTGTCAACAAACATAGAAAATAATAGCTCTGCTTGCTGACATTTTGATAAAATATTTAACATATCGAAATTGAAGAGTTTTGAATGAATTCCTTCATCTGATAATTCATCAGATAAGTATTTTGACTGTGAAAAACTTGGTACAGAAATTCTTCTTGATATTTTATGTGAACAGTTATTATACGGAATATATTGAGAAGCTTGTTGCTGACATCCATTGGAAAATTCAATACTATTGTCGTGAGGATCTACTTGAGTTAATAAACTCAAGTGTTCTAACGTCAATAATGCATTAAAACACTCCTCATCAACCTGAGCAATCTGTAAAATCAAAAAAGGAATTTTTTCAACACTGAAATCAATTTTACATAATTTTTTCAATTATTCATGGATTTTGTTTTTATTTTAATGAAATATTCTTTTTTTTTTACAATATTTATGTAATGTTTGGTCTAAAAAATACATTTTCGTGAATTACAATTTAAAAAAATAATAAAAAATTGGAAACAATTTTGAACATAAATTGAATACAACATAAAAGTAAATAAAATTTTTTGAACGATGGAAGAGAGTTCGTGGAGTTGTTGAGGCGACCGGAATAAGTTGGAGGAGTTGAATCTCACTTTCAAACCAAGCGTAGAGACCACTTCTCCACTTGAACCATGACGCCTCGAATTAAGTTTCTCTGACAAAATTACTAAATAATAATAAAAATAAAGTTCGATAACAATACAAGCAAATTAACATAAAAACTATGTCAGAATATCCTTGAAAATGCCGAAAAGAATGCCAATAAGAAAGCAGAAACAATCGATGACAAGATCCAAGCGATCTTGAGCTGGAAGAAATAGATCTGGCAAGAACCCAAACTTGCTCACTGCCTAGATCTTCACTTCCAACTCGAGGTCACTCAGTCATTCAATAGCTAATCACCAGGTTCAGAGAATAATTAATCACCATTAATCAATGTTCAATTCCAACACTCTTTGAAAGTCTCTTAAAAGTTTTTTTAATGAAATTTAATTAATTAATGTAATTAAAATTTAGTTAATAACACAGTAATTTTCCACTTGGCACTCAATGAATCAACACAATAAATGTTTTGTCGATAGATATCAGCACTTAATATTTGTCAAAGTCATTGGAAACCTTCCAGAACATGACGAGACTCGTCTCGTTAAGACTGAGGCTTTAAAACTGAAGAGTAAGAAGACAGTACACCAAGACGACACTTGAAAGATTGAAACCTCAATGCCTCATCAGAAAAAAGGTAAATCCAACACTAGCGGGCCCAGAGTAGTCACTGGGCCTCATATATACCTGCTGACAACTGATAGGAAACCCCGGCCTAGGTTTCTCATCGATATCGAGCTCCGCCCTGATAACGATAACGATGTTGAGTGATATAAACCAATACACCCTATACTTCGCAAAGATTTTTGCGATGTTTTAATTAATATTTTGTATCGCTTTAATTTATTTATTTCAGGATTGATCAAAGGTCATTGATTAGTATTTTGTTTTATTCTAAATAAATTTAAATTAATTTAATTGATCTTTTTTCGACATTTTAGAAGTCTTCTAATTTAATTAATTCTTAAAAAATAATTAGAAATAAAATTTCTAAAATACAATTTGTTTTGCAATTATTAGTCAAAGTTGTAATATTAAAAAAAAGAAGTAAAAAGGTTAATTTTTCACAAAAAACTTATGAACATTGAAATAAATTTATTTCAACCTATAAAACTAATTAAGTACTAAATTTCTGTTAATTAATTATCTATACAAAATTTATTTACAATAAAAAATCTTAATTAATTTTTGAAATTTTGAAAGAATATAATAATGACTACTTTTGAATAATGTGTCAATGAGAGCTCAAAGACAAGCTCGATAATTCTCGATTCAGGTACAATTGATAAGACGAAAAAAAGATATCATCATAATACTTTGTATTATTATTATGACAAATAATCGAATATTTTTAGAATAAAAAACCATTAGAAATTGAAATTAATGTCAATTTTAATAACAACAGTGACATAGTTTATGATGTTATCAATTTAATTAAAACAAAAAATTACAGGCCTAAAGACAGGCCAGGTTTTTTGTAATTTTAGACTGTTCCATTTAAAACAAATTATTTCAATCACTTGTTTCAAATGAATTTTTGTGTAAGGATTAATATGAAATATATCGGCTATCAGGAGTGACGGAGGAGAAGAAACAAGTAAATAATCTTTCTGTGATATCTTTGACCAATGTTTGCTTCGAGATAAAAGTCTATGACAAAATAAACCACTTCAGAAAGTACTGCCCAGGATAATTTTTTATGTTACTGATTACAAGAATTATCAAAAGAACTCTTTAAGATAGCACCAAGGTGCCACCAAGGTATCACTCATCCAAAATTTATTAGAATACTTAAATTGACATAACTCTCAAATGATTTTCACGTGAGAGTTATAAAGAATTGTCAGAATTAAAGTTACTAAAACTAGAAGAATAATTTCAACTACTGACAAATCTCAAAACTAATGTGATTTCTATTTTAACACTAAGTACGTGTTATCTATTGATGTCTGTGCAAGTATTGATCCTAGATATCTTATCAGATATAAGACGTTTTCAAGAATATGACAACTCTTATCAATTTCCGACTAGCAACATGACCAAACGTTACATACTAGCAAGTGTATATAATCCTTCGTCTATCTCTCAATTATATCTTTACTTTTAACTTAATAATATGTTGAATCAAAACTATTAGGTACAATAAAATTACATACCGCACTTGATAACTGGTGGTATGATAAAGATTCCATATACGACGCTGTTGAATGAATTAGTGATTTCACTTGACCACATTGGGGTTCTATCCATATTTCGGTGACAATCTGGTAATCTCCATTACTTTCACTATCCTCGTTATATCCTTCACCATCACCTGTTCCTAAACAGGAAAAGGTTTAATATTTAAAAAATCGATTTTTATTGATACAAATCTACAAACCTGCATCAGTATCTTCTTCAGATTCAGTAGTTCTATCTAATGCAGGATTACTTATCATATGAGGAGGGAAAATAATGTATTGGATAATGCAAGGATAGCATTCTCCTTGAGAACCTTGCATTTGTACCTCTAAAACCATGTTAATAATTCCCGCAGAAGAATAAGCAAAGTTGAAGCCTTCTGTTAGTCGCATTCTGTATAAAATAAATTTTTTTCAATATATATAAATATGTAATGTATAAATATTTATATTTATACATTACAATATTTTGTATTCCATTTACGAGTGAATAAACTACCCAATAAGTTGCTGCAGTTGATAAAAATAATTGAAACTAATAAGAATTAATAATAAATAAATAAAAAATTAATAAAACTATTAATTATCTTACTTAGTTATTGTCGAAAGTATCCTAGATATCGCAGTAATATTCAGTCTTGGCATAACAATTCCAGGGACAGTCTGGATCACTGGCTTCTTAACATTCCACAGCCACCTATTATGATATAGATATCTGGATAACGTTGTCGTCAAAAACCCTCCAGGAATTTGTGCTACTTTCAGTGAAATCTGCTGAGTTCCATCAGGAAAAACTATTGTATTCATATCGGATGGCATTCTTTCATATCTAATTAATATCTTCTCTAAAGCTTTATGAATAATTGTACAAGCAGGCGATGTCTCTCGTTGTTCTGTCGGCCTATTTGGTAGAGTCAATTTAGACAATTTATCTACAAGATCTGACACAACGGCATGACGAACAGAACCTTCTGTACCACCAGCAAAAGCAACATTTAAAACTACACAAAGTGTTTTACAGTTTATTCTAATTACTGAAAATGAACTTGGAGGCTTTTCACTTTCTTTCTGAATAAATTGGACATAAGTATGATTTTCTACAAGCACAAAAGTCGCCCAGTTTTTCAACATAGCGTATAAAACTGCTGCTGCTTGACGATACTGAACACATTGAAATCTTCCACTCTGATTTGCTTGATGCAAATATTTGGGAAGAGGTCTATCATGAGCGAGAATAAGCGTAACTCTTTGAGAATGCATCCAGCGTGCCCATTGGTTGGAATCTAAAGATGCTACAGGCTGCCAAATCTTTCCAAACTGATGATAAGCAGTATCACTAAGTTGAATGGCTGAGGGATATGCAGGTGGTGTAAAAACTGGCATACCACTTCTAATAGTATCTGGGACGTTATACCAAGTTCTGCCTGGTTCAGGAAACCAACTAAAGTGTTCCAGCATGTTATTACTTTCAGTAAGAGCAGTCAAAGTCGCCCAAAAACGTGAAACAACACTTTGACGATATATAGACTTTAGTGGCTTCTTTGATAAACATGTAATATCATGTAAAAATTCATATGGAGCTTCTACTGTAATAGTATATTGAATTTTATTACATGTAAGTGATGATTTTGGTGGCCATGTACTGCAAACTAAATATTCTAGAAAAACATGCGTTTTCCAAGGCAGAATAAAATATATTTCGAGGCTTCCGTCACGTAGAGCGACTTTTTTGATAAGATATCCATCCCTCAACCGACAACAGAGCAGACTGCTTAATGAACACGTGACTTTATCATCAGTTAATTTTTTCCTGAGCAATTGAGCTTGTTGGTGGCCATAAAAGAGTGCGTTTCCTGTATGCCAGTAATTGGATGTATGAGTATTTAAAGATTCGCTTCGATAAAGCTTCCAGCATAAAAAATTCCAATGGTAGGAGTTTCTCTCTGAGTCAACGATTGATGACGATTGTTCAAGATATGTCATGTAACAACCGAGAGTTGCTGTTGCAATAAATATTAGAAGATCTGGATACGACACTAGACCGTTGGCACAATGTGGATGATAAATACTACCTAAATGAATAAAACTACAAGCTACTGTTAAAGCTCGAAATTGTTGAACTATTGTATCCAACACATGAATATCTGTTGTTCCAAGAATTCCATCAGTTACAACAACTAAATCTGAAATAAAATTCAATGAATATTATTCACTCATTTAAATTCAAATTTTATTAAATAATTAATTCGATAGGACTGTAATTGGGTTTATTTAATAAATTTAGTTATCCTCTATCCATAATTAACTTACGTGCACAACTGTGCTCAGGCAGAAGAGCAAGAGCAAGCAAACCATACCGCAGCATATTAATGAAGCTGGCTTCTGGAGAAATAACTGATATATTCCCTATAGAGTTAGTCATGCTTGTATTCATTCCAGAAGCTCGTTCCTCGAAAAGCCCACTGACCAACCCGGCACTTTCTGGACGAAAATTCTCTTGTTGTTGGTACACTACACTTGTAACTTGGGCTATTCTTTCTTCTAATACATTTAAACGTTTTTCTATGAACTCCATCAAGTAACGAATATTCTCTGTATTGACAAGCCATCCTTGCACTAAAATTTGTTGGGCTGGATTTGTTATAAAAGGTGTATGAACAATTATTGTCACATAAATATCTGGTTGAAGTATAAATTTACTTCCTGGAACTGCAAACTGATATTCATGATTAAATTTTGAATTGTGATAATTAGAAAATGTATATTAAATATATTATTGATATTTACAGGTTCCGATAAGCTTTCTAAAGATTTCTTAGTTGCTGTACAAACTTCATCAATGACAATTTCACCATGTTGAATATCCTATTAATAAGAATAATCAATTTATACATTTTTATTGATTCAAGTATATTTATAATTAGTCCAGTTACTTACAATAGTCCCTAGTGATGGACTCAGATCTAAACAAAAAACTATTCGATACTGATGAGCCAAAAAAATCACAGAAGAGGATGAAGTGACTCGATATTGATACTCATAGCTATTGCTATCATTCCACGATGAAGGAGGATTTTTGGGTACAACAGAAATGATTTCTAATTCTGATCTTTCTTCATTATCACAGTTAGAACATTTTACATTGATTATTGCATCTAAATGATCCAATATCCACTGTGCTCTAACATTTCGTGATATTGGAAAGCCTTTTTTCATCAGAAGAAATATTGTATCAGCTTCGAGGATGATTTTTTCCTAAAAGAATGGAAAAAATACGTATATTTCAAATTCATCATTCTGAAACATCAAAAACCACATGCCTTATAAATCAAATATAAATATAAACATTTACCTCGTATTCAGGACTATCCATTGTAAATGTATATCATGACAGTAAAAAAATTTGAATAAAAATTAGCACTATCTGCATTCATAACATTCAATAGCAGTATTCTAATTAATAATTGTTTGTACAACTTAGTAACAAGTTGTTATAATGACATATCAATGTAATAAAAAAATAAAAATAACTCCATTTGTTCATATATTTACGGACAAAGGTCACAGTTGAACTATTTTTGCATATAAACTGTTAAATATCCAATAAAAGATAAACATAATATAACCTAGAAGATTTTATCGTCAATGTGGACTAAATCATACGTTTTTGATGTGTGTGCGTATTTTTTCTGTGTTTACATCTAACTTACAGCTTTTGATGAGTAGAATCTGAGAAAAGATGATAATGATCATGCGCAAGAAATTATCCAACTTGTTTAATGTGCGCTTATTTTATTTTAAGAACTTGATACGCATTTAAAATAATTTATGGAGTAATTTTTACTTATCTCAGCATAAACTCTTTAAATAATATGATAATGAAATATCAGTAAAGATGAATTATATAATGTAATATCAGATATGAATTAAATATTTATTAAAAATTCAAACTTCGCGCTCAAAATACAACGCAGCTCCACTAGCGATAGAAATTCGAAATATAACTTTTAAAGCGCGAGTTTCGAAACCGTGTTAATTAGGTTTCTTTTTTTAACTTATATAAATTGATATTGATTAGAATTCGGTTGATTGATAGGCCAAGTATCGATTATTAATAAATAATACTACTACTGGGACAGACAACACACTGAAACTTATGTATTATTTTTGTTTTTAAAAAGTAAATATTTGTGTTATCACTATAAGCCACCTAACGAATGAATAACAAAGTAGATTTCGAAAACAAAGATAAATGGAATGTACATTTCACTTACACATCAGCTGCAAGAATGCAGTAAAAGAAAAGCGTGGGAAGGCCCATTACTCATTCCACTTATTTTTATTTTAATAATGGTATGCTGACTAATTAGTTCTTATTAAGATAAATACGTAACGATATAAAAATAAGTAGTGGGTTATTTTTATAAAAAAGTACATATTTTGAAGTAAAAAAATATTAGGAGTGACCAAAAAACATTTTCTTTTTAAATTCGTGAAATTCCCACAATATCTTCAAATGCAAGTGCATCATACTTATTTATAATCTATAGTATATGTTTATTCATATGTACACAGTGATTAAAGGTGTAGTTTATCACACATACAACCGTTATATCTATTGCGGTAAGTGAAAGGCAGCACTTGTCACGAAAAATCGATTAAACGCAGAGTGCTGGTAGTAAAACTCGCCTAGTTCACGTTGTCTCATGATCACTAGAGGATCAGAAACATCAGGAGACTAACGAATGGCGACTTTAGTCGTCTGGTTTTTCTTTATCTTTTGTGGAAAATCATTTTTTTGAAACTACATAAAATATATAAAGTTCGAAAGCTCAAGTTCTATAGCATTGTTATAAAGTATTCGTGAAAATTTGTTAATTATTGTGGAAAAAACAACTGTAGCCTCGGAATAAATTTTTTTTGACTCAACTAAACCATCAAAACTATTTCAAATCTACCACTGTTCAATAATTTGTTACATAAATTAATCCTTAGTAAAGAACTCGGGGCTTATTCCCGATTTTCTATGAGTCTGTGGATTTAACATCAATTCCTATGACATCCGGAAAGGAAACGATGGGGTAAGTTAATTCTTTTTTTTTATTAATTATTTTTAGATACAATTTATGATTAATTCAACAATTTACATCATTACATTCTAATTGCTTAGTAATTTGAATAATTATTCTATTCATATATTTATTTACTATTGTTGTCTAACATCCTTTCCAATTGATAACGCAATCACTTCATGCGATAAATTGCTTCTAGACTATGATCTTCGCACGTTCATTACATGAGTCCAACCCTTTTTTTTACTATACATACACTTCAACTCACACTCTTACAAGTCTATTAAAAAAAATATAACCTGTTTATAATATATAATTTATAAACTGTTTAATGGACTATCTTTAATTTGATTGAATGTAAGTTTAAATAAATTTTCCAATGTCATAAAATTTATTCTAATTATTAAACTAAACACGAAATCCCAATTTTATGTTTAAATAAATATTAAATTCTACATGTACAATCGATGTTTTGTCTAAAAACTTATTTTATTATCGTAGTGAACAGCCAATTTTCACATGCAAGGCGCATGTGTTTCATATAGACCCCAAGACCAAGAGGTCGTGGGTTTCAGCATCCACAGCTGCGGTGTCTGTGTCCTTTTTCTATGATTCTACAAGAAGTTTGTACAGGATTATTTCGGTTGAAGGAACAAAGGTAATTCAATCCGTTTACAACCCACTACTTATATGATATACTTATTGTAAATAATAAATGTATTTATTCTTATTCTATTAAAGGTGATGAAATTCTTAACTCATCTGTTTACTTATTCATTACAGGCCGTTATAAATAGCACAATTACTCCAAATATGACTTTTACTAAAACTTCACAAAAGTTTGGCCAATGGTCTGATGTAAGAGCTAATACAGTTTATGGATTAGGATTCTCGTCAGAAGCTGAATTAGGGAAGGTTCGTTATAATAGCATTTCTTAAAAATCAATAATTGAGTAAAATAATAATCAATAGTGTGACTTTATACGTATTATTTTTGTTCACTCATCAATGAAAAAAAATTAATTCAATGTTTTTCTGTAACTGACAGTTTATTGAAAAATTCCATGAAGTAAAAGAAGCCACTAAATTAGCTGGAACGAAGTTGCAATCAAACAGTTCATCAGTTACACCGTCGACTAGTGCAAATGTCAGTCCAATAACTCAACGATCATGCATGCCTTCATCAGAACAAGATTTAATTGATCCTCCAAACTCTTCTATGATAAATTCTAACACGACAACTTCAAGTAACTCAAATACAAATGCAAATGTAATAGTGGGGTACAGTGGGTCATCAGTTAGTAGTAGTCCCTTACCAGGAGCATGTCAAATAAAAGCTGATGAAGAATTAAAAAATGCTATTCATGCGAGATCACAACAGATAGCGGCATCTCAACAGAGTACAGAAAGTCCGCAACATCAAGGGAAATCGGGTCAAATTAATTCAAATCAAAGCGGGCAGTCGACTGAGATGCAGTTAAAGTACGAAAATGATAGGCTTAAACTTGCTCTTGCTCAGAGTTCAGCTAATGCAAAGAAATGGGAGGTAAGAACTGGTTTTAATTAATTTGATTAATTAATTAAACAGCAATTAGTCAGTATTGTGGTAAAATGTATTTTTAATTGGATCTTCTTGTTTATAGATTGAATTAGCCATGCTTAAAACTAATAATACTAGATTAACTAGTGCATTACAAGAGTCGACAGCCAATGTTGATGAGTGGAAACGACAATTGCAAATGTATAAAGAAGAAAATGCACGTATTAAAGCTAGGTATACAGATTTAGAAGGTGGAAAAATATCAGAAGGTAACAGTGAAGCTCTTAAGCTGAGAGTTGAAGCATTGGAAAATGAATTAAGAACAAGAAATGAAGAATTAAAAGCTCTTACAATGGCAACAAAAAACAAAGATTTTTTGGTATGTTATTTTTTTCTAACTGTGTTCCATTAACAGTTTATTAAATTTTGTTGTTTTCTATATTCTCTTGAATCGCTAATGATATATTATTGTTAACTAAAACCTTTTTAATTATTCTAAAGAATCCCTCTAATTTATTTATATATTCTAGAATTAATTTATTTTACAGTTTTTAAAGCATGATTTCAATTTAATTACTTCGATGAATATTTTTTTGCAAATAAAGTATTCTTGAAAAATTGAAAAGAATATTCAGTTTATTAGTTTTAAAAAAAAATTCTAATCATTGGTCTGGTATTTTTACATTTCAGGCTTTACAAAAAGAAAATACCGAACTTCGTCATACATTAAGTTTGGTTCACGAGCAGTTGGAGCTTGCGTTAAGTGCTAATAAAGTTCAAAAACAAAACTTGGAAACGTTAAACTCTCGACTAGCTGGATATATTCAAGATTTAGCTACAGTGCATCGAGAAATTACGAACACACTACAAACTTAAATACGTATGTATTTACAATTTTTATTGCAATTACGACGCAGGACGTAACGATTTTCTTTGATGACTAAAATAATTTGAGTAATATGGTTTTAAAAGTAACAATTAAAGAAAAAAACTATTAATGAAAAATTAACCGACAGTGGTTAAAATAATTAAAATAATAATTAAAACAATAAATAAAACGAAGGGCCACGTTCCAAAAAAATACATATCGTAGTAGACTCCTTCCAAAAGAATTATTTATTTCAATTGTGCCACCAAAACAATCTCGAATCTCAATATTTATTCTATTGTTGTGCCACTCTGTAGATTTTGTTGTTATAAAAAAATAAGAATCGTTTTCGAATCTCTTTTACTCGAACTAAAATAAGAATTCTCAGGCAACTGCATTTTTTAAATAAAACTTTTTAAAGCTTAGATAATTAATAAATCGTTATCGAGCACAAATGCCATAATTGTATAAATGTATTTATCATAATTAAATCATGATTAGACAGTTATCAAATAATAATTAAATATTAATTTAAACGATATAGATATTATTTTTAATGAGACTGAATTTTTTTAGACTATTAGTTTTGTATTATTCTATTGATTCGCTTCCAAGATTGACAATGAAAGAGCTTAAAGGAGCTTAATAATAATAATTATTATTATAATAGTAATAACACAAAAATGTAAACGAGTGGAGGAGTTATAAAAACATATCATATTAATTGATATGTATTCATTAAATAAATGTGTCGGTTTTTTTGGAACCCGTCCCTTTGGTTGATAAATAAATGCGACGATGGCGATTTACATCGAATGCGCCTCATAAAGTGCACAATTGCAGTTAGTAATAATTAGTTAATTAGATGAAAAGAATGAGAGAGATTGAATTAATTGAATGATTTATTTCAAATAAAATTGTTAGCAATACTTAATTAATTTATTATATTAAGATTTTGAATATTATATTTATTATTTAATCGGTTGTGATAAAATGATTAGAGAGAATATTGCTGACAATTACACTGTAATAGCTGATTGAAATCATCTGTCAATCTTGAATAAGTGTTGCAAATTTTTTTATTAGAAAATTAATCATTTGATTAAACATTTGAACTTTTAACGATTTTATTTTCATTAATGACTCAATGAGGACATCGATAATTATTTGGCCTGAACATTGAGTGATTACTTTTAATCATTTTTAAAAAAAATATTAATAAAAATGAATTAAGATATCTAGTTGAAATACTTAGATATTAATAAGTAGACAATTTTCAATAAATTTAGGTATACATTAGTTTAGTTTTAATTGAGAAGAAAAAGTTTAATAAAATAAATTAACGAGTGGATTAATGGAACAAAGTGTCAATCATCTTTGTTGAGGCTTAATATTAATCGAAATATTGATCAATATTGATGAAGCACCTGTCAAATAAGATGATGAGATTGCACAATAATTTTTGGCGAATTTGCACATTCTCAGGTACTTGCAAAAATAATTCACTCTTGAATAATGCGAGACCCTATTGATTTTTATTACTATTTCGCATGTATGCGGGGAGAACATAATAGAGATATTTTAATTATTTATTAATCAAGATTTTAACCTTTTCAAATTTTATTTTTTTTATAGTTTTTATTTATTTTTATTTTATAACTACAACTGCCTAAGTATTTTTATTTTCCAGAATAGTTATTAATAACAATGATTTAAAATACTACTTTTTTTTTATGTGAAAATTCTCTAACGATCAGAAAAAAACTTTTATAAAAATTTATCAAGTAACATAGGAGAATATGAAAAGGTTAAAAATAATATACCATAATCAATGGAGTTGAATTTTAAGTTTGTAAAAGTTTTGCATGTGTATTTGTTATAGATAATAATTAACCATTTTTTTATTTCATTTATTATTTATTATTTAAGCCGAATAGGTTATTATTGTTGCCAATGAGAAGATGTATTATGATCTCAGTCAATCGATAAATAATAAATAATGATTATACTCTTAATAATAAATAGGCATCTAGTCCTCCTCGTATACGAGCTAATGCACAAAAATGGGGGAAAAAATTTGAAATAAAAAAAAAAACGAAAGGTGCAAATCATATTTCAATATACATACTATCAGATTAGGACATTGTTGTGTTTTATAAACTATCAGAAGCAATGATTCGTATTTCTAAATATCAAAAATCAATGAGAGAATTTAATGTGTAAGCTTTGACCTTTATAGAACCGATCGATCTTATTGGTATCTTATAAATATGGATAATTTATTATCAATTGAATATTTACTAGGATATTTCAATTAATTTTTTTAATAACAAATTTTTTAATTTTATTATTTAACGCGCCTGTTACTTCATTATAAGAAAAAATGCTCATGTCATAAGACAATATTTTGTAACTTCATTTTATTAATGAAATTGTGAGCTTCTCTTTATTGCAATCGATTGCATTTTATCATTGTATTTATGACGAAAATTTAATAATAATTATACATTTTTTAACGACTAAAATACTAAGAGCAACTATTAGGAATTCACATGATGATCAAAAATAATATTTATGTTATTTTAGTTATTATTACTATTTTTATGTTTAATTAATATTATTTTCTTTCATCAATTATGCTCAAAAACATACAAATCAAATTAGCTATTCTTTAATCTATTTTTTTTTTTAATATAGAATGATAGTTTATTCTTAAAAAAGTTATTCTTAAAACTTCTAATGGATCTTCTTTGGGCATTATGTGAATTTTCGAGCTCAAATAATCAATTAACCAATAATTTTAACGGTTATTAACGAGGATACAATTTTTTTGCCTATTTTATAATTTTGTTTTGTAAAATCTGTTTTAATATCTAATATAAGGTCGTTACATGACGTTTTTATACATAAAAAATAAGAAAAAAAGTAACAAATATCCAGATACCAAATATCTTTATTCCTTGGTAAGAAATAAGTCAGCTGTGTGTTTAACGTTTTATAAGAAGATTTCATGCGTTCATCTTTTAACTGATAGATAAGTTTATATTTTAAACTCTCAACTATCAATTATTATGATAGAAGAAAAAAGCAAAAAAATCAATAACAAAAATTAAGTATTATATATTGGAGATTAACGTCTATTTAATGAGTTGGTTTGTTATGTTGGTTTCTGTATCAATTTATACATTTGATTATGATTAATATTGTCAAAATTACTAGAAGAATTGTTTATTTATATGTTTGTAATGATTGGTGAAAATAAATAATATAATGTTCCTCAAGTGGATGGTCGGTACAAACAACAATAACAACAATGTACATAAAAAACTCTTTGATTAAGTTTTATTAACATAGAAAAAAAAGAAAAGCTTGTCAGATATTGAAGCATTGATGTTTTTCAACATTGAGAAATGAATGATTAGATTGTCATCAAAAATATTATAATTTAAAAAATTGTGTACGTTTTTAACATGAAAAAAATGAACAAATAAAATGAAATAAACCTGCAAATTTTAAAACGCATGGTTTACGTAGTGACAAAATTAACCGATTCATTTAGAGTATCATCATCATGTTGTACTCCATACGGTTGATAGATGAAATAAAGTTGGCAATATACTTCCTATTGAGTAATTCAATGTTATTAATTATCTATCTAGTATATATTTAGATGAAAAAATAATACAAATTTAGTAAAATAATATTTATTAAGGACTTGAGATAAAAAAATCTCTTAATTAGTTTTTAGTAATCGTGAGGTAATTGAAATCTACTTCATCTCTTCTTTTAATCGAAATTTATATTCTGTAATAATAAACGTCCGAATTTCCATTGGTTTCATTACGACGTTAATAATGTCATCTTCAGACTTTGTAAGTTCACTGAAATTTTCTACTTCTTCTTCAATTTCATTCGATTCCGCTTGCCATTTCAATCGCTTCATATTTTCTATCCATTGATTTCCACCTAAACTAGTTTCACGAACTGCAATTATGTCGAAATTCATGAACAAATCCTACAAAAAAATACGTATATTTTTTAAACTTTCAATCTTTTAAATTCTATTTATATTGGAAACTGAGTACAAACCACAAGATTAATTTCAACTGGCTGGGAAAGTTCTGAATCTTCACCAATTTCAAATAAATGCTCCAACCTCAATAAAATCATATTATCTTTCCATGGTTCGAGCGTCAAAATTTGAAGGTTTGCTGGCAAAGGCTTCCGTAAACCAATATGCTTTTTTAAAACAATATAAAAATGCATTAATATAATTTTTCAATTAAATCTGTAAGATAATTTAATTTTGTTACCAACCTGTGTTAAATGTGTGTTGTGCCATTGATCAAAGCTCATATTTATCGGAGTAAGAAGTGGCCATGGTCTGAGTGCCAATTCTACAGCTAGATATTTTTCCATCATAGCCATTGACACTAAATCATCCAGCTTGCCACCAACCAGATAATGAGTTCCTTTGGCAACAAGCCCAGTGCCAAAAGCGCTCTCATTTAGAGCTTCACCCACTCCAAAAGCATCATCATTTAGCAGTCTTCTATGCAACATCACTTCTAACTCTCCATCAGCCATACTAGAACCACCTTGAGCTCGATCATTTAAAATAGTCAACCGCATTTTTCTCTCTTTGTCTTCTAAGAAGATTTTACTCGTAACTGGATAATAGTTTCCTGCAACAGGCTCTTCCAAACTGAGGTTCCAAGTCGGTCGATAGTTCCTAACACGCATCAGCATTTCTCTTCCATTACTATCAGTATAAAAGGTATTTTTAGATTTCAAATTACTTTCATATTTGATAATAACTTCTTTTCCAATGGAATCGTTAATTGGTATCGGTCCTACAACCCAATCAAGTTCTATCTTTCTTTCCTCATGATATACTCTAACTATTTCACTCACGAAATCGTTTACTTTTAAGTGAAGTTCTTGAACCAATGGTCCTACATAAAAGCTATAACTTCCATTAAATTGAATATGGAGCGATGTTTGATTAGGTCTGAAAATATAAGCCCCAGAAGCTCGATTTATGAATTGACTATTGTTTCCCTTCATTCCTTGGTAATAATGGAAGCTTTGAGTAACTTCTAAATCTATTTTCTTCCATTTTATCAAAACATTGCCATTATCATTTACGCTGATATTATACCAATTTCCTCCAATTGAGGAAACTGTCGCTGGACGATCAACTTCTTGAACAGAACTGCCAGAATCTGTTTCGCTGATATAAAACGATCGGTAGCCTAAGGCTGGAACTTCTATAGCTCGGAATACCAATTCTCTCATTGCTGTAGACTTTTTGCCAGGCATTGACGATACAAAGCGTGGAATTGGAACCATTTGAGTTTGTATTTCTGCTCCTACGAAATCTTTGACAGTATAATTTAAACCTAAAACAGGAATCCGGACAAACGGTGATAGTGCATGGCTTGTTGGATTGTAGAGAGTCACGACAAAGTTACTGGAACCTTCAGAAAATTCACAAGAGCTAATGTTTAATAAGAAACATGAGTAATACTTGAGATCTACTTCTTCTTCTTTACTAATGTTTTTTTTCTTTGACATTTTTTCCATAGCATTTGATACTATAGCTGCTCCTTGAGTCATATGTTGATGTAAAAGTCGTGCATAATCTTCAGCAACGTGCTGTTTCTCTGTTCCTGTTACTGCATCATGATGTTGCATGACTCCCATTGTTTCTCTGAAGTTAATTAATTCTTTGCTATCCATTAACATTGACGAAACGGATAACTGTTTGGCAATTTGAAGGAAATTATTTCCCATACGTTCGAAATATTTTAATGTTGGTCGAGATGTAAAATAACCAGTCCAGAATGCATGAGGATCACTACTATATGGAAAGAAATCATCGGTTTTTGTAGGCCAGGACTTATTGGCTTCATTTAATGATTTAATGTAGCACGAAGGCGTTGAATAGAAGACGTTTACTTGAGATCCATACATTCGATTTGTATGTCTGAAATTGAAATAAACAAAAATTAATTACAATTTTTTTTTCAATTCCAAAATTGTACTACTCTTGATGTGATAATGTTTTTTTTTAAATGGATGATTTTATATAAAACGGGAATCATTAAAAAATAATCTTCACTTTGATAACTTTATTTTTTTAATTTTTAAAATATTTTTGAATTTTTTTAGTATGTTTTACATTTATTGAGAAAATCTTTACCTTACCTAATAAGTTTATCCAAATTTATAAACCACATTTCTGCACTTTGATAATTAAAATCTTCACCCATTGTTAGAATGATATTATTTGTATTGTAAGATCTTGCTTGAACTTGGCAATAAGCCAAAAAAAGAGCTACCTGTTAATATATTTTTTACACATGCAAAAATTTAATGAAAATCTATTAAAGTTAACAAAGTTTAATCTCATTTTCGATTGTTGATAATTTCTATCTTTATTTAGAAGAATTTAGAGTAAGTGATAAACAAAATGAATTCGAAAATTTATAATGGTAATTAGAACATTAATTATTATTCAATACCTTATCAATTTATCCAGATTTGTGAAGTACATTTCAGATTGCTGATAAGTAAAATCGCCACCCATCGTAAGAATAAGATTACTTGTTCGATAATAATTAGCTTGTTTTTGCACATAATCATAAAATATTTTAATCTGATAAAAGTAAAAAAAGTATAAATTTAACAATTAAATTCAAATAAAAGTTCGTACAAAAATTTTTATCAAATAAAAATTTAAGTCATAAACTACATAAAACAAGCAAACAAATCTACTAAAACCAGTAAATAAAATATAGTACTCAACAAACGAATATAGAGATTAATAATAAAATTGTAATTGCTACTTTGCAACTTGGTACAAACAATACTTACTTTAACTGCAATATTATTATCTGGACTTTCTGGGTCATCGATAAGTGGATCATCGGAACAAAGTACATCAAAGCAGAATCCAGGAGGAGGTGAGTAATTATTATATAAAGCGATTGAAAATAAATCTGCCTTTTTACCTATTATTAATTAACCAATAATTAATATAAACCACAAGAATCTCAATTTAAAAGATATATTGTAAGAAAAACTCATCATTAGAGAATACCTAAACTTGAACTAGCTCTCCAGAGAAACTCAGCAGTCTTATTTGTTAATCTGGTTGTTTTATCTTGATAATCTAAACGACCAAAGAACATTCCATCAAAACCAAATTGAGCAAACAATGAAGCTTGTTCTCGTGAATGACCAAAAGGATCAATTTGCCAACCAATTTTTGGTCTAGCACATTCTCCAAATGTATCATTAAGTCGTCTGTAATGATATACGAAAGAGTATTAAAAAAATAGAGAATCCAAGATTTGAAAGGAACGTTTTTATCATTGCATAATTACCGGAAACCCCACGTAAACTGGTCGACGATTGAATGATAATGAGTTGTAGCTTCATCATTCATACTCCAAGCACCACCAATGATTTCTAATCGTCCTTCATCAATTAATGCTCGTACTTCAGCTTTCTTTGCATCGTTTTGATTTAACCACCATTTCCACAAGAAAGCTGTTTCCACATAGATAAATCTACAAAAAATTGATTAATAATCAATATATTTCACAAAAACTACCCATTCCTCATAATTGATAAAAAAAATGTTTGGACATTTGAATGTAACTGTTAAAATAATACATGATATAAATATTAAATTTGATCTATCGTATTTACAGATTGTGCTAATGTTTATGATAAAAATATGAAATTACTTTCTCTGAGGATCACGTTTCAATGCTTCGATAGCAGTATCAATAATATATTGAACACCAGCTCGTTGTATTGAAGTATTACCTAAAAAGTTTAATAAACTTTAAGTAGATAAATAATCATTATTTAATTTAAATGAATTTGTTAAAATAAATATCAACTTACTTCCATAAAAATATTGATCAACAGTTTTTAACCAGCCAACATCATCATGCGTGTGAGGCACTAGATGAACATTTAATTTGTTAGGGTCAGTTTTTGGACAGGACTGAAATAAATGAAAGCAATTAGTCATAAATTATATTATACGTATAATTAAAATTAATAGAATGTTTGGTTATAAATCTATTTCAGGAAATCAAAATAGTTTAATAGTTAAATTGTTTTGTATTTATTACAATAATACTGACCTCATATCCACATTTTGAATCTGATTGTTTAGATAAATTTGGTAATGCTGCAGACTGAATAAGTACGGGAAAAATAAAAAATGAAAAAATAAAACAAAAATAGTCAGTTTTGCCAGACATGATGATGATTCTGGCTGGACACTGAAAGAATGACTAGATGAGTTAATGCCTCTCTTTCTTATATCCGTACTCTTTTTGAATTGTGTGCTTCTAGACTGCTGTACATATAGACGTATTAACGTATTACATTGATACGACGACTCTGGTTTATAAGGTTGTTTATCAATAGAGACCTGGTTTTATATTTACTCCCCTGGTGACGCAAAAATAACTTTTGAGATATAAATGAAGTATTATTTTATATAATTTATGATCAAAACATTTTTTATCTGAAAACGATTTTATAATAATCTTGAGAAAGTTCTGTTATCATAGAGTATTCGTTTATATGAATAAAGTTAGCATCATTATTTTTAACAATCTAAAGAGCTGATAAATGTTAAACTATTATATAAATTCCATTTGTAATTGATAGTAATCAATAAAAATGATTTATTACGATGTAAATTTATATATTATAAGTATTAAATAATCTATTATAAAAAAAATTGATTATTGAAAGTTTAAAATTTCGCGCATTTTTTCTTCTAAGCTTTTAGGTGCAGGCACCAACATCCCCTCTTTTTCCATTTAAAGATGGTCCCACGTGTTCATTCAAAAGTTTTTCACGATGAGTTTTTCAATTTTTAATTCGGATATAATTTTTTGTAGTTCCGAAAAAATAATTACATTTAATTGTGAAACAAAAAAAGAATGTAGTATTGAATTACCAAAGTTAATAGTGGATAAAGATATTAAATCGCATAATAAGCTTGATTTTGATACATGTCATGGCATAACCTCAGTTACTTTTTCATCTGATGGACAGTATTATTGCGTTTGCACCAATCGTAAACAACTATGTTTGTATAAATATCCTGATAATGTTCTTGTATCTAATCGAACACTTTCACGAGCAGCCAGTAAAGTTCAATTTACTCCAAAAAATGATATAGTTGTTGCTGATAAATCAGGTGATGTTTATCTATATCGAACAAATCCTAAAAGCTTCAAAAAACCCGATGAACCTGATAAATCAGATGGAATATTGATTCTGGGCCATTTATCAATGCTACTTGATGTTTTGGTTACTGAAAACAACTTATTTATCATCACTGCTGATCGAGATGAAAAAATTCGAGTATCTCGATTTCCTAATTCTTATAACATTGAGTCCTACTGCTTAGGACACACAAAATTTATTAACAATATTTCGGAGCTTCCTCATGATAAAAATATTCTCGTGTCTACTGGAGGAGATGGAGATTTTAAATTCTGGAATTACATAGTAGGTGAAGAGTTGAAATCTGTTAGTTACAGCGATCAAATAAATGAAGATGATGTCAAAAGATTGAATGAGAATCTTAAAAAATTCGACCTCGCAACAGAAGAAATTACTGCTATACCTGTTAAACATATGAGACTTATGAAGTTAGACGATTTATCATCTATTTTAGCTTTAAGTTTTTACGGTAATGGAGATATATTATTTTATATCATTGTCGGAACATTTCCTCATGAGTTGAAGATAAATTTTGTGCAAAAAATTACAAATAATAGTGAACCATTGGAATGTATTTTTTATAATCGACAATTTTGGATATTATTTGATGACGGATTGAAAGTTTATAAATATGAACATAAACATTTTGTTGATAACGTTGAATTTAATAAAGTTTTTGAGAACTTTAATAAATCATGGACATTGTTGAGAAGTAAAGTGAATGAAGCGAGCTTTTATCCAATTCTCTATAAGAGAAAATTTGACAGTGTTCAAGAATATCAAGAAAGAAAAAAAAGTAGATTAATGAATTTAATGGAATAATTTTTTGTATTAATTGTATATAATTGATTTTTCTTTTAATTATTAGTTAAATACAAATGTTAAAAGTATTCTGAGAATTCATTCATTCTCTTTGATGCTTATACTTTTTTTTAACTCTTAGTATAGTGTGTAAACAAAAAATAGAATGATTGGCAAACAAATATTTTAGCTATAAAAATTCTTAAACTGGTTTATAATCCAATTTAGACTCAAGTTTCTTATTATCAGACACTTTTCGGACAGCTTTCATAAAATCTTCTTGAATTACATACTCGCGTTCCAAACGAATTGCAAATAATCCTGCTTCTGTGCAGACATTTCTCAAATCTGCTCCGTTAAATCCATCGGATAATTTAACTACAGCTTCATAATCTACAAATAAAAATGCAATGTAAATTCAACACATAAAATTATTCTAATAAATTAATTTATAATTTTAATGAAAAATTTAATATTATTTACCAATATCACCAAATTTAGCAATAGGCTGTGCATGAATTTTCAAGATCTCTAAACGAGCCTGTTCATTTGGTAAAGGAATTTCAATCTTTCTATCTAATCTACCAGGTCTTAAGAGTGCAGGATCAAGAGTATCTGGTCTATTTGTTGCCATGATCATTTTTACTTGACCCAAAGAATCAAAACCATCCATTTGATTTAATAATTCCATCAATGTTCTTTGAATCTCACGATCAGCACTAGTACCTTCTGAAAATCTTCTTCCACCTATAAATAAAAATTAAATGTTTGAATGAGTATTCCATTAGTAATCGCAAATAGAATGAATATTAATTGATATTTACCAATGGCATCAATTTCATCCATAAATATAATACAAGGTTGATGATCACGAGCATAGTTAAACATTTCTCGAATTAATCGAGCAGATTCACCAATATATTTGTCAACAATTGCACTAGAAACAACTTTAAGGAAATTAGCATCCAGTTGACTAGCTACTGCTCGAGCTAAAAGTGTTTTTCCAGTTCCAGGAGGTCCATACAACAGACATCCTTTAGGTGGAGTAATTCCTACTCTCTGGAAGAGCTCAGGATTCAATAAAGGCAATTCGATTACTTCTCTTAACTCTCGAATTTGTTCACTCAAACCTCCAATAGCTGAGTATGTGACATCACCAGGATCTTCATGGGACATGTTGTAAACCAACGGATCAACCTTAAGTATAGTTATTGATGAATAGTAATAAAAAAATCAATAATAAAATAAATAGAATAAATTTTCGATAATAATTACTTCTCGTGGCAAATAACGCATAATCGTAAGAGTAGTCATGTCAAGGGCTACTCTTGTTCCAGATTTCAATTTATTTTTATCTAATTGTCGCCTGCAGCCAACAACATATCGAGGACCATTTGTAGCTTTGACGATAACTAGAACAGATTTTTTCATACATAAATTTTGTCAGAACAAATGAGAAAAAATATACGGTAAAGTAATTGATAAATTATTTACATTTTTCTTCAGTCAGTTGCTTCAATACTTCTCCCACAATCTAAACATAAAAAAATATGCTTTAAAAATATCTTGTTATCAGTAACGTGAAATAATTATTAATAAAGACTGATAGAAACCTGGCCAACACTTTGGAGTGCTTTGAGATCGTTTTCTGATTTGTCATACTGCTTTGTGAGATCTTTTAAATGCTCGCGCACTAAAAAAAAATTGTTCAAAGTTTATTTAACTAAACGTAAATTTCGTTAATTAAATAACGATCTAATAATAAATTGATTGAATCAATGACAGAACTTGGCTGTCTCTGAGGTTAGTTAAAATAAATGAATATTTTTACATATTAAGAGTACACAATAATTGGAGTTGTAATTATATTATAAACAGTACTTACTCTCTTTTAATCGAGATTCAACTTCTTTATGCTCCAAAAGCTTTTTTCTATAATCTTGAAGGGCTTTTTCTCTCACATTATCCATGGCGGTTGCCATTTTTCTCGTATTTTGCTGTATAATGTTGGGAGAAAAACTTTTATACAGATTATGTGTTTAACCTATAAATTTTAGCGAAAAAAGGAACTCGTAAGTTCAATTATTGATTTGCAGATGGCGTTTAGTGTTTGGAGTCGAATTGTGACATTTTTTTTTGACTGATTAAGTGATTAAAAAAATCATTAAATGGTTGAAAACACGTAAATGATACCAATCAAGTTTACATTTAATAATTATAAATTAATTATATTGAATCAAAATAACAATTATTACGTAAAAGTTAATAGTGTCGCCACTGTATCCTTCAGCACTCGTCAGGATTTCTCTAGTCTAGGATTTGTGATTGCAAGTTTGGCTTTGTATTATTTTGCAATATCTTTCGTACTCTCTCTTTTGTAACTGTAAAACGACTGATGGACGGATTATGTGATATACTTATAAATTTTTTATAAATTTACAAACAATAAAATTGTGTTTATTGAGTATTACTTTAATTTATTGAAAAATTTAAGATATTAACCTTCCACACTATATTATCTTCGTCTAAAATTAAAAATTTGATTACCTAATTTATTCACGAAACAGATATTCCAATTACTTTTTATGCTTTCATTTATAATAATACTATTATTATAATGGTATATTGGATTTTGAAGAAACGAATACTCAAAAGGTACTTTGATTTCGACTATTTTTATTGTAATTACATTTTTCTCGCATGTCAAATAACTTTATTAATCTTTTTCAACATGTATTGATTAGTTTAACAAAAAATGAACTTTTCTATTTGAAAGTTTTTAAAACTGAAATTTAGAACTCATGAATAAATTGTTGTTTTTAGACATTACAATGAAATGTAATAGTTGAGTCAGCATAATGAATGTTGATTCTTTTCTTGCTGATAACAGATAGTAGACACAAAAAGTGAAAAAAAAGAAGCTGTAGAAGCAATAGAGTATAAAAATCTCAAAGTAATTTTTTGCTTTTAGATTAGACATTGGCAGTAACATTAGTTTGTTATCTCATTATAAATAAAGTTCAAAACATTGGCTCTTGACCTTGTTACTTTCGATAGTAAACTAGAATATCATGTAACATAGAATACATATTTTTGCTATAAAATTTCGTTTGTGATAGTGAAATAATTTTATTTTTGGTGAATTTTAATCTCGGAAATCTAACAAAGCACAACGAATATGACATGGTACAGGTATAATACACGAAGAGAATTTTTTCACTAATTGTAAGTGCAAAAAATGATAAGTAAACGTTTTTAAATTAACAAGTAACTATATCGCTAATCAACACCGAATTATGAAGTTTTAACGAGTAAACTTCGTTATTTCAGAAGTTCACAGTAAAAGAATTGCTTATGAAAACGCAAAAAAAACTTTACTAGTGAAGAAAAATATTTTTGTACTTTAAAGAGTGTACTTGTCATTTTGATTTATATTTAGTGAAAAAATTATCCGAAAAATAACTTTATCCTTTTTTTAGAATTATTTAAACTAAATTTAAGAGTTATTTCTAGCAATAATTTAAAATAATTAAAGTGTTTAGCTGTCATTAACTAAAATTTCTATATTTGAAAAATTTTCATTATATTTTACTTTACTTCAAAAAAGAATGCTTTAATTATTTTTCAGCACTTGTATAATAAGGGTAAAATTAATATAGTAATTACTAAATTCAATAATGATAAAATTAAGTATATTAATTTAAATAATCTATGAATTGTTTTCATGCATTGTTTATAAAAAGAATTACGATAAAAACAAAGATCTATTGTCTGCAATATAATTATAACAATAATACGATTTAAAAAGACCGTGGTTTCACATTCACTCTAGACAGTTTACTTGTAGTGGGAATTCAATGATATCCTCCTGCTGTTAATAACACATGTAATGGTACTGCTATATTTCATTGATTTTTTCATAGGTTGCACGTTGACAATAGCTCTTGTTGAAGCTATTTTTACGGTTGTACTGGGTACTTCAACTCTTGAGAGTATAATCACGGATATATCTATTACATATATGATAAAATAACAGTAATATACAATAAGGGATCTGCTTAGAAACAAACATAAAAATATACAAACAAATATTTATAAATATAATATATTTACTAACAAAATGCAATGGACATACCTCTTAGCTGGTGTCGTGCCATTCGTCATCCTTGACATTTGGTACACGGGAATGTAAGTTATTTCCTTTATTTTAATTTCAAAGTCATTGTCGTCTGTCATTGTAACAAAGGAAATCATATAAAAATTCTTTGATCACAGGAAGTACAATACACTGAGCTTCATTTTGCATGGTGGCCACATTCTCACTTTGTTTCTTACAGCCACTGAATTCTTTCTTATCCAACTAATATTTATTTACATGTTGCACATTTCATATAATATTTTTATTCTAATGGATATTAATCTACTTTAAGGCTGTACTTATTTTTTTATTCAATTACCACACTCTTCTTAATACACTTATTTCCTTATTCTTACAGGCTCTGTTAGCACCTGCTCTTCATTTACTTATTTAAGTACTTTTTTAAGTTTCATTTCCACGATGATGTTGAGCTATAACTATACTTAATTATTCAAAATTAATTTATGTTGTTGAAATATTTATTTAGTTATTTATTTATTTATTACCACCACTGATTCTAGTCTATTTATCTTTTGTTTAAATAAGTTTCAACATGATGCCAGTGTGGCGATTAAAAGGAAGATCTTAAAAGTTAAAAGTAAGCTTATGTGACTCTAAATTAGTCAAAAATCGCCATTTTCATTGTAAAAGGATCATCCTAATTAATTCTTATATAATATTTTATAAAATATTTTTATTTAGTTTAGTTTTTTAGATTAGAAATTATTTGTAAAATCATTGCTTTGTGTATATGTTCAAATTTGTACTTTAATGATTTATTTCTAATATAAATAAGATATTAATATTTTCATATTTTGTTTACAGAGTGATATTATGGATTTTAAAAACACTCATTATTCTATACCTCATCATTTTTGGTATTTGTCCACTTATTTTCCATTACTCATACAATATCCAAAGGAGGGTTCTCTTCTTGAATTTTAGTAATTATTACTCTTATTTTCATCAACGAAATGTCTTTATTCTGGCAATTGTCTTGATAAAATAAATATTAATAATTTTTCCATGTTTACAGTACATTGGCCTCCGTCTATTGACTTCACTAAACCAGAATTGGTTGGTTTGCAAGGCACGAGAAATTTTTATTTATGTACTGATGAAGATGTTAAAATCGGAACGTGGTAAAAATTTTATACCTATAGTAATTTTCAAAGTACATGAAAAATTGACATTTTTTAAAAGTACTTACATTATTAAATATTTATTTTTTTAGGCAGCTATTACCGAAATCTCTCTTGAATGATTCCGCTGAATTTAATGACGAATATTTTGAAGCAGCCTTAAGTAATGCCAAACGACCAGTATTTTTATATATGCATGGAAATAGTGGAAATCGAGCAAGTAGTCATAGAATTGAATTATACAAAGTATTCCAAGATCTCGATTATCACGTCATAGCATTCGATTATCGCAGTGAGTTTTTTTATTTTCAATAAAAATTGATTGTCATAAAAACATAATTTAAATTGTCAAAACGTTTAGGCTATGGAGACAGTGATCCTGCTGACTTATCAGAAATTGGAGTTGTCGCTGATAGTAAATATGTAGTTCGATGGGTGTTGAATAAAATTAATAAAACTGTACCTGTTTTTGTATGGGGACATTCCCTCGGAACTGGGTAATTAAGTTTTTAACAAATATTATCCATTAAAGTACTACAGATGTAAAATAATTAGATGATGAAAAATATGTATTTTTAGGGTATCATGTCATGCTTTGGATTTGCTAGCTTCAGAAAATATCCAACCAGCAGGATTATTTTTGGAATCTCCATTCAATAGTATAGCTGATGAATTAACTTATTATCCTGCTGCCAAAATATTCAAACATTTACCATGGTTCCATTGGGTAATTGTTCAACCATTTCACGATAATAATTTAAGGTTTGAATCTGATCAGCATATTGCCAATATCCAATGCCCTATTATGATATTACATGCTGAAGATGACAGAGTTGTACCTTTTGTACTTGGTGAAAAGGTAAAAGATAATATCTTTCTAATATTCTAATTAATTTCATCATATTTTATTATTCTTTTAAATTTCAGTTATATGAGAAGGCTTTAAAGTATCATGGAAATGATACAAATAAGGTACAAATGATTACGATAGATTCAAGTCTTGGATTAGGTCATAAATATATATGTCGATATAAACAATTACCATCAATTATCGAGTGAGTATACTAAAAATTTTTTATATTAATTTCGCCTTCTAAAATTGAATTGAAATACTTTTTTAAGGAATTTCGTTTTGGAAAGTCAAAAAAAAGCGCAATGAAGGGACTTCCGAAAATTTAGTATCCTCTTTGTGCCCCAGAAATCTGGTGGATTCATCCAGTTTTCTTTTGACTCAACTAAAACAAAATAAGAGAGAAACTGACATATGGATTTTCGCATGAATTTTCGAAGGAATGTGTTTTAAATATACATCCGAAGCGACAACAAGTTATTTATTATTCAAAAATCTTATTAAGTATTTTTTTTTCTCAATATTGTGATAAGTAGTCAGTGGAGAACTTTTAAGATAATTATAATTATCATTCATAAGATACTCTGTAATACTATATTTTATATCAATTAATTTACTAAGTTATGTAACTACACTTTAATTACATTAAATTGAATTACATTAAAATAAAATAAAATTTAAGTCTTAAATTTTGATGTATTGGTGCTTTAAATGTGTATTGTGTGTTTAATGTAAAAACTATATGCGAAATTGTAAGAATTTTTTGTGATTGTATTTAATAATAGTGGTTGTCTTCAAATTGATTGAGATATGATTTTATTGAACATAATATTTTAATATTCTCCATTATAAAAAAATTTCCCTATTAGCATGCGCTGTAGGAAAAATTCGTACATTAGTATAAAAATAGAATAATGCAACTAGTGTTCATAAATTCTATTATAATACGAAGCTAAATAAGAAAGCATAAAGTAGTAAACGTTCAAATAATTCATCTTTCTTCTGTTATTAATAATTGATCATGATTCGATTCAATATTACATTCAGAATCCGATGTTGATGTGATTTGCTTTAGTACAAAAATTGAATAACTTTCAATTTTTGGGCGTACTAATTCCCAAATTTTGCGCCCTGCCCATGTGACAAAATAGTACAATGCTCTTATAATTACTTTCAAATATTGCGGTGTCAAATGACCAAGAATAAATAGTATTGCTTTTAAAAAAAAGTAATCTATAGCAAAGTAAACGAATACATTTACAACATCCATTAAAATTTCAACAAATTTTTCAATTGTAAGGTCTACTATATTTATGAACTGAGCAATTATTCTCATAGATCCGTTTAATAAACCTATCCACAAATTTTTAGGTACTCTGTAGTACTCTAATGTGGATAGAGTTCGATTTAACTCATTATTTGATTGAAAATAACTAGGATTAAATCCACAAGTTCTTTCTTTCAAAAAGAGTATAAATTCAATTAAATATTCTTGAGAAGAAAATCCTCCTCGGGAAACCACAGCAGTATAAGTGCTTTGGGCACTTCCCTACAAATTAGAATCGAAATTCAGAATTATGTTTATGATCTCTTAAAAAGTTTTAAAATGCACTAACTTACCATTTTACTCGATAAAATTGATTTATTGAAAAGTAAATTGTCTTGTAGGCAACTTACAATCAGCCGTAAGTATAATTAGATACGATGTACAGGTTATTATATTATATTAAAACTGTGATAATAATATTAAAGAAAAGAAAACGTCAATTTTTCATCAGCAACATGTTTGATAAGTTGATTATGAGAGAAATATCATACTTGGGAAGTACCGAAATAATAACCTTGCCACCATTTTTACTATAGTGAACTATATTTTATATTGCGCAGAAATTAAATAGAAATTGATGATTACATGTCCGCAATTATTGACGTCTAATAACAATCACTATCAACAGAGATTAGATAGATAAATTTCTAGCTGTATATAGATAAATTCTAAAATATTAAATGTCTATTTCTATAAATATTTCTATATTTTTATAACAATTAAGCTAATATAATTTTGATAAAATTCGAAAACAAAAACTATCATTTGCAGGGAGAGCGACTGTGTAATTCTTTGTTTTTTTAATAATGGGCGAACTACTAAGAGGGTGCAATTACTTTAACAAATAGAAAATTTATTTACTTTTAAATAATACACAAATAATTACTAGAAAAGCTTTAATTGTAATTATAAACTGATGATATTTTTTGGACCACAACTGTAGCGAGCTGAGTAGCATGGAATTAATTTTTTAACTGTTGGCTGCTTGATTTTTCACGGTTTCCGCCGCAGTTGGCATTTTTTTCCGCTAAAGGAGCATGACATCCGTCCCCAATTATTAGATGTCAGTCAAAGGCATTTTTTCAATCTTTTAAATTTAAATCTATAAATGTAGTATAGGGTCTTACTAATAAATAAATTAACATAAATTACGTCAAGTATTCGTTTATTGTCAAATGTTTATTGATGAACAAATATCTACGATATGCATATAGTTTTTGATCAATTCCGCAAAACCGATTCCTTCTTTACGATTTAGGAAAATATATTTAAGATGAATTTTTACAAACTAGTGTATATGACTTCTTTTCTTCTATTTTCAATTTTTCAATGTATTAAAAACACATACTTTGCTAGATAACGTTCCCTGACTTAAAATAAGATTGCTGATGAATGTGTTATACTAAGCACCTAAAAAAGATTCTTTTAGTACAGTCTGAGTTTGATTTTAGTGTATTAGTATTGTATTATGGTAAAATACATTAAAGAGCAATGTTGATAATTATTAATATTCATTTAAAAAATAATTTTTCTTAACATAAAATAATTTATATTAACAGGAATACTTACAAATTTAATGTCTTAGACATTATTTATCATTAATACATTAAATATAATATATTACATGTATATAACATCAAATTACTTGATGGATATTTAAAAAACTAACTAAATTACATCTACATCTTTGAGCAATTATATAATAAAGGTCTTCGTCATTCACTTGATGATGTATCGTTTTCATGGTTTTTATATGCTGAGAAGAATGCGAGAGCTTTCATAAGCTGATAACTCTTGCTTATGGGGATATTGCTATCGTATAGACTTTTTGATGCTTTACAATCAACATAAAACCACCAGTTACACTTAAGAATTGTTTGGTCAAAAAGAGTTGATTCAGGGCATAAGAAACTTTTCATTATTAATCCTTGATCAGTTAAGGCACAAACATGAAACACCATACAACCTAAGTCTTCATCAGCATAAAGGCCAGGAAAATGTTTTTGGTCTCCACAATAGAAACTGGTGTCTGGTAGATCCACACGACTTGCAAAATTATCATCAAAATTTTTTTCATAATTAGTTGGATAGTATTCTCGAGGTGCATTCATTACTTTGGTAGCGCCTGAATGAGGATATCCTCTGTAACATAAAAATATCAATATGAAGACATAAATGCGATAAAATCATTAATAGCAATCGTTCAATTTATTATTAATTATTATCATCAACTATGAATGTGTGATCTGTATGGATTAAATAATTCAATCCTTTCAGCATGACTTTACATTATAATAGAAAAGAAAGTGCATAAAATTTTGCGTGTCATACAAAAGTTATGAAATGTTAAAAAATAAACTTTCATAATTTTTCGAATGTTTAAATAATAATTAATCATGTAAGTATGATGAAATAAGTTATCTTTTATCTTACATTTAAACGTTAATAATTAATTTTTATATTTCATTCGTACAAATATTTATACATAATTCAAATTAGTAAATGAATATTCAGTTAATTTGAAATATTGTACTTGAGCTACTGACAAATCATTTATAATGAATTATATTATGACAATCATTAACCCAATATAATTTAATAACATCTAGTGATTCTTTTCCTATAGTTTTTTAATAATACCTGAAAGTGATACAGTCGTGTAATAATAAATATATAATTATTTATGTAAACACTCTTAAGAAATATGAAAGTATATGTATTCTACTAATGACTGTATCATACAAAATAATTATTAACGAAGACAGAATCACTAATTGATACATCTATACTTTAATAACTATCTTTTTGGATTATATACCTCACACATTAAATAGTGTTTATGATTGATTGTTGTACTCCTTTGAAACTAAATCTTATTATTAAGAGAAAGCATGAAGCTACTATTCTATTTAATACATTATGTAAAGTAAAAATGTACGAAATTTATCAATGAGCAAATTGATATCTTACTATTATCTTTTTCGATTTTCTGGAACTTATGATAAAATTCTCATTTTGTATCACTAGTGTTTATTTTTCTACTTATTGAGTGTTCAAATAGTAATTACTCTAATAATAAAAATTTATCTGCTATTTTACAAGAATATCTATCTGCAAATTATTATAAATTTAGTAAAAAATGAATTGTAGCCTGACGTGGTAATTATAAGTACCTCTTTAAGCTAATATTATGATAAAATTATTTTAATTTTTTTCATTTTAAATTGTATTGTTTAAAGCTTTATTTAGCTAGTGACATAAAAATATTGACATTATCATATGTAAGATTTCTGTTCGATAGGTAATAATTTATTCTTACGTTTTAGACGGTGAGGAAGGAGGAAGTGGCGGAGGTGATGTGGTAGTAGTCGTTGTAGTAGTTGTAGTTGTTGAACTCTGATGTTTTTCCATCAACTGTTGTTGCCTAAGTAGAATAGCTGCTTCCAAAGCCTCAAGAGTAACATTACTTGCTTCTGCCAATGCTTTTAAAGAAGTTTCCATTTCTTGAATTGGTGCCAATAACGATTGACGTTTTTCATTCTTTTGCATTGAAGATTTAAGTGCTTCTGCTGTGTTAACTGGGTTGAGTGATTGAAGAGTCATTTCGCTAACAGAGGCTGACATTTCTTCACTTGGAAAAGGTACCTGAAAAATGTATTTACTTTAGTTAACTTATTTTAATGTTCAATTATTTGTTACTTAGTGTATGTCACTTATTCATATTTATTTATGCAGACTGTTTAACTGTACCTCAGCGACATTATCTTTGGATATTTGATTCGCTGAATCTATCAGTATAACTGAGCTGTTGCTAATGCGATCTGTGAGATGAGTGGACGATTGTGGCATTGCAATGAAAGCAGGGAGACCATTATTAGCTACATTTATTCTATCAGGCTTTGGTTTAGATATTCTTTTTTGAATATTAACAACGCTTCCAGCTGGAGGAATAGCAGCTACGATGTTCGGCAACGTCTGAGGATATTCGACAATGTCATCACTCATGATTGTATTTCATAAAATCTGGTATAAAATGTTCCTCAAACTTATTTGGTTCATTTTCTATTTCATACCCTCGTTATTTATTAAACTAAAGATTAATATTGGACAATTAAAAAATTTATTCATTTAATTATCTACAAAAAATATTGTTTATAAAAATATACGCTACAAAATAGAATATTTGATTCATTTGTTTCCAAAAAATATAACTTATGAATGGTTTTTTAAGTATCAAATGCTAATGATCCCCAAACTATTTGTATTATGCATTAGATAATTATTTTATAATGAATATCATAGCATTGAAAAACAGAGCTTTTTAAAGCTACAAGATAAAAGTTCTCAATTGCCCTTGTAAGTGCGATAAGGAAAAATATAAGGCCATCATACTTTTTTCACTTGCATTCATTATTAAAGATCCACGTTTTATAAAGGTGGGCAAACTTGGCTCTTGGGAATCAAAAAAGCTCTTGGAAGCTCCCAATAACTCTCGTAAGTGAAAGCAAGAAAAAATTATAAAGGGAATATACAAAGATATATCCTTTTCTTATGTGTACTTACAAGAGCAACAGAGAGCTCTTGAGAGCCAAAATTCCTCCTTAGAGCAGAGTTAGTTTATATAGGGAGCTCCCAAGAGCTGAGTTTGCTCACCTCTATAAAACTCACACCTTTAATCATGAGTGCAAGAGAGAAATAAAACATTAGAAAAGTATAAAAGTCTATGTGTCTCACTTGCACTCATTAGACATGTAGAGAGCTCTTACGAGTTTTCTTGAGCCAAGATTTTCTAGTTCTATTATAATTGTAATGCAATTATATTATTAAATAAAATATGTATCATTCACGATAAAAAAAAATATTATATCGGATATTTATATAATTTCTTTAAATCTTTTTTAAAAATCAAAGATATTTCAATTGAGGATTAATATTTAAATAAATATGAAATAATTGAATCATGGGTATGTCATTGAAGTTTTTTCATTAATAACTTAGGTGACAAAAAAACTAATCTCCTGTGAAGGTTTATTGTAATCGTGAGTTCACTAGTTCACTGTTGACAAGGTTACGTTTCGTTGGAAAACTTTTCTCATATTAAAATGAAAGAACATTTATTAAATATCTGATAAAAAAGAAAAATAATGAAACGTGCTAATAAATTTAACATTTAAAACAATTTTTCAACTTTAAAAATTCAACTCTAGTGTATTTAAAACTGTTTTAGTAACTTTGATTTCTCTAACACGAAACACTTAATCATATTTAATCGAAGAAAACCAGTTCTTGTAATAAAACCTATACGTTATTTAAAAAATAAAACATTCTTTTGAATATCCGGAAACATCTAGAGGCAGAGTATTCTCATATCTCACTTGATGAAAGAATTATTTTATGGATTGCAAATATTACTGTCACATGTAAAATATTATTGACATGAAGCATTCATAATATCATCTGAACTATTGTCACTGTAATTATTTATTAATTTTTATTAATTATTTATTGTGCAATAGTTCATTCATTGTAATACCTTTGTAAAAGCAAAATTTTTTACAAGAGACTCTGCAACACTATTAGAGTTCATCTCTTGAACAATTCAAGATATTACAATAAACTTAAACATAATAATCAAGATGTTATTATTACCTGTATCCGTTTTATTAATACATTTGATAATTGTGGCTTGACTTGAGTTGCTTGATATTGTGACTGTTGTTGGAGTAATTTTTGTTGCATAGCTTCTTGTTGCTGTTGTTGCTGTTCTTTCAAAACTTGATGGGCTAATAATTCTTGCTGGATCTTTTGTTGTTGACGTGATTTCATTTCATATTGATTTCGTTGATGCTGTTGTTGTACTTTAGGATCCACTGCTGTTGCTTTCTGCATTAAAACAGGTGCCGGTATCGTTCTCAAGGCCGATGAGTTTTGTTGTACCACAAGCCTTTGATGCTCTGGTTGTTGAGCCATTGGTCGTAATACTGCCGAAGGCAATGGCTTGAATGGAGGAACGCTATTAGTACCTTGACCTGTGACTACTTTGGTTCGAGGATTTTCTTTTTTAACACCCTGTAGAAGGAAAATGTTTGTTAAATAATTTTCTCGTTATTTTAAATGTTAGACGTAGCTGGTAAAAAAGGAAAATTAATTTCTTCTGTTGGATTCAAGATATCTTTCTTAAAAAAAATTCTTACAAGATTCTTGATGGATAATCAATTATTTTATTCAATAAATGAACATGATCATTTATGTTTAATTTAAATATTTTATAAATTAATGCAAAAGTTCTTTTGCTTTTGTCTCAAAAACACTATTTTAATACGATGAATTTATGTCAAGTGATTTCTAAATTAAAAAATGATGTAAGAAATCATTTAATGTGCCCTATTTTCATTGGATCAAATATAATATCTTCAAATAAAAAAAAATTATTTATGATGCATTGATTGATTGATTTATTATGATTATTTAATTGAAAAAAAAGATAATTATTTCAATATTAATTTTTTTATTAGGTAATTTTTGTTCAATACAAATAGAGTTTTCTCTTCATTGTTGATTCTTTTTACTTTATGTGTGTTTTCACGGCTGGTTAATGTCGAAGAGAGCTATATTATATGTTGAGCAATTTTAGATGATTGATGCATATTCATAGAAAACTATGACATATGTCTATATTATATAAGATAATTAAATAACCATAATAAGACATTATACCAATCATCGTGTCTACATCAACATACCCCATTTCCTATTGTAATAAAATTTTCTCTTCCAGTTTGAACACTTCGTCGTTTACTGGCTTCCAAGTTGGAAATTGATTCTCGAAATCCAAGTTCATCGCCCACAGTGAATCCTTTAAATCATAAAAATATTTTTAAATCATTTTCTGTAACTGGTGAATAAGTTTTAAAATTATTTTTATGATTTACTGGAAATATTAGAATAAATGTTATGAATTATTCACAAAAGATCATTAATGCAGAAAGAGATTTTTTAGCGTTAATAACTCATGATGTATACGAAAAAAGTAGGTCAAAGAGCTGCTTGACTGTCGTAATGCATGCATAGTTTATTAAAAATATTATTTATTCTTTTTTGAACAAACATTTTGAAAAATAACCAGAAATATTTAATTTTAAAACGTCGTTTTTGTTATGTAAATTTATAAATAAAGAGCTTATTTATAATCATAGTTTGCATCTAGTCAGTGCAAATAGTTTTTTTTTTACATAAAATGAATTTGTTACTATCATTCCTATTTCACAATAAATGCAGTTATTATAGGTCTATATTGCTATGGCTGTATTCATGCAAAAGATTGATAATAATAAAAGATTAAGAATAGAATAAATAATACACAAGAAAATTTATAATAAAATCAGTCTGTATGTAATAGCGTCACATATAAGTGAATGTCAAAACATATAAATGAATTTCGCCGTTTAGACAAGGATTTCGATGATCCTTTCGACATTTAACGGGCAATTGATGTAACTGATGATGAAATCATTGTCGGACACTCACCGAGGCCGACGTAGCCTTTGACACCCCCAAGATTTCTGACCCGGAAGAGGCCGGATTTTTTGAAGGAGCAGACAAAGGTGAAACCAAAGTCGGATTCCCATACACATGTGCTTTTTGTCTCTCGCCATGTACATCCTAGAACACCAAACCGCCAATGCTATTTGTTTATCAAAGATAGAAATCATGCATATATTTTATTCTTCATGCATGATTTCCTTTCTTCACTAGACCTATAGGACGATATTTCTACTCTGTGCTATGCTGATCTCTTTAGAATAATCTTCTTCAAATAATTCTTTACAGACTGATAGAAGTTAACTTTAATTATTCACTTTCTATATTTATTTCAATTAAATAAATTTTAAAAATAAATTCCCTTGATGTTGAAAGTTATAATAAATAATGTGATAATTTCGAGCTACGACAGCCAATGATTATCGATTGAATGTTGATCATTTAGCTAAGAATTTAATTATTTAAAAAAAATTTCGTTCACCTAAATGCAACATTTATCAGTATTGAATAAATTATTCAATTAATTTAAACTAAATTCTTCTATCAATGCAGTAAATTTGTATTATCACTTGAATATTCAGTCATATGATAATCATCTGTTTCGATTAAAATTGATTTTTCCAAGTTTAAGGAAACCGGATGCCAAATCGCGTGGTGAATGTCCTGATGAATAAGTCGTAAGCATTATTGTAAGATTGAAGCGGTATCATGGGGCCATAGCCTAGTAACACACTTTGAATGTACCGTGATGAGTGACGTTGCAAACAACCATCTATCCAACAATGACCATGATCATTGATCCATCGATTCATTGAGATCTTTTTGAATCTCATTGACAGAACTAATCCTATATCGATGTTTATCATTAAATATGTCAAATCTGAAATATTAACAAGTGAAATCTACGGAAATATCTTATTTAGACATGATTTTTTTCAAGCCAGTTTTCATTTTACTTTACCTTTCTATATCATTACTGCATTATTTTCCTAATTGTTGCACGAACAATCTGGGTATATAATTATTAAAAGTTGATTAATATTCAGGTGCTTTAGGTCTTTGCACCAATCATTTTTTTTTTTAGACCAATTAATTCACTAAACTCTTGCGTGTATCAAACCTTTTCTTATCAACTGATATTCACTTTCTAGTTCATTAAATAGATATCATTTGCTCGTATTACTCTTTTATAAACAATTTTTTCCTCTTGTTTTTTGATTTTTGATTGAGATAAAAAATGTTCATTAATTTCAAGGTATCATAATGATTACATGAAGAAATTTTTTTGATAAATTTTTTCTCACGTTTTTTTCTGTAGATATTTACTGAATGAGTTTTATAGTAAACATGGGGTATCAGGTAATAAAGAATTTCCAATGAAAAATTTACATAAGAAAAGATTCACCTTTACATTTAAATAAGTATCAGAAAAATAAGGATGTTAGTTTAGGAACCAGAAATTGGGGATTAATTTAAGTTTGATGAAGATAGAACAGGTTTAGTGGTGTGTAGTGAATCAGTCGAAAAGTCAGTAAAAATCTTATAGCACAGAATAAAATATACATAATATGGTAACTGTAATTTACAAGAAATTCAAGTAATGTAACAATTCTAAACTACTTTAAACTACATGAAAAACTAATCCCCTAATTAAGAATTAAGAAAATAATTTAATAATTATTTATAAACAAGATTTACAACTTATTATTAATATTAAAAAAAAGGATGAAATATTTTATTGAGCTAAAATGACTTACCAATTACTATAAACAGTAGCAACGTCCTGAGTTTCATATCCAGTAGATTAAATCGAATTCAATAAGGTGTCTAAAAAACAAATATCCTTAATTACACTGTGTATAATTGATCAAAAATTCAACAACTGTTAGTACACACGATTATCTCGTTACAATAAATATCGAACGATTCATACGTTTAGATTCCCCGTGTTCGCGATCACTAATGTCCCTCAATACTCGCATGAAAGCCAAACATGCGTTATGTATATACATTTATCTAGAAGACCTGAAAAGGCCCCACTAGGTCCCCAAGCTCATTCCTTTCAGTGGTGGTGTCTGATATACACGATCACATAGCCGTAAGAACCGCTGACCCACTCGTATGAAACTATCAAGTATAACGGGACCGCGTGGCGCGTGGTATATTCATCTGGAAAAGAAAGAAATGTGCTTAATTATTGAAGCCTAATAGTCAATTCAACCGGCTATTGAGGGTGCAATGATGCGTCACAATTTCTATTTACTTACTTGATTAAAAAATAATTTTTTGTATACACTTTATCGGTAAAATGAACATGAAGACATATTAATTTCCAATTATTGTCATACATTAACGATTGTTTGTTTATTCTACGAGGAAATAAATTGCTTATGAAGTCACGATTGTTTAACTTTTACAATACTTCTAATAGAATAGAATTTTACACGATTTGTTTCCCTGCTGCGGTGTGGTAAATATGGAATGAGATAAACTACTAATTACAGTATAGGATATAAGAGAAAGTATATGCTTTGATGCATAAATTTAATAATATTCATGTTTATTGGAAATCGAAAACTTTCCGCGAGATTGACAGTTACAATCAAGAAAGGCTTTGAATTTAGCTGGAAAGTTAATTCAAAAAAGTAACTCATTATCAGAATCTATTAAAACTATAAATTAAACATATAAATCAAATATTGTTTTTTGTCATTATACAAAACTCACTATAAATCTCATTTTGTTAGAAAAACATTATAAATCATAAATATGTTAAAATCTCTCATGTCTTCTTGACTAATATTTTCTTGAATCAGTTATTCATTTACGCTCCACATTGTTCAATCAAAACATGAATCACATGAAATATTAAGTATCAGAGCATACAGTATGTCAAATTAATTAAGGATCGTAATTCTAAACAATGAACGTATGAATTGAGAGTGCTAAACGATGAAAATATCTGAGATGAAATCAGTATGTCGGAGGTTGAAATGAATCACTTTTTTCGTTTACCATCCTAGAAATAACAGAGATAAAAGAAAAATTAATCTTACTTTTTTCCATATCTAATTTTTTTCAAAATAAAAATTTATCTTCTAAAAGTGAGATATTTACTTAGTAATTAATTATTTACCTTTCCTTTCTTTGATGAATGATGATGATTTTGTTTTGTACTACTTTCTATTTTTTCTTTAGCAGTATTACTACTATTACCTTCATTATTCTTTATACTTATTTCATCAACTTCACTATGGTTTAATTCAACTACATTCTCAGTGTCAACTACATTTTTCACATTATTAATATCTGAAGGACTTTGTAACAATTCTTCCGATTTAACTGGACCATTACTTTCTTTTGGACTTAGATCAGCGCAAGGTTCATTAACCAGCGAATTTATTGAATCAGTTTTTTTATTACTTTCTATTGTATCGTCTTGATTTTGTGTAGAACTTTCCGGATTAATTATTAACTGTTTATTACATTTTAATTCTTCACAAGCAGTATTGGTTACTGGAACAGTCTGATTAGATTCAATGATGTAAATAACTTCACACTTTGGTTCCATATCTTCTTCATTAATATTCGATTCTTTTTCTGGAACTACTGATACAGATTCAGCAAGAGGTTGATTATTAACTTCTTGAGTATTACTAGTTTCCTCATTTGTAGGATTTACTTGTTGAATATTTTGAATTTCACCATTATTAACGGCGCAGACTTTATCATCACTTGTATTAGTTTCAGTATTTGTTTTAACTGGCTTAGGTCTAGATTTCTCTTCATCTAATGTTTGTTGTAATTGGTCCAAATCATTTTTCAGCTTTTGACAATCTTCTGGTAATTGTTCTTCTGCCTTGACATCTTCTTTCGCTGTTTTTTCTTCCTGAGATTGAGAAGGAACAGTCTTGCTGGCACGTAACTGTGCTAACAACTCCGCTCTCTCACGTTGAAATGCTTTGCACAATTCCTGTAACAAAGTTAATTTGTGGTTGAGTTTTTCCAATTCCGCATCTCGACTTTGTTTATCAGCAGCCATTTCTAACAATGCAACATGACTTTTTTCCCAACGTTGTTTCCATATATTTGTCTCTTTCTCTAATTTGGCATTTTTCTTGGTCATCTAAATAAATAAATATATAAATCAATTAACAATGATAACTAAAATATTATTTTACAATTATTATTGTTGTAAATTACCTTTTCCATTTCCTCATTGAAACCATTGAATACTTCGTTACTTTTGGCAAGAGCATTTTGGAAATCATCATACTTTTCAGTGTACATGTTAATTTGACTTCTTAAACCTACTTCAGTAGCTTGAAGCTCGCTTATTTTTACTTGATATTCTGTTAATTTCTAAAAACAAAATAAATATTGATTTAAAAATATCAAGTAGTGTGTAAATAAGTATTAGTCGTTATTAATTATATCTTTTCACTTACTAATAATAACTGCTGTTTTTCTTTTAATAGATGTTCCTTTTCAGCAGTCATTTCCATTTTAAGCGCTGCCATTTTAGCTTCAGCTAGTTGAAGTTCCAGTTGACTTTGTTGACGAACCTTTTGCAGCTGTTGTTCACTCAGTTCAATACGTTCCCGAACAAATTTTATTTTTTCTTGCATTTCTAAGTTTTCTTCTCTCATTTTCGTATTTTTTTCTGTATTTTGACTTGTTAAAGTACTCATTTCAGCAAAGGCACTTTGAAAAGTAGCAGATATTTCTTTCCTTTTTTCTTCTTCTAATCTAAGCTTCAAATCAATTTCTTCTTTTTGTGCTTTATTTAGTTTTTGTAATTCTCTGCACAGATTTTCAAGTCTAGATCGTTGCAAGACAGCTTTGGAACGTTGCTGCTGACATAATTCATTCTCTTGCTGTAATTTAGTCATTTTTCCTTCGGACATTTTATATGCCATCATTAGTTTACGGTTTGCATGGAGAACTTCAGAATATTTATTACAAACCATTTTCAATTTTTCTTCAGGTGGATGATTTGATTTTATTATATCTGTAATTTCATTACCGCAGAGAAGTGATGAATCTTTCTTCTTTGGTTTTGCATGTTTTTTGTGTTGAACTGCACCAGCCAGCTAGAGGTTGAATTTAATTATTTATAATTAAGTCATGCTTCAAAATTATCAGATCTATTTTTTAAGTAATAGTGACAGTATGCAAAAAATAAAACTAAATCACTCGTTGAAGAGTAAGGTCTTATAAATGATTCATTCATTGAAATATTGAAAAACATTCAGAGTTAATTATTGATATTAAAAAAAAATACATAATTTTTGTACTATTTGTGTCTAACAACACTTCAAATAGTTATTTTATACGTACTTCCTCGTCAGGAATTGATGGTGTATTTTGTAACACCGCATTCAACATTTGTACACTGTCTTTATCCAACTCCATCAATTACTGCAAATAATATTTATGATCAGAAACAATACTGATAATTATATTTTAATCAAACGACTACTTTACTATTCATATAACTTAGTGAATAAGTTCATACACAAATCTATTTACATTCTTTCAATAACAGAATTATTTGTATATATTACGTTTATTATCAAGTATCAACAATGTTTTTCTAAAAAAACATGTGTAAACTATATATAACATCACACATATGAAATTGATAATACATTAGAAACTATTCAATGGTACATTGTGGGCAGTCGATATGATTACCAGTACTCGGTAAATAAGTATTATTATTACATGTTTTATTTTCATAATTTTAATGATCAATTAAAATAATTGTAGTGATATGTCATGATGGTTGTATGAAAAATTAATATAAAATTGATCTTACTTAATAATATTATACTCTTTTCTAATTTATTAAACAGATCTCAACAACGCGTTTCACAAGTTAATTACATTTTGTACACAATTAGTATTCTGATGATTTTTGATGATGACTTTTCGGATGTAATATTCAATAAAAGTGATTGATAATAAGTATATTATATATATTAAAAAACAGATGAAATATTTACCAGTATTATTTTTACAACTCTAATTCTAACTCACAGAGAAAACTGAAAAGTATCACTTGTGTAACGCACAGTATAGCGTGGATGGATCGAATAAGCCAAAAACTATATGGTTATTTTGGGGAGATATCTAAAATTAGATAGCTTGATGAAATCAAGAAGCAACTCTAGATTGTTATCAACATGTGCATGATACAGTGATAGATTATCAATTCATCAGATTCACGTTTCATTAATTGTCATTGTCATATCATGGATTATATTAATAATAAATTAGCGCCTTTGTGCTATTTATAATATATGAATGTCACGTTGAAAAGTCAATGTAATATGAGTTATGCCCTCCTGCTTGGTTTACACCGTGTGCAATAGCTCGGACTGGGCTAGAGGATTTACTTGCGTACGCTTTATTAGTACATGTTAACTTGAATTCAAGTTGACAAACTGAGTACAAAGAATTATTGATGAAAACACTGGTTTATTGACCTTGAATAAACTGCAGATTAGGAATTAAATCGCTTCAAATGACGTAGTTGATGGATTCGTTGAAGATGTACGCACGCAATGATATTGATTTTGAAATGAGAAAGATTTATTTCAATAGTGAAAGTAATAAAAAATCTTAATATTGATAAATGATATAAATATTAAACAAATTTTCGTGAGCTATTTGGAATCAATATAGATAATATGGTAAAGAAAAAATAATTATAATCACAAAAAATGATACCTTTACAAAGCTTATTCAAATTATATTTTGATTTTAAGAATAAATAATTTCTTGTTTATTTGATCAATAACATTCATTGATATACAGAAAATTAATTCATATCTTATCAGTCAAAGACATTGAATTTACTTTTTAAGCTTATGCAGATTTTCTAGTAAATTTATTTTTTATTTAACAATAATATAAATGTCACAGAATTTACCAGAAAACTTACTGGATTTCTGAATGTCTTAATTGTGGAAAGTTCGTGAAATGGTTAAAACTTGGAAATTGAAAAAATTTATCACCTGAAGTTACAATGGAGCCATTAACGCAAAACCAGGATGTCACTACTCCATTACCTGTATTCGTATTAAGCCAAACTTGTTTTTTCCTTGTATTCGACTCTTCCTATTGTATGTTTATGCTTTCGTAACATATTACCTCCTTAAATATCAAAAAAACATAATAAAGTTGCAAATTTTTTTTTATTAATAGAATCATCAATTCTTATGCATGCCAACGATTCATGTATCTTATTCAAAAATCAATTGCTCATTGAATTCATCAATTTGTGTCCGGTATCAATAATTATTGTAATGATCAGACTCCAAAATTAATGATGACAAATTAGAAAAAAGACTTTTCAAGAATCACTGCTAGTTTCAATTATCTCCCTATTTTGATGATGGTATCATTTACGAGATCTTCAGAAAGTTAATCGTATTATCAATAAGTTCAAACTTATCTTATTTTCTCTTGAGACGTATCTGTCACTTTATTTTATCTTTCTTCAGTAATATTATTCAAATATTCTGTTGTGTATTCTGCATATCCGTGATGCGCATTGCTTCGTTTAATAAACACCTTTTGAATTTATACTTGTTATGTATATAACTCTATTGTTTTATTTTACAATTGTTTGTGACTACTATTTCGCTATGCGAATCAGGTGGACAACTAAATTATACACACGTGATGAAGACTGCACGATGAAACATTACTGTATTTGTTGCAATCGATTTATTCCTTTCTATCGTTTTTTTTGCATTGAGGCTATCTCGTGATTCGAATTTACTTACTTTCTGAAAAACAAAGATTCATCATTCTTGTTAATAATAAAAAAAATCTTACGCATGCCGGTACAACGATATTAATTTCTTTTTTATAAGAGACATTTACTCACTCTTTGAGATATTATTAAGAAAATCAAGAAGGGTGAAAAGTATCTTAGCAACCAAAAGTAGGAGGAGGATAATTTCTTAGAAAAAATTAAACCTTATTACTAATAGTTAGCCTAAGGATATACTTGGAATGAGACAGAGGGTTGACTCTATTTTTTACGTAGTGTAGCTATTTATTTTGTTGTAATAATGGCACAGTGAAATACTTGAAGAAAATACTATTAACAATAATAAATTTCTCAATATATTTCTTTCAAGAATTTATTTATTATTGAAAAAAATATTACTTTCATGAAGGAAATTTATAAATACATACTATATTAAAAACGATTTTTAGTCATGAAAAATCATTGACATTACTGTCTTGATAATTGATTTTTATTATCAACTCATTTAAAATATGTATTTTCTTATGTACTTGATAAATCAGGTTTTTAACGATGAATAAAAAATATTTATTAAATAATGAAGTACCGTTTATAAGCATGAGCTCGTGAATTTTAATTTTATCAACTTGACCGAGAAATTATTAGTTTTTCTATTACTAGTAGGTCACAATTATTATTATGCAAATGATATTATATATTTTATCCTTATAGATTGCTATATTTCTTTCATGCACTTTGATTAACGAAACTAAATATTATCTATTTTAAATAAAAATACTTTCTTTATGACTATCAATCCACAAAAATTCTTGATTTTTCCTTAATCCATTATCTATTTGTAGAAAATTAAACTTTAAATTTTATGACTTAAACTCACAGTTATTTCAACCTTTACTCATCTTACTATCTTTGAAAGTAGTAAAAAGAAAGGTGGTCATAAACACTACGTTTATCGTATATGAAAACACTTAATTATGCAAGCTTTTCAATTCCTTTTTTTATCTATTTTGAAAAATTAAAATCTACATCCAATGATAAAATATAAAGAACATAGTATCTTGCTGAAGAAATTACATATCAATTACTATCATCTTTAATTGCATTTTTTTTATTCAAATGAACCTGGTCAAAGCTTTAAAACACATGAAAAAACAATCCTTTCATCGAAAACTTTACTCACACTTTTATATGCCACAGGTACTTATTTTTAAACAGATGTTTTTATTGGATGTTCAAATGCGAATCTTATGTGTATAAATCGATGTACCGACAAGTAACATGGGTAAGTATATTGATGACACTGTATCTCCAAACAAAACTTGCTTCATACGTTGAGTTTAGATCAGTTAAGCGTCAACTGTGCTCAGAGAACAAAGTTGTTGGAGATCTAGTGAACAATAAACTACTATTCATTACAAACATCTTTCACTTTAAAAAAATTTTAGTAAATGAAAATATATAAGCAATGAAAATTTTATTTCATAATTTAAAAAATTTTTTTTTTTTACTAACCATTGAAATTATACTGAATTGTAATTCACAGTTAAATAGCTATGTTATAAGTGAAGAAAGTGTTTGAAAAGAATCAACTGGAAAGATTAGAAATCTACCAACAATGTGGAACGATACTTTATTAAATTTAACAATCAACGAAACAATGACAACTCCAGCAACAATAACACTGTCAAAACGACATGTGTCTATTGGTTCTCAAATAGTGTTAACTTTCGTCTACTTATGTGGTATCTTTGGCAACGTATCAGCGTTAATTACTCTATTCTACAAAGACAAGGTTGATAAATAAATTACATTTCTATTCATGAATTAGAATAGGATAAGTTTATTCAACTCTATTAAATACAATACAGCACACATAATAACATTTATTTTGTTTTTATTTAGCGGCGAAACAGGAAGCATTTGCTGATGCTGCGTTGTTTGGCAACTAATGACTTGGTTGCCCTTTTAGGCATGTTGATACAGATGTACATAACAATCTATGTGAACTCAGTCACGAAATCACAAAAATTTTGTTCACTGAGAATAGTCTGGCGCCTTTTTGGACTCTTTAGTGGATGCGTCGCAATAGTTATGGCAGCTGAGAGATGGCTAGCTTTGACCCGGCCTTTCGTTTATCAAAAGGTACAATGAAGATAAAAACAGCACGTTTTTTCTCTTTAATACCATATTTGATAAATCAAAAAAAAATATCAGTAAATATTATTTTCATTTGTTAGTATTTAATTAAAATTGGAACTGGACATGAAATGAACATGTATACTAACAATATACTGATAACCCAGTCACATAAATTGGGTTATCATAATTAGTAAATGCTATGTAGCCTTTTTTATTTATGCTTACACTTTACTATCATCGAAAAATGTTACAGCATGTGACGTTTCCAAGAATTGTTCAGTGTATGCTGGGCTTGTGGATTGCAGCATTGACTTTGACAAGTTTACCCCTTTTTGGATTTGGATTGTATTATAAAAATGGTAATTGTGTGCGTTATCGTGAAGCCACTGAACCAATAGATATTTCTTATGCTTACGTCTGGTTTTTCTTCGGTAAATAATTTTTATTTTTATTAAAATTATCTTAAATAATTATAAATGAATTGCAATTATTCTTTTATTGATTTTTATTCCAGGAACATTACTTTGTTTATCAATAGTATGGTGCAACTTGGCTGTTTCGAGAGTACTTCGAAAACTTGGTCAAAAGTATGGAGTATTGAGAAGAGTCTCCAGATCTTCTTCACGTAATAAGCCATTTCTTTCGTCTACTAAGTCATCAACACCTTCAGAAATCGGGACAACTGTTGAAGAACGTGCTTTTGCGAAATTGATGGCAGTACTGTCAATATCGTTCGTAATCTGCTGGATGCCACAAATGGTGAGTTAAAATAATAATAAAAATTTCAATAGTTAAATATTAGGAAAACATGTATTGCAATTATTCTGTTTAAATATTTGTTTCAACAAATCCAGAAAATTGTAAAGATTAACGAAAATATTCATTCGTAAATGCTCCAAAAAATTGGAGCAACAAATTATGCTTTCAGTTAAAATTAGAATAAAAGATATAAGATATTAAAATAAATGGCAAATTTCATTATGGAATTTTTTAAATTCCAAACTGCTCATAAATTTCAAAACTTTTGTACAGTTTTGCGTTAAATTTCGTCCTTTTAAATTTTATTTATTTTGTTCCTTACCCTAGTTGTAGTAAAGTTGAAATGAATTTAATTTAAACATTTTTCTTAAACGAAGGAATTTGTTTTTTTCATCAATAAAAATTCCATCATAATCAATTACTATTTCAGATATCGATTCCTTTAGCTCAATATTCACTAAGCCTCGGAGAAGATGTAAAACTTATCAAAAAAATAATCCGACTTTTCCATATAATTGCGGACATACTTCTTTGTATTCATTTTACGTTGGACCCATACATTTACGTGCTATTGCGAATGCCTAGAGGGAGAATTCCTTTGAATAAATACTTAAAGAGGATTTGTTGTCCGGTGAGGAGTCGCAACAGCTCTTTTGCTGGTATGTAAGCCAAACTACATAATAAATTGTAAAGAAGAATAAATAATATTATTGGTTCTTAGAAACCACAGATCATTGTGGTAGCAGTGGAGATCCACCAACTCCAATAACTGAAGTACCACCTCTCATAAATGGACATTTTCATGAAGTGTATACAGAAACCATGACTCTCTAATATCAATTGACTGATATCATCAATTTACTATTGAGTCGATTTATTTATTGTAAAAATAATAATCATACTTAAATAATACTCGAGTAGGCTTTAAACAAATGACAAAGTGATAAATGGAATTAAAAGAATCTCATAAAATTTTAATAGTATTTAAAAAAATTTAGTACTTCATAATCAATAATTAATTTTCCAAATATACAAATAAGATAATAATTGTATAAATAGAACGTAAATACATTTTTACGATGATAATAATCTATTTGTTAAAGTATTCGCCTGTTATTGCACTCCAGCAAAATATAGTATTAATTAATAAATATTATTAAATTTTTCTTAATTAGTTTAGACAACTTATTTCCAATAATTTTCTTAACAAAATAATGATCTGACTCTCAGACATTTAGAATGTTTACTTTTAGCTATGATGTCAGTTACCTTAAGTACGGGTTTTCAGTATATACATGGCTTAATAAAATATATCAATTAAATTTTCCACAGCAGCAGGTGATTAGTGGAATCTTCTCTACCTGCTTGGAGCTCTGTTGAACCTTGAGGACCACGAAAATCCTCGTAGCCATCACCTCCAGATATAATTAATAATTTTTTCCGATTTAAATTATTTTGTGGCGATTTCATTTTTATAGAACATCGATTTATGTCGGAAGAAATATCAGACTTAATTGAGGATGGTGCTTCCACACACGTGATGAAGCGAACGTGACCAGTATGACCATGTGGAATACCTGAAAAATCAATAGACCATTGAGTTTTATAATAATCAATAATTAATCACCTGAGAAGAGTAATAGAATAGTATTTATATACCAATAACTGGCGGAGACTGCGGTAACCGCTGTGTGGAGGATTTTATATGAGGAATAGGTACCGTAAGAAGTACACCTGCACTTGTACCGATCCATAAAATATCATTGCATGCCAAAAGAGCGGTTACTCGTAAGCATGCTGCTTTGTGTTGTCGTATTATATCATCACAGTCTGCAACAAATTTAATTTTTCTGTTAAAATAAATTTCATTGCTTCATTCACTATAAAATTGATGTATTTTATAGTAAATGATAGCTGTTCAAGTGGACTAGGATATTGCTCTAGGATTTAATACTTACTGGCAAGCATTTTAGTTACAGCAGGGGCAATATTGATGTCTGTTAAACATTCATATGAAGTAGTATGGAAAAGTTTAAGTACTGCACTATTGTGAAGTGAGATCCACACACCAAGACCATTTGAAGCTGCCAAGTAAGACACTGGTCTACCATTCTCTCCATTTACATTAAAAGAATGTTCAACTTCCATTGTCATTGTGTTAAGTACTTTTATAGAATTGTGACAACTGCACCATAATTTATTCGTTATTGATACAGGTACCATTTTTGTTACCGGTGTTTCCGGTGTACCAACTGAGACTGTCAAAGCATCTAATGTACTCCAGCCATCTATAAAATGAACCATTGAATTACTTCATTGTAATCTATTATAATTATATTGAGAGAGCATAATGGACATAATTTACTTACAATGTGCATCTCGAGAATAAATAGTTACATCGCCATTCGCCAGAGCCACAAATACTTTATTATCTAGATATCTTATAATAAAAAAGAAAAAAAAATTAATAACAATAGTAATTGATTAAAAAACAATAAAATAAAATTGAGCATTGATATTCTGATCCTTTCAACAAGTTTATTGGAGTATATCAATAAAGCCTTTCAATTCATTTCATTCAATTGAACAAAAAATTGTCTAGACAGTATTGGCGCATTATCAGTTAAAATGATTAGATAATTTTGATCATTTATTTAAGAATTATGTAAATAATAAGAGGTATTTGAAAAAATTTTTTTTTGTTTAATTGAAAAGTGATGTGAATTTTAAAAAATTTTAGATTACTGAATTTCTAGACATGTGCTAGTAGAATTTAATACTGTACTTACAGTATTAAGTTAGCACACAAAAAAAAACATGAATAGCTTACTTGAAAAATTATGAACAAGCTACTTAACAGCAAAACAATTTCACTCAAGGATGTAAAAAAAATATTGTGTAGTTTTAGATATATACGAGAGAGAATGTTAATATAAATTTTATCACGTTTTATAAATGATAATTATAATTATTTGAAACCTCTCTATATTCTCTGTCACGTAAAGCTTGTTTTAGAGGAAGAGAATTAAAATAATAATTAGTGAGTAAAAAATTTTTTAATGGATTAAATATTTACAGATACTTCTATCTTGATATTTTAAATAACTGACATAAATTTCTCTATTACATTAATCATTTGTAAAAATTTTGCATCATACTTTACAAAAAATTAAAAAACAAAAATACTCTAACTGCTCATGATGCATCAATACTGACTGGACCAATTAATTATCTTCCAATTGAGTTTATTTAATTGAATAGAAAAACTACTCTTGACATTTATGAAACTTGTGGACAGTCAAAGTATCAATAAATAAGCCAATAACTTGAAAATAACTTACATGATAGACTGAACACTACTTCCATGTTGAATTTTGACTTTATTTTTCTTTATTCTAATATTATCATTGCAGTTATAAACATGAATACAACCGTCTTCGGTTCCCAACCACATTGTAGGCTGATTTATATCTTCCTCCATAGTACCGTCTATACTGGATAAATCTCCATACAGAGAACCGCCGGTTGTTTCTGTTCGAGGAATGTCATCAGAATCTGAATCACTAGAACTTGAACTACTGTCCAGGTTAATATTTCTTTCACTAGCATCGGCGTCTTGCACTGAAATACTGATTCCACTTTTTGCAGTTGAAAAACTGTTATTACTATTGCTCATTTTCTTGTCATGTAGTATATGCAGGTCAGAACTGGTAAAACATAATTAGCTTCAAATACTTTATTAAATTCATCAGTTTTTTTGGTATCATTTTAAAAAATAAATACCTTACGGGAGTTGCAGGAATTCCAGCAACACAGAGAATACGAGAATTACAGACGCCATTGCACGAAGTAACTTGAGCTGGTTCTGGATTTAAACTTAATACACACACTTGACCAACGTATCCATCACTATTGCAGACCCATACATCACTAGTTTCATGGCCATTTGAGATTGTGGGTGACGCACAAGTAAACTGAAGTCCAGCTCGAGTCTTTCGGATAGGTAATGGACCAAGAAACTCTGGAGATGGCCTTTTATCAGTTGACAATGCTAATTTTTGTTTAGCTTCATTGAAACTATCCTCCCAACTCGCTCTTTTATCAGGCTTTGTAAACATGACGGAAATATTCTCAACACCTGACCTGTGAGACATTTAAATACTTGTTATTTTTACCGTGTTAAGTGAATTAAGTTCAAAGGGTTGAAAAAGTTTAAAAATATTACTGCGTATTCAAAGTGAATTCCAGGCATGCCAATTGTGAATGCGCAGCATTTCGTTCGATCAACTGACGTTGAGTTTGTGCCAATAATTCTTTAATGAGATCTTCCAGCTGATGTTTTGATCCATGTAAAGTAGCCGCGAGTTCCTGCAATTGAGCTAGTGTTGCACAATCTTCTCTCAAGTGATCGACTTCTCGAGCCATTTTTCTCAAATTTTCATCTTTAGCTGTATAGAACAAAATACACAAATACGATAGTAAAAAAAAATATGGATTAATTTATTAAAAAATATATCATATTAAGAGTTACTTACCTTTCATTACTTCTAGATCACTCAGAGAAATTCTCATAAGCAACTTATACTTGTTAGCTTCAAGTAAACTCATCAAACTATTTGGACAAGAGCTCCTAAATAGTTTAATAATTGATTAGTTTTTTGTTTTAATTTTGTTTAAAAGTAAACAAACTTATTAACTTACGTAGAAGGCTTTCTGATCGTTCCACTTCTTCGCTTAATACTCGTAATAACTAAGAGATCTGAGAATAAAAAAAGTGCTCGTTCTTTTCTCGTTCCTTGATTTGAAGCAATAGTTACAAGATCATGTCGAATAAATGCTCTAAAATATGAATAAAATGATTTAATGATTGAAAATTGAAAATAATTACTCCAAGTATTTATGTTTAGACAAAAACAAACCTATCGTTAGCAACTATTCCTGCTAATCCTTCAACCAACGACTGAACTTCTCGCAATGTCGTCTGCTGTTGTTCCCATTCAAGGGATTCCCTCTCTGTACAATTAATTTTTACAACGAGTTCATGCACTTCTTTTTGTGCAGCAGTCAGTAGTTCATAGTCTGGATGTGAAGTGTCTGTATGCTTTAAAAGCCTCTGAATGAGCAGTTCATACCTTGGAATCTTTTGCACCGGTTTAATCAATAGCTGATCAAGTCCTAACTTTCCCTTGTGTTCTCGTTCCATCGTTTCGAGAAATCGTGCAAACGCTGGTTTTGCTTGACAAGCCGTTTTTATCGCTCTTTTCGCTGATTTCCAATTATTAAGAAAGAGTGTATATGTCTCTAAGACGGCTGGCTTTGTAAACTGTAAAGAAGGAAACTTTATCCTCAGGAATTTGATCAATGAGATATTATATGCAATTGCATTAAAAAGGGTCTTTTCACTTACCACATTGAGAAACACATCTCCGATCGTTTGTCCAAGTTCCCAGGTATCCAATCTCTTTCTAAGCTCTTCTAGAAATATTTCATGGTGACTGAGAATTGCTGGTATCTATTGAATAAATTTGTTGACGTGATTACTATATGCGCATTGAAAGTTCACTTTAAAAAAAAACAGTAAAAAAATAATATTTATATTGACATTAAACAATAATTTGAACAAAGATAGTATTCGAATAATTGATATTATATATTAGCTGTTTAGGTCATATAACTCATTGTGATGGTAATTATATAAATTAAAAGCTTGTGAGATAATACTCAATTGTAAGCTTTTCATAATATCTGATTGATGACAAATATTGTTATTGTTGGTATTATTTATAAACATTTCTGCTATGATATAATAATATATTATTCCATTCCTTTCAAATAGGGTAAACTTTATCCTATGTTATCGCATATTAGACTTGACAGAGATTGAGACCAGATGTTTTTTCAAGCATTCAAGTATTTCAGTTAATTCGAAATGTATTGTTTTTTACATTTTTTGAATAACATATTCATAACTATTGGTTAATCTTCTATATAATATCCGAAACAATAACTTCGTCGTTGTATCGAATTATTATTAATATTATTAGCTAAACAATGCTACTAGAGTTATTTGCTAAATTACCTTATAAAATATTTCATCAACTGTTGTTGAATCGATAAGACCTGCATTATCGGGACCTTTTAAAGTTTGCAGATATTTCTACAAAGAGAAAAATAAACGTTTTATAAATATGTTTAAAAATTTTCATTCATTTAAATAGTAGCTACAAAGTTATAAAAATATAAATTGCTTACATTGACCAGTATTTGTAACGCCTCAACATATGACTTTTCAGTATCATAAAGCTCTACGACAACATGAGTCCTTGTGTCCTAAAATAGATGCAAGGAAAAAAATTAGTATTATTTAGTTGCAAATTATTCATACATAAAGTGAGTTTATAAATAAATGAAATTTATAACATTACATAGTTAAGATTACATATTGAAGATGAATTGCTGATAAACGGAATGTTTTTCGTGAGTTTTCCCGGATTTTCTGGACAATCAAACCGACTTTTTATCACTGGAAAAACTGACGATAATATTCGTTTGAAAGATCGCTTTTTGTTTATAGGCATAATGCATAAAAAGCTCTCTCGATAATCAAAAACTATACACAAATGATAGATGTATATAGAACACAAATTTATTAGGTTTAGAGATGTTATCGAGGAGAGCAAATAATCAACTTTGAAGAGAAATTCATGACTGACACGATGGGCCAGTATTATCCCTGTCTTTGAGGGAAGCTGGAGCTTTGTATACGTCAAAGAGAAAACACGTGTTGCACACGTAACAGCCACGGGTTCATAAACTCACGTGTATACATGAGAAACAATATCTATATAATTAAACAAATCTATCAACTGATTTCGATTCATTCTAAAATTATTCAATAGTTACTTAGAATATTTTTTATCCTAGAATACGGAAAAAATTATTGGTTTTCATTTTAATTCGATCAATGAATCCATTCTAATTTTGGCAGATGTTCACATTTACAAGCATCTAAAATGTAAAAATAACATGTTGGAAGACATTTCAGTCCTGTGTTTCATTCGTAAAAAATTTGTTGGTACAATAATGTGAGAAACAGTCTTATAAAAAACCCACCCTGTTTAAATTTAACTTCCACTTTAATTGGACATAAGATTGATCATTGGATGTCAACATTAATAACTTGATTTTTACACACGAAAAAGAATGACCTCTTATCTTCAACCACAAATGTTGTTTTTATTACCCAGAAAAGAATTTCTATTGAGTAAATAAATTATTTAGAATAGTATAATAACATGAAGATGAAAGTAACTGTCTGTCTTTAATGGACAATAAATCAACTAACTTTTGAAAATGAAAACAGGTATCGAGTAATTATTTAATTCCTTCGAATAAATTAATTGACTGGTGTAATTACAATTATTATTGATGATTATTAATGATCTTTGATCTAATTAATCTTACTTTTAGTTCAATTAATTGAAGTAATATAGTTTAAATGCGTTCAACTTAATTAAAAATAGCTTTTAGAGAATATTGCGATTATGATCGTCCCTTTCTATTCTCATGCAACTTTCTACTTAATAAAAAAAAAATACATCCAAGTAAATATATTTCACTTTACTAGTTTTTCAATATCATAAATCACTAGATGTTTGGATTTTTATATGAATTTTAGAAATATGTATAGAAGAATAGTCGATGATTTAGTATTTTCAGCTACTCGACTACGATTTTATGAACGAGAAGAAATAGACACTTATTTTTGTATGGATACGACTTTACGTGTTATGTTACGTGATTTCTCTGAGCAATTGAATGCAGGGCGGCGCCGGAAGTCCTCATTCACGTCAATTTGGATGTGTTACTCGTTTATTTCCGGTATCATGAGTTGTTCCGTAAAAGGAGTGAAACGTGATTAGAGTTTTAGTTATCTATAAGTTATCTATAAACTGTCGGCAAATGCGTTTTAAAAAAAAACACAAAATCATTTGCCAAGCTGACACTTTGGCTTACGCCGACTAGTTGACGTAAATTTCGAGCATTTCTCAATATGTATGTATTCATTGGATTACTTAAAATACTTAATGCAGTATTTTGTGTCTGCTTCTTTAACGATGTGATATAAACCATAAGGCTTTTCTGCTGTATATTATTTCATTGAAGTCATAATTGACATATTTTTAAATTATCTTTCAAAATGTATTAGCTTATTTTGTAAATATAAATTAATCAAATTAGAATATATGTTTTACGCATAATCTTTTTTGCAACAGTGTCTTACATTTCGATGAGTGGGTGTACGAGCCATTCTTTCCGAGGATCCTCGAAGAAGTTGTGCCAAAAGTTCTGGGCTTGGTTCAGGTAAACCTTCAAGTTTACTCGGACTGGAAGTGGTTCGATGATGAGAAGGAGTTGGTGGTTCCGAGTGGCTATGAATTTCCGAATTATATGTCAAATTTGCAGAAGTTTTTCTCTTTGGTTCAAAATGTTCTCCTAATGCTATATCCACAGTCTTAGGTTTTGCCATTTCTGCCTCTAGCATTTGACCATATGGACCACGAAGAGGTCGTTTGCTATATCTATAATGTGAGTTGATGTATAATTAAAGTTAATAATGAAAAGAATTTATTTAAAACTACCTATTTAAGATAACAACATTCAGTTACCTTTGAAGAACATGGCCTTCACAATCAGAAACATCGCTAAAAGCTGCTAGCAATTCATCTTTCTCCTTTTTCTCCTCCTTCTCTTCTCTTTCTTCACTGCTTTGTGCTGACAGTTTATTTCTATCTAGCATTGGAATATATTCCGATGGTTCCGGCCATTGTGTAATATATACTCCTTTTCTTCGTTTGCTTGTGTCACCACGGTACCTTCTGACCTTTCCTGAAAACGTTGAAGTCTCAGAGGAAACCGTTGTTTCACTCGGTACTTGGTTTGTTTCACTAGTTTGACTCAATCTTGATTCTTCCGGTGGTGGTGTAATAATTACTTCATGTAATTCTACTTTCGGTTCTAGAAAAACATGCATTAAAAAAGATAATTTATGAGTCAGAAAATTAATTATTATTAATAAATTATAATATATACCTTTCGTTTCTGCTACTGATGTTTCAACGCGAAAATCTATCATTTTATCAGCATTTTCAGTCACACTATCATTTATCATACTTGGAGAATCTAACTGAGTTTGATTAATTTTCAGTTCTTGACTTGTCGTTACAGGTGGTTCAGGACTCGTGAGTGCACTTGAAGTAGTAAGACTTTCTGATCCATCACTCTTCGGTCTGAATTCTTCATGATTTTGATTACTACTTGTTCCATCGCTAGGGGTTAATAAAGTACTGTCGATGCTAGCCGTCGAAATACGTGGACTCTGGTAATTTGGAATATTTTGTGTTGTAGAACCACCAGGAGTGGTTGATACTCCCTTAATTCTAGGCAAGGTATTAATTCTGACATCTTTGAATTCAGTCCGATGAGTATTAGGGTTGGGCTGGCTCCTATGTCGAATATTTCCTGTCATAAAGGAGGTCAAGAAAAGAATTAAAAAATTAATCAAAGATAACAGTATCATGTATTTGATTTTTTAGCTCTATCTTTACCTTTGTTAAAATCTACTTGGCTAAAAGATGCGCTTCTAAAAGGTACTCCAGTAGTCTGATAAGATAAAAGTGGTCCGCGAGGCTCTAATCTTGCCACAGCATCTCTAATCTCGCTTTGGCTACTTTCGTTAGAGATTATAGATGGAATTGATAAATTATAAAGATCGGTACACTTCGCACTGTCTACCACTGAATCACTGCATTGCCTCAAGTGTTTTGAATCACTGAACGCGTCAATGGACCGTGTAAATTTATCGGTGTTACCAGGTGTTCTCTTATCAATAACACTTTCGTTACTAGACCATGAAGTTCTACGCGGAGATAATGTACTACACTGATGATTAACTTTCTCATCTTCGTTACTCGTCACTTGAGCAATCTGGCTATCTTCTCCAACCCGCAAACTTGATGAAAACGTCTTTGGATTACCGTTATCATGTTTACTAACGAAATTTAAATTACCACATTCACTTTCTCCGCTGCTGGGATAGCTGAGAATGTTTAACTTACTCGTAACCTACAAAAAAAAAGTAATAAATATTGTAAAAACACCAATAAATTTTTTTTTTAATTCATACCTGGGAATTATCATTGTTATTGCTGTTTTTATTGTTATTATTATCATTATTGCTCTTATTATTGACACTACTGCCGTTATTTCGATGTTGATGAGGATGATGATAATGATTATGCTGACTGAGAGGTGGTGAGGTCGAATGTAAACGTGATGGCCTCCTGGGTGGTGGTACTGGTGCTGGATTTTTTAGTTTCTCCGTCAACTCACGAAGACGCTCGGCTTTTTCGCTGCGGGGGCTGGAAGAGGGTTTCTTGCCACTTCCTCCTCCACCCCCACTCCATCGAAATTTGTGCAGGCGGTCCACCGCTGTTGTTGTTGATTCCTGCAAGGCAATTTTAATATATCCCACGTCAATGTTTATAATAATAAAACGTTTAATAAACGAAAAAAATAGAGTATTTCTGATTATTGCTCGTGTGTCCATCTGAGTTTTGAGTCACCAGGAGAGCGCGCTGTACCAAGAAAACATGCTTTTCTCTCTCACACGGGATGATATAAATAGGCCACCACTTGGTCTCGGTTTAAATACATACATATTCGAACGTGGATAGTATTCGACATTCGAAAAAAAACGACACTCGGATATGTACGCGATAGTTTATATGATTATTTCTCAAGTTAAACTGATATTATCCTATCGTCTTGTTATTTCATTCTTTTGATTTTTTTTTGATAGTTTAGTTATTGTCAATGCTATGCTATTAACTGTCATAATCATCTTTAAATCTTTCGATAAAGCTAGATATGTATTTACAAATGTTTTCAAAAAATAACTGAAGCTATATTAAAATGAAAACTATCTCGGCATGAGTATTTCACAGTGATTTAAAAGCACGTGTTTTAATGTCAAAAATTGTAGCACAATGATTGAGAGTAGTTCAAGCACAACAATGTAACAAGAATAAAAAAGTAGTGATTAAGAAATAAGCATTAAAGATTTCGGTCATTTAACGTGTCAACAGACGTAAGAATATATGAAGTACCTGTAGTTTTGAAGGATGATGATGTTTGGTCCACTGTGATATTTGCCGTGATACTGAAACACTAGGGATAATTGGAGCAAAAGTTGTACTTAAAGTGGTAAAGACAGCACTGGTTGAGTTAGTTGATGATGATGACGACGAGGATGATTGTGACTGGGAGTAGTGGCTTCCTATTTGCAGCCCCCCGCAGTTATTATTAGCATTTAAGTTTGACGGTAGTCGCGCGAACTTGCTTTTGGTGGGAGGTAGTAAAGATTGTCCTCCTACTCCACCTCGCACACGATCAACGCCAGCGTTGCCGATGCTTCTGCTTGAGTTAGAAATACCTCCATCCCCACTTGAATATATATTCGGAGATAGTGGTATCCGTGAAAGAGGGAGCCTCGAACGTGGACCAATACAACAGCAATCGGTTACATTGGTCGTAGCCGTCGTCAAGTCAATTGACGATTTGTTCTCCAACGTTGTCTTGACGCCACTCAGACCACTCATGCCATTCTTTTCTGTCAATTTGTCTTTGGAGAAGTTGGAGCGATATGTACTTCTATCAAGATCTGATGAGTTCTCGATGGAATTGGATGTTGGTAGACTTTCCTGGAATGTTAAAAAATATTCTGTTTAATTTGATTCAATTACTGAAATGCTTTTGATTGCCAAGGCTGGAATAAAGGAAGTAGAATGTTAACATTGAATTCCATTCCATAACAAACCTCTAGGCAATCTGTAGAACCTGAATAGAATGCATAGTTTGTGTTGGAGAAGATAATTAAGTTAATATCCTTAGCAATGAAAAATTGAACCTTCATTTTCTCTCGTCGTATATTTATATTGTACCTGCGAAATGCGAACTCCATATTTAGTGCCCCCTAGAACTATGTAACCACTTCCAGATGTTCCGCTCGTGGATCTTGTCACTCCAGCACCCAGCCATCCCCCAAAGCCACCAATTGGTTTCTCGCCTCCACCCTTCTCCCCATCTCCGCTGATGCGAGGCATTCTTCATCCTTTGCTCAACCTGCAATAAATCAAGGAAATTTATCGTGGATAAACACATATAGACAATATAAATCAGTACAACACTAAATCAGCTAATGTTTTTTATTCCTCAATTTAAGTGTGGATGAACATTCGATTATTTGAATATGATTCGTTGAAGAATATAATTGATTTAAGAAAATTGCAAATAATTCAGAATAATATAATTTACAAATGAAAGAATAAAAATACATTGGTGATATTAGTCATAAATTAATAATATAAAATGATTAACTTTGTAAATAAAATAAGTTTAAATTTTTTAACACTTCATTTTAAATATTTGTTTATATTCATGCTTAAAAAATAATATAAACATCAAAGATCATCATCAATAAAAATGTTTTTCCCACAAGATATTCAATGACTCACAAACTGATATTTTTTTTGCGAAAGTCAAATGAAAACGTACCAACTTTTACACCCAAATTTAAAATTTCATTTAAAATGCATATAAGTAAAAGTTGGCAATACGATATGTACAATGGTCACTTAGGTCAAGAAGGTCCTGCGACCTGACCTTAATTTATACCTGACTGATCTTTCGCAAAGTTATTTAGTCGCCATTATCTCTCAATATACTTCTGCTTTATTGTTAAGAAAACATTGTGTGCATTTAGTAACTATTATCTATCAAAATTTATCAAATTTTGTGTTATCGATGATCAAAAATTGTGTATTTTTTATCAAAAGTCCAAACTTTTTATATATTATATGGTAAAAATATATAAAGACAATTGAAAGTTAGAAAATGTTCTAGGAAAAGTACGAGAATTATATTATATTTTGCTTCGAAATAAAGTTTTGACAAGAATTAATTCTTAATTAACATACAGAAAAATATTTTAGGTATATGAATATTAAATAAAAATTATTAAAGTGAAATAAAAAAAATTTGTGATAAATTTTTAATTAAAACCATCATCCACAATGAATAAAGAGGATTTCCAGAATAATGAAACGGGAAAGAATTCTATGTACGCTGCGAGTAGTACAGGTAAGAACAAGGTACATTTTATTACTCATTTATAAATAAGATAAAAGATTTATATGCTAATTTTCCTTATAAACTGAAAAAAAATTAATAAAGCGAACCAATGGTAATTATATTTCTGTTTTATTTATTTTTAGAGTGCAATTCATTGCTTTGGAAAGATAATATCTCGACATTATCTGCGAATATGATTCAAATACAAGATCAGCCTAAAGATGGTAACTATATTAAACTTATACACTTATACATATCAATGCATACATGTATACGAAAAGAGAATACACATAATGATAATGTAGTATATTCATAAATACTCTTTTGACAGATAAATTCAATGTAATTAATGGGGATAAGAATAACTGTAGAAATAAAAAATGCATCTCCGAATACAATAAAGAAGTGAGATTTATCGACGACAAGGAATCAATTGATGTGAAATATGATGGAGATTTGTCGACTGAAAGTAGTGGTGAGAAATTAGTGAAAAGTACAAACTCAATCTACGTGAAACATAATGAAAATTTGTCTATAGAAAGTTGTAAAAACCGTCACATACCTCAGAGCACCTCAATTTCTAATGCTAATAATAGTGATAATTGTGATAATGAAGCTAATTTTACAAGCAATAATTCAAATCAAAACAAAAGTTCAAGTTCAAAACGTAATGATAAAGAATTCATACCTATTAGAAGTGATGAAGACTATGGTGCTAATAATTCATGCTCCAAGTGCAGCCTTGAAGAAGGCTTACCTCAAAACAATGTAAACAGCAATGTAGAAACGTGTTGTGGTCAAAGCCATGAACAAGTTATTCCAAAAAACAATTTAAACACAAATCAAGAATTATGCTCTGATGATGAACTTGACTACACTGATGAAGATTTGGAGTACGATACTGAGTCTTGTTTTGAAAGTGATTATGAAGAATACATGTCTGGAGTGGGCATGGATTCTGAATTGTATTTCGAAAGTGGTGGTGATGAATATATCTCATATTCCCACAATGAAAACTTTCGGCCTGAAAATCGTAGATTTCGAAACTATAAAGCTCCATCAAGTGGATATCCAAGTCATGAGTATTTAGATGGACAAAATAGCACGAGGGAAAGCGATACTATTGTTGGACCCCTCAGAGTGACTGGCATATTTACGATGATTGACATAGGTTTTAATACGAGATAGGAGAAGATTAAAAAAATATGCAAGTGTACTAATGAACAATTGACTTCTCTGAAAGAACCTGTAACTGTATCTTATTATTATCTTATCATGCTCTGAATACTGTGGTGTAAAGGATCCATCAATTACTGGATAAATTAATACCTGCTCCGGAAGAGCTATTAAAATAACATACATTTTATTCGTATAGAAATAATGATGGAGCTGATCAATGAAATTAGCTTTTAATAGTTTTAATTAAAAAATAATCATGGTTCATTGAAGATACAGTTTGATGGTCATTATATAAATAATTATATTATTTAATAAATAAAATTGCCCGTTATTTCCTGAACTATTGGAGGGTACAAATGTTCATTTCTTCGAGTTGAATGAGAAATTGGTAAATAGTTGATGAATTACTTATAATGGACTCGTTTGTACTTGAGAAAAAAAAACTTAAAAACTATTACAGCTCCATTGCTACTAAATGAGAAATTAATAGATTATGGTAATCTATCATCATTGAATGTCAATCATTCAGCTTAGGATTTATTGGTAATTAATGAATTTTGTTGAATCAGATTAAAATATTTATTTGTATTAATTAAAATTTCTTATTTAATTGTATTTTAAAATACACTCAATTAATCATAAAGATATAAAATGTATTAACAAAAGTATCTATTTTTAAAAAAATATTTTAAACTTTTGCTAAATTATTTTGAATAAATTAAAAAATTTTTTGATATTAATAATTTACTTTTAAGACGTTTTATTTGATTTTGACCAATGAAAACTTTTTGAAAATTTTTTATTATTATTTCAATTAAGATTTAAATTACAAACGAAACATTTATATTCTATTTTACCGTTAGTCATACATAATTCGTGTCTTTATTATTCCGAATCCTTCACAAAACTGTATTTAATGGAAATAAGTGTTTGGGCAATGCAATTTGAACAAAATAAAATAAATATTCGTGTTTAAAATAAATATGAAAATTATAAGCAATATATATTTCCAGTTTCTTCTTGCATGATGTATGCATTCAAAATAAAATTAAACAACAAAAAAAAGTTATTTTTCTCTTGAAGGAGTATGAAAAAATGACTTAACTTTTGAAGGTTCAATAAAACAAAAGCAGTTGATTTATTCGTTGATTCTGATTTAAAACTGAACTGATACTATTATAAATAATATTATCGTTAAGAGAGGAGGAAAGGTTTACGATCCTATATATGCATCTATAAATAACTCATATCACTGCAGGGCAAAATGAAAACAAAAAAGAATGAAACAAATTTTATTTGCTTATAACCACAACATTGTATTAATTTTTATTGCTCGCAGATAAATGAATAACTGACAATACTAATAATACGATTGCACTTATAAAGTCTTCAAGACGTCATAAAATACAAAAAATACGACAAAAGTAGGATAAACGAATTTCTAATTTATTAATAGATATAAATATACACCTTAGTCATCTATAAGATACCTCCAGACGTATATACATATATATATATATATATAACAATAAAACTTACATTTTATATTATAATAATTTTTCACAATTTGCATGATAATCTATTATGTCATTGATATATTTCGTGAGATATTCGATAAACGATCTGTGCAGATTAAGAAAAAGTGTATAAAAGACTAAGTTATAGCGTTAGTAGAAGAGCATGCAAAAAGACATTTTGGAGTTTGGACTATGCCCAAAATGAAATATGTCAAATGATAAATGCATAATAATAAAAAATAAATCCAGCGAAACTTTTTGGTGTAGGCGAAATATTTGACACCGGTTTTTGCTTGTCTATAAATAAATATGCCTGGCTAATGGATAAAGCGGCTTAATTGTGCGAAGATCGGGGACATCGTTTCTCACCCGCTGGAATGTGGTGGAGGTTCATAAAAAAAAATCTAAAACACGTGCCAACCAGGAGAATTCTTTGACCGTAAGTTATTACGGTCTTAGTTCGTAAAATATGTCATGGCATTATTTATATATCCTTAAAACACGTAATAAAAAAATACAAATGCGTTCAATATCATCAATAGCATGTTTTACGAAGATTATATCGGTAATTATTAAATTATTTCCAATTAACATATTTCAAAGTGTAATAATTGACATAAATAATCATTAAATATCTGATAACAGTTGAAATATTCTATATTATTAATAATTCATATTCGAGTTTACCACTTTTGTTGGACTTCTATCAAGGCCATATCACAGAATTAATTTACATTGAGCAAATAAAACACTCATTAACGAGTTGATAGCAGAGCAGTGATACATTCTTTCAAGAGAGACCGAGTAGTATAAAGGACTGATCTTAGATACGGATGGCACGTTCCACCGTACCTATGTACCTATGTACGTATATACTCTATATCTACATGTAGAACCACCTATTATATGTAGATACATATAATACCTATGCTTGTCCAGTGTATGTGGGGCCACTTCGGTGAAAGCAACTAAGACCGAGAGTTTCTTACTCGCCAACGCAGAGAGAAGAACACTTCTTCCGCGAGTCATCAAGATAAAGAAAAATTTTCTAAATAAATTTACTCATGTTATGCTTATAGAGTCATGAAATATAGAGTTGAGAGAACCAAGTATCGTATAACAATAATGCATATATCATCACTTTTATTTAATTATTCCTCCTGTAAAAAATAAACCAATATCAATATACTGTTAATATTACGTATTATATAAACATCAATGACTCAGAAAATACATTAATTCATTGATTGAACTGTTGCTTTGTTTAAAATATTTTTTCAATTAAGATTATCATGAGCAGCATTTTAGAGTAACAATATGGATATAAATGAGAATAAATTACTTACTTTCGTAGCTGATTGGTCACATATTAAACATAAATATCCTTTTGGAAATAATTAAGAAATTTTGTAATCATTTTTACGAAGGTGAAAACTATCCATCACTTTTGAAAAAACTTTAACTTAAAATTAAATAATAAATATCACTGATAATAAGCCGGTTAAATTTTTTTACATCAACATACACTTTCAATCGTAATATTACCACTTCCTATCGCATCTTATTACAATTACGCACGCATTTTTTTTGATATATCTAACGTCTAAACACGATTATAATAATGATATAAAATAAAATAAAAATAGATCAGTATTGAATGATTTATCATACGGTTGACGAACGTTTATTAAAGTATATTGTTGTTTTATTTGAAAGCAAAAAGTTAGCAAAGCAAGTAGAGTTATTTATTTGTTTTCATATTTTAAATGACCGAGAGATAAAAGAACAGAAAAAAGTATGAATGGCGAATCCGTTATAAAAAACATCCGTAGCAAACCTTGTGTTCTTTTGTCTTGAGTTCGGAGGATCTTCAAAACACATTTCACTTTAAAGGTCCGTGACGAAGAATCCTTGGTATTTAATTGTTGGCATATTGAAGAGCTCGATTTAAATGATCTAAGCACTCGGGGATCGAATTGGTCTCATGTGTCACAGAGTAGAGATGTATAATAGTGTACCGGCTGTGCTACTTAGGGAACAATCTTCAAACTCAACTACGGTACGTACTGACGAACTGACGTCAGCGCGCGACTTAATGCAATCGAAACGATATAGTAGACGGGTTACCAGACGTAAAGAGGGGGGTTACATCAGCGTGGGGCAACGTAGACATACAGTCGACATTGAGAAAGGAAACAGAGATCGTGTCATCGTCCGAAAATGATAGTGACACGATGATAATAATAAGACGTAAGCTAAATAAAGTAAGTATTGTTTGGTACAAGGTGAAGAGCGAAAAATATTATGTCCAAGGCAACGAAGATATGATTTTTAAAAGAATTATACATAAGTAGAAAAAGAAGATATAAGTTGGGAAGATCGCGCAATAAATGCAACGCGGCAGTAAGGTCACTTAATTTTATATCAAATTCTTACGGTTAAAAACACACCGATCTCGCAGTATATTCAACTACACAATGAAATCAACTTCGCTGTAGCGATCTAAAAGAGAAGGAGAAATAACCGCTCGTGAATGCCAAGAATATACAGTCTGTGTGTGTGAGCAATAAAGTGGATCCTGGTCCCCCCGAGCGATAGAGGGGCCATCTACGTCTTGTTTTGATAACTCCAGGTTGCTCCAGGTGAGATGCTGGTGCACATCCTTGCAGATTTAATGGTATCAAGTGTATTTATAGAGTTATTGGGTGAACGAGTTGATATAAGATACTATTCATGTGAAGAGGAAACAGAACCGGTTTGGTTAAAAATAAAATCGTGCTCCTTCTGCAATTTACATCGTAATATCTACCATAAATAAACTGCTAAACACCTCTTGATAACGATTCAAATTGTAGGTCAGTAATAAATTCCAGAAAAAAATATGATTTCAACGAAAAAAAAATCTGTCAAATTTTTGTATTTTTAAATTTTTCGCGCCCCGTTTAAAAATACTAAGGCAACGCCTCCTGCGGTGAGAAAGTTCAATAATCTGGGGACTCAATAAGTGATACCAACTGCTAGTATGTATACACCTATAGGGAGATTTGTTGAATTAAGGTTGGAGGCATTGATAATTATGTGATGATGCCGTTCTAACCAATGATCTAAACTGGGTGCGGTTAAACAAAAATTTGTTGCAGTTGCATTAATTTAAATAACAGTTAGATATTTTTTATTAACTAATTGAAAAATGGTTAAAATAAAATCATGTTGGTCGCCCATTATATGGACCAATAATCTTAAAACTGGATGTAAAGCTATTGCGTTTTACAGTGCAGTAAGTAATCTTGTTATTATTAATAAAATCAGAGTTATTTTGTGACTTAAATACCATAAAAATGAAGTAAATAATCTTATTATTTTTAGGCTTTGTGTATAATTATTATAACCTTTATCGCTTACCAAATTGCGGGTGGAGATTCTACGCAGCTTTATAGCCCACTTTTTGAAGCTGATGTAAGAGGATGTGAGTAATGTTTTACAACAAATTACACATTTTAAATTACTTTGACAATAATGAATCAACATTAAGGTATATTAATGCGAGAATACAAATACTTTTTAAGCTTCAAATATTTTCATGGAAAAATAAGGTATCTTGAAATAACGGTCAACAATATGTGTAGTATAAAAAGAAAAATCCAAATATCTTTTTCAATTTTGAAAAGATTTAATTTCTATTATATTTCAAATATATAGCACGTGGAATAATTTTTTTTAGAAGACTTACGATTTTCCAAAAAATTAGATTTGACTTTTAAATCCTTAGTCAATAAATTCATTTTTTTAAGGTAAAATATGTTATTTCATTTAAATTTATCTAAACAGTCAGTTATTTCAAGTAAATTCCAATTAACTTTGTTCACAAGAATCCATCAATTTTTTTAAAGAATACTTTAGATCAATGTATTGATATTGATAAATAGCATAAATTTTTTATTTCTCATAAAGGATTATTATTAGTAACGTAATATTAGTATACATTTTAAATTAATGTAAATAAAAATTTTCAGCCTAACTTGATTTTCTCCTTATCCATAGTACTATGATTACTACAGATGCTTTATATAATTCATATGGCTTAGCTAATATCATTGATTTAATGTTGATTTGATTATACTACTTAGTATTTATAAAACCACTTTCAAATGTAATCTACAATCTAATAATATAATTTTCCGTGATTATTAATAGCAATTTTTTTATTTTAGCTCTACCTGCTGCTGGTACGTTTCTAATCGTCTATTTCTTTTTGATGATTGTTAGTTCTGGATGTATGGTAATCGGCTTGAATGAGGGTGTTCGAGGATGGATGTTACCATGGCTCATAATGTGGTTCATTTTTTGTGCATTCCAATTAACTTTTGGATTATGGCTATTAGGAGGCTACTATATTTACGTGAGTATATCATTGGCTAGACTATATACTTAATTCTACATCTAAATGTAGAAACATAAACACAAATCTCATTCATTTCCGACTGAAGTTGAACTTCTCTATACTTGAATAATTTTTTTTATTTATTGTATCTATCTTTTTACGATTCTTGAACCCATTTTTTCAATTCATTGGTCTGTAATGTTTTAATTCTCAAACTTTTACTCGAAGATTTGTTTTTTTTACTATTGTTATGCCTACAATTATGTTTTTAATGGCATATATCAATATCTGCGGTTGAAAATATTCGGTTTTTTCTATACTATATTTTTTGAACTTTATTAATTATTCGTTATTGCTAAAACATTTTTTTTTTTCGAATAAAAAATTACCTATTTTTAATACATACACATGAAATTTATCGTCTACATATTCTACAAACATTTGACATTTGAAATATTCTATACAAAATGTCTTTACTATAAACAAACTTTAGCAAGCTTAATTAAAGATTCAATTCCACCACTAAGTGAAAATTGACTATAAAATACATTAGAGGTACTGTTAAGTAAATACCGGCTACTGTTGAGTTGATGAAGTAATATTGCAGCTCAAGTAAATAAGTCAAGTCAACACTGAAGTCACAGGTAGAAAAGGGCAAAGGAAGTTTCTTTGGACAGTTTAATTAAACTGAAATTGAATTTCTAAGTGAAAATATTCAAAACTGCTTATTACTTTTGAAGAATTAATAAAATTATTGTTTATTAATTTTTTCTAAGCTCAAAGCTACTGTTTTATTAATATTTTTCAATGATTATCTGTTATAAGTTGTTATAGTATATTGACAATATCAAGTGAGCTACTTTAATCGTATTATTTAAAAAATGAAAATTATCCTATGGATATATTATTATGCGCAAAAGTATTATTCTTCTTTTTAGTCATTTGTTTAAGAGATACATCAAAAATGTATCATTAACTACAATCTTTAAAATTATAACCATTCAATATAATGGCAAAAAAAAATTTCCAACCAAGAAAGTGATTAATTTTCTTTGAATAGACTTTCTACTATACTTCTTATAGAGAGTAATGTGCTGCAAAATTACTGACAACTCTGGCGAAGAAGTTCTCGCGAGGTTGCCGTAATGCACAAATTAAAATTTCTTGTTATAAAAATGTTCTCCAAAGAGAGAATTATGTTTTATAACGTAACCTAATAGCAAAGCTATAATGGCCATCATGAAACGATAAATTACAATACTAACTAATAAACTAAAATATAAGACAATGAATTAAACATATGTTTTATAATTTAAATTTTACGATAAAATTACAAGAAAATTGAAATAATAAGTTCTTTATGAATATTTCAATGTAAAAAAATGTCTTTTACAAAATCAAAAAAAGTACCTTTGTCCTCAATCTTCCAAAATATCATTCTGTCATAAGCTTACTAATAACTGGATAAACAATTCTTAGTAGCATGTGATGGAATTGAATTATTTCTTTCTTATGTACTAATACTATACGTACATTTAAAAAACTAATACATTTACAACTTGAAAAACTGTTAAAAAGTCCTCTGTCATAACTTAAAAATTGTTCATTTATCTATCCACAATGTTCTGTCGACATATTAGGCTGATAATTTTCAATTCAAATGAAATCCCAAGTTTGGTGGTTTCATCTTACAAATATTCAAAATTAAGCCTCATCTCAATACACCTGCCTTGTTCGAACAAAAAATCAACGATAAATTACAAAAATACATTAAATGTCACTTTTACAAAAAAGTAAATGCCACGCCTTGATAATTAGAAGAAATTCAATATGACATTAAGTGTAAATTTAGTGAGACAAACATGTCATTATTCATTGTGAGTGAAATGATTATGTTATTGTAAAGGCCATATTTTATATTTTTAAAAACCCTGCTGGGCCAGATAAAGGTGCAAAAAAGATGTGTCAGTCTAAATATATTTAAAGGGACAGAGCTTGTGGGAATGAACAATGTGTTACCGGAGGCTTAGGAAATTTTCATAAGTTAAATTTGTATTACAGCTACAAGTGGTCTTGCCAACTTTTTTAAACTGGTTATGGATGGGTTATAACGTAAGTCAATTATTTATCTTTATTTTATGTATTTATCTCAAATATTCATATGTATACTTATCCACTTTTCTTTTTTTTACAGTTTTACTGTTGGCTATGTGTTCTATCAATGTACAAAATATTTGAGGAGCTGCAATCACCAAATATTGAACTATTGTTACCTTGATTATCACTTCTCTGTAAAGAATCACACAATCTCATTTTTTTAGAGATTATTGAACATATTGTATTAGTTATATGATAAATTAGGTAGTTAATTACTAATGCATATCTCTGAGATTAGATTATGGTTCCATTTACGATGAACGGAAAAATTTTATATTTACATTCTTGAGAAATTTTAAAGAATAATTGATACTTTTATATAAAATGAAAATTTTACAATTAGTAATAAGTATTTGAATTTGGGTTTTGAATAACTATCAAGACTGAAAATGATCTGACAGTAAGCCTACCGTCCAAAATAGATCTTATTATCACTACTATTATAATGTATTGTGATAAATGTTAATGAATTTTGTACAAACTCTTTCATTTTTGAAATAAATATCATTAATTATTTTAACAAAAAGAACTTTGAGGAATGAAAATATTTATTCAAATAAGTTTATCCTGATTTTGAGTCCATGAGTTTTAATATTTATTCATGAAAGTAAAAAAAAATTGTAGAGTTTTGTTTCGAAAATTCTATAAAAATTTTTTTTTGTTCGATTGTTAATTTTTTTAATTTTTACATTCAGTAATTTGTAAGGTAGTCCTTTTGTGCCGTAACGGTCTCCATTTCACTCTCATAGATTGTTTCGTAAATCATGATTTGTTCTTCGATTGTTTCTTAAACGTGCCATGTATTACAACTCTGTTATTACTCGTCATTGCGCAAGGATATATCTTTTATTCATTATTAATAATCCATATTACAACTTCACTACCGATTGATATATCCAAAAATAATACAGAGCTTGGATTGCATTCTTATGATTCTTTTAATTTATTCCGCATACCAATGACTATTATAAATGTTGAAAAACCATACAATCATGACAATTGAAATACAATTCATTTAGCACAATTAAATTTTACTAGATGTCGACCTAAATACCTCATCAAATAAATGTCAGCTTCATTTTGCTATTGAAAACCATAGAATAAGAGTTTGTGCAATGGATAGTTGAATTCAACTCTATTCTTGTAATTTTTATTTTATTTTATGGGCTTGAATGATGGGATAAATAAAGTGTTGATACCTCAGTTGGTGAGAGTATTCATATGGGAAATATTTAACTACACCCTTTAGTTATTTATGTATCGATTTGGGCAAGATCAGATGCATGCAAGATGCTAACAGTATTGTTAGCTTGTTGATTTATCATTGGAGGCGTAATAAGGGTCAGTTAGAACTTACGAACGTTGTTGAGGAAGAAAGAATTTTGCATATACAATTTCATTGCTCAACAACAGAGATGGAATAAAGTTTTATAGAATATTCAGTGACTATTGGTGACTCAGTGGACAATCTTCACACATTCCTAAGTTACTGAGAAAAAAAAAGGGACTAGGTCAGACTATTTATTAATTTGGTCAGGTTTATATTATCTCCAGCCAGATAGTACAAGACACATTCGTAAATCTTGAGAAATTTTTTTGTTTAATCATTTCTTGCTATTTTTTTTGTAAGTTTTGCACCATGATATTATATATTTTAAATTTGATATGATGACTAATGTAGTGGTTTTTGCTTAAGCTAAAGCTAAATATGGGCAATTTTTTAGCTTTTATCCACATATGCAAATAATTCTCAGAATAGTTTTTTTTGTTAAGTACTAATCTGAAACAAATATTTTAAGCCAACCCGGATTTAATTTAATAATTAGGACATTTTTTTGTGGCAAGATTTCAAAATGCATGATTTGTAAGAAGCTTAAGATAATTCACATTAAATAATTCTGTAAACAGTTTTTATATTTTTGAGAGTTTATTTATCTTTGGAAGAGAAGAAAGAGTTCTTAAGTTCCATTTCCGGTTGAAATCTTACAATTTTTTGAGCTTGACTTGCAATAACATTTCTACAGCTGTTTTCATACAAGCATAAAAATTTAATCGTGAGAGCTCTAAAGTGTGAAACGTTACAAAATAAATGATATCATGATATAAACTCACTAAAAAAATCTTTTTTGAGTGATATCAATAATAGTTAGTTCATTTATTAAATCAAAATGGATAATCATCAATTCGAATCAGTGGCATAGAAATTTTTATTCAATTTTATCAATTAGCAATTTTTATTCTCAATATCCAAAAATAAAAAACTTGTTTTTCAATGGTAATAGTATGAATCATGTACTAATAATAAAAGTTTCTTAAATATAAATCACAAGATACAACTAAATAAATAATAAGTTGGATGTGATAAAAAAGGAATGTCAACGACTTTATTCAGTCTGCAAATAGACTCTACATATCGTGATATCATCCTGTTACAAAATAATCCTGTTGTAACATCTGACAACAGTAGTTTGATGATCAATATATTATTGGCAATAATATGATATACTCTATATAGCAGATATAAATTAATTATTCTATCATTAATATTTATTAGCACACCAAACAATAGACAGAATTAATTAATAAAACATCACTTGAGTAATTGGCATACCAACATTGCCATGTAGCTTTTTGCTGTGTCATATGATAGTGCGAAACGAATGTGTCATAGAGATAGACAAGTTGAAGTAATTATTAGGACAGTAATATATAACCGTGTGAAATATGTCAGCACAATTTTTTAAGCTCAATTAACTCTTTAAAATATTTTGACGATTGCAATGATAATAATATTTACAATAGAACAAAAATTTAAAAAAGCTTAATTAATTACGTGTACAACAACAAGTACATGGTCATTGGCTTTAACAATATTCAGCAAGTTAATAAAGAGAGATTTTTATGGGATATTTTTTCATTAATATCTGTATAAAATAATCATGTAGATACATTAATGTATGTACATACGTACATCACTATGTACTGATGACTCAAGATCCGCTCAGCTGCGACGTTCAAGATACTTGTCGACTTCCATTGTCTCTTGCTGCGCATCACCCAGTGAGAGACTAGATCTTTTTTTTCGAGTTTTTAACTACCATTACATTTGTGGCAACATCTGGCCTCGAGTTTACAGCGGCAACGTTGAGGTCAAAGTACCACGTGTGAGAGATGAATGCATGGGAATGAGTGCGATAAAACGTTATAGTGTTTAATAATTTACAACAAAGTGGTGCAATACTGATAATTATTAATTTATATCCCTCACGTACGTGTTTCATGATAATTCAATCGCTTAATGTGATAACTGATAGTATTTGGCTTGATTTATGTACTGTACAATACCTATAGTATTTTTTTACTTTATTATAATATCACTGGAATAAGGATTTTGTAACGGTTAACGAAATTCACTAATTGTCAATAAATCTTTGCTTTAAGTATAGTGAAATGCATTTTGTTTTTGGAGCTGATAAATCATTTATTTGGGAAGGTTTTTTTAGAGTCAACCTGTTTTCAGCGTTAGTTGATAAATCATACTGGACATTTGCAAATGTTTTATTTTAGTTCAAATACAAATATAATGTAATTATTGTTGATATGTAATTATACTTGGCTGAATCATACGTTGCACTTGTTAACTCTTAATAAATTAGATACAAAGTTATTTTCATCGTTATGATTACTGTTGATTTTTTTACCAAAGAAGCTCTTATTAAATCAAGTAAATTTTTTTTTAATTCTAATTTATTTTATGTTTCTTATTTTTATTTAGAACTATTTTAATTGAATCGTTTAATTGCAGTGAGAAAGTACTGTTGATTTAAATAATCTGATATTGAGTAGATTTAACGGAAAAAATATAGAAATAATTTTATTAAATAGTTGAACAAATTTTTTTCAGAATGATTTGTAGGTAGTTGATAAATACTTTAGATAGGAAATCTGGCGATAATTTATTATAAATAGGGCAAATAGAAGTGGGAATGAACTTGTACCGGTTTGTTTTAAAACACAACTTGAGATCAAATCAGTGTAACCCAATATTCTTAATTTATCTAAATTTCTGATAATTGACAATAAATGCTATTTATGATTTTCACTATAAAATAAATATAATCATGTGGTAATTTATGTGAACAAAAAATTTTAATATATATTTTAGTCATTATTTGATCCTATTTTTAGTCAAACTGTTTCCTATTAACACTTAGTATACCCACATATCTTTTCCAAACTTACAATCATAGATGAGATCTAGAATGACCCCAAGCAGTTTCTGGGCAAATATCTTGGAAACAATTTAGTTTGAAAACTGAATAAAATTTTTTTTTGGTAAATGAATGAACTATTCGACCAAAATGTTAATTTCTTAAAGATATTCTATTCAAATTACATTAAGAATACTTAAAGTCAACAAGAGAAGTCCTACTTTAGAGGATAAATATGTTTATCTCATCTATTTTATCATGATATTTAATATAAATTTAGATTCTTAACATTTTCTATGTTGTTTTATCTAAAATAAAATAAAAAAAAATCACAATTAAATGCTGGACATTAAATCCTTGATATCAATAATGCAAAAAATTGATAAATCACATAAAAAACTACCATTGAGTTAACTTAGTATTATTATTGATGAAGAAAAGACTTTTTACTTTTTTAGTCGTCGGAATCCGGCGCATCCGTGACGATTTTTCATTATACGGATGTAATGTACGATGCCATTGTCAATTGGTTCACGTCCTGTAGACTTTGTTGTTAGTCCTGCATACTAAACAGTCCAATGTCGATGAACGTTGAGACAAAAACATGTTGCTTCTTTAACTTACCTTCGTACATAAATACAATGAGAGACTTTCTTACATTTCTTGGAAGATTTTTACGAATACAATTAATAAGCTTGGTCATTAATATCACAACAAATATATAAATAAAAAAAAATTCCACGAAACTTCGTGCAATTTTAATCAATTTGTTTCAAGTCTTTAGAGTATGAATCGCGATCAAAGCTGGTTCTGGAGTCGTCAGGTCTGTTTTCTCTTTGATGTATTAACATTTTGAATTCATTCATGAGTCACCGATGTCCACCATTGACAAGCGGGACTTGTTTTCTTTGTGTGCGGCAAATCGCTTAAAGTCAATGGTATTTGTTGTCGTCGAACCAGATAAAAAACATCGCCGATGGAACGTCGTACGCTGAGTGAATCGAGAAGTGAATCAACTCCGGAGATCTTGGACACTGCTAAGACGTGTCATATTGAATATATAGTTGACTGGAGTGCTCATTGAATTCATCAACTTAGAATGTCCTAACGAATCTAACTTGTCACACACACATATCTCTTTCACTCTCTTTTTCACGCTCTCTCTTTTTGTCTACATATATGCACAGACATGTTGATCATTTTCAAGTAAAAATTACTCTGTCATCCAGGCTAATTGTGGTACATTACTAAGTATCATTACGATTTTCTCTCATTTTCATTGAATTTCTACTCCTAATTATTGCAAGAAGTTTAGCTG